GATTGCGGCCTGTGAGCGCGATTCTGGGGGCCCATGAGTGGCCAACCGTGGCCAACCGCTGGCACTTTTAATAGCGGAAGGCGCCGGTCAGAAGCGATTGCCCCATGAGTGGAATCGATGAGGGTCGCTTGGGGGTCGCTTGGGGGTCCACGGTTAGAGCTCCTGGGTGGGCAAGTGCCAGGTACCAGACGCGATACTCGAGACGAGAGTGCCAGCGGGTTGAAATGACGGGGTCCTGATGGACCTGACAGGCTGGCGCTAGGCCTTAAGCGCTCTGACGCCAGGCCAGCGTCTCCGCTGCTGGACCTGGAGCTTCGGACATGGATGTCGGAGTGTCAGCACTCTCAGAGAAGAACATTTGAAGCCCAGCAGGATGCATGACGTGTGGCAACGACAGCTCGACTCAAGCAGCAACTTGAACGCTGCCTGGTGGTATGAGACGCCATGCAGCACCCGAACGGATCAAGCTCCGCCATCCGCATTCCGCCACCCACCACCCACCACCCACCACCCACCACAAGCCATCTGCCATGGCCCCGAGCACCAACCCGTCAAGCACTTGGAGCTATTGGCTATTAGGCCGGTGACTGACCTTTCCCATCCTCGTTGAGCTTGGAAGTGCCATGTTTCTTGATCACCAATACACCAGGGTTTGGCTCATGTTCTCGTGTAATCTGTCTTTGAAGACCCTGACTGCTTTTGTCTGCTTGGCTTTCTAGACTCGGAGCACCTTGCAAATGGAGGTATGGTGTCTCTCCACTGTAAGCCAGGTCTGCACCAGGACGCAGCAATGTGCCAGGTTAAGCATGGTCTGCTGCGGCCAACCGTGCGACCAGTCTGTGCATGAGAGGAATGATACTCGAGTTGGAGAACAAGCACAAGTACTCCGCACACACGCTGAAATGAGGTCGCCTTCTTTGTCTTCAAAATGTCGAGTAACAAGTTGTCGGTGTTGCCGTCAACGTCTGTGTCGAGTTGAGGAACATGGTTTGCTGAATTGCCTTTGCAATCTTGGTCCGGGCAAACCTGGCTGTATACCTCGATATGCCATAACGAAAGTTATCAAAGAAATCCACATTGTCATTTCCATCTTGGACGTCAAAGAGGCCGAACCAGCGGCTTAGGCCGTTTAGGGAGCCACCACTGACCACTGACCAGGGGTTTTTAACTAGACGCGGATTGATGTCGCATCCGGCCCAAATGCGAATTCATAATACGGTGCTCCGTACATGAGGGTCGAGTGGGCTCTTCTGTCAAGTTGTAGGTGTTCTCGTGTCCGGGTCCAATCCTATCGACCTATATTGGCCATCAGTTAATACCGCGTACTCGAGAACAAGATTCAACGATGACGGCGGTCTGCGGCACAACTTGCTATATCTCTCTAGATTCCAACACGGCGCAAGACGACTGCGAGACATTCTTTGGCTAAGGGCCTGAGGAATGGCGGACACGGGCACACAAAAAGAGACTCACCTACGGGAGACAAGTTGGCATTTCGAAGTTTGACTGGAGGTTGACATGTGGAGCTCAGCCTCTGGAGCTCAGGCAGCCGCAGCTGCCACTTGTTGACCAGCCTGCACATGTGAGAGCCTCTGAGGGGCCCCAAACGTCCATGTCGGCACTCAACATTGGAAGGGAACATTGAACTGGGTCACCTTGTGCCCGCCGAGGCGCCCACTGGAGTATTTTGCCTGGTGCGCTGGACGCCTCAAGCTGCACCACTAGACTAGACCAGGCCTGACCAGTTGACGCCTGCGCCTGCCTGCGCTCGCCATGCTCCCAGCCAGCAGCAGCACCCGGCGTTGGCTGCGTGTTGCACCAGTTAACGCATCCTGTGCAGTCCAGAGAGTAATCCCAGTTCCCCGTATGTACTCGGTGCCGTATGCATCCCATCAATCCGTCTCCCCATCCGGTTCCACCCCTGAGTTCACAACGGAAGCTTTGCTTTGGGAGGGGAAAAAAAAATAATTGTGCAGGCTCCCACGATCCCTTTCCCCCGTTCGCTCCTCTTCCAACTCCTTTTGTCCCTCTCTCATGAGAGAAGCAGGCCTTCACTGCGGATTTCTCTTCTCCGTGGCCCTGCGTGAAACCTCGATGCCGATGCCGTCACACTCCTGACAACAGAGCTTCTTATTCTCTCCAGTCCTGGAGCTGTTGCTTTCCCCTTCCACCCCACACGTACATTCGCTCGTTATCAACCCCCCAAATCCTCTAATCTATACAGACGCTCCTTATGCTACTCGGCGGAAACCTCTCCATGGCAGAGACCGGCTCTTCAGTTTCGCCCCGACGAGCTTTTTATAATTTCACATCTTGGTGATATAGTATTTTCCCGACTATCAGTCCTGCGTTCATTGCACCCAGACCTCTCAGCCCCTGCTCCTCGAATTCCACACCACCAAGCTACTGTTGGCAGCATGGGAGCTGATATGGCGTCCCAAAATTCCGAAACGACCCCTGCCAAGCTCAGTGCGCCCAAGGACAAGAAGTGTCCTTATTGCAAGCAAGCTTTTACCTCCTCTTCGCTCGGCCGGCATCTCGACCTCTACATCAAAGAAAAGAATCCCAAACCACCAGATGGCCTTCACGATGTGGAAGCTATACGGAAGCTGCGAGGAGGCATTACGAGGCGGCAAGCCCGCGGCTCTCTCGGTGCGCGCAAGGATTCGACTCCCGCTGGAACACCAAGACCTGTCCCGAAACGGGAAACTCCCAACCAAGAGATTGAGCCAATGGGTGCTGACCCCATGCCGAAAGACGGCACTTATGCAGCTGACTCGTCTTTTGGCAAGTTCCCCTTTGTGCCGAGGTGGGAAGCTACTGGCGTCATCAATGATATTCCCCCCAGGGGCTCTTGGGATGGGGATGCCGGATCAGATCCAGCGAAACGCCCGCCAATGCAAAGGACAGTAAGCAAGCAAGCAGTCCAAAAGGCACAATTCGATCTGAAGCAGAAGCTGTCAGATGCTACGGACAACGCCCGAGCTGCAGAACTTGCCCTGCGAGAGCTTCTGGGCTCGTGGAGGGCAGCCAAGTATGTGTCTGTCTTGTTCCTGTAAAATGAGACCAACTTTCCAGAATTACGCTCTAACATGTTATAGACAACACATTGATAATAGCTCCATGCCATTTGGTTTTGATCCCCTCTCTCTCGACTTTCCAGCTCTTACACTACAGTGCTTGCATCCGCCGCCAACCCTGTTTTCTTCCACACAGCATCCTACGTCTACATCTTGGTCCGTGCAATCTCCGGGACAGCGAGAGTTTAAAGCCTTGAGGTCATACTTCAATGAGGAGTTCAGAGCTTGGAAAGTGACGTGTGCAGCTGCCACAACCGCGGCGTCTGAGGAACTCGCCTACCCCCCAACAGGGCATTTGCACAAGGACACCCGTGACGCTGTTAAAAAGGCCGAGAAAACAGCGGGAAATTTAGAGAAGCAGGTGGAAGAACACCTGCAATCCGCATACGCTGTGTGGGATTCGCTGCCTGGGCAGCGGCAACAAGAGCTTTGGATCCTAGAACTTGCGCGTGGGGTTGGCAGGAAGCACAAGGAAATGGAAATCATAAAGGAGCAGCAGCATCGATTGAAACAAGAGAATGCACACTTAAAGATGCAGATTGATCAGCTGAATCGCCTGCAACAGCCCCGCGAGTTCAAGCTCCTGTCACCGTCGACTATCCCGATAGATCGCGATGTGATTAGTTATGCATATGAGCAAGGCGTGAGAGGTGGCAAGATTGTCGGCTTCGACATGGAGGACCGCCACGTGGATATCGCAACAGTTGTCGCCAAGTCGATTGAAAGGTGGAAGAACGTAATTGTGTCGACTCGTGTAACCTCGAGTGGAATGAGTGCACAACGGCCATTGGATCAACCAGCTCAAACACCGGTCAACTTGAATAGTCCATCGAGTTCACAATCGCAAGGTCTGTCTCAGACGACGCAGCAGCAGCAGCAGCAACAACAACAAAACAATCAATCTCCAGCTCAAACCAATAACCCTAGCGAAAAGAGATTGTCCACAGCTAGTACGTCTGGACGTATCAGCGAAAACACGGCCCCATCCACCAGCACGACTGGACCACCGTCGATCGCGGAGGAGGAAGAAGGAGATCAAAACGATGATGTCAGTGATCAGGATGCGGATGCCGAGATGGAAGACGACGATAGCTTTGCCATTATGAATGCCTCTCCAGCAAAGCATGCCCACGCACCAATGCAACAAACTGCGGCGCTTGAAGTCCCACGGACCCGAGGGCTTGTCCAACAACAAGGAGCTTCACCAGACATGCGGTTCATGATGCAAAATGGAGCGGTGAGTCCTGTTGGCCGGTCAGCTATGACAATGACTAGGCCAATGCCAAATATGAACATGCCAATGCAGGGAAATCATATGCATGGTAGTGACATGCCCATGATGCAACAAGTACGTGGAGACATGTACATGGAGCAATGACCTGCTAAGGTAGCCTCTATAGCAGTAAGATGCTAAAGGGACTGCCAAGAGTGAACATTTCTGACCATGGAGGCGTGGTTGAAGAATAAAATCCAAAATGGTGCTGGGAGAAAAGACCCAGAGAAAAGTTCGATGAATTTACCCATTTATACGATCCGCGGACATTGTAATGAATAAGGAACCATTTTATTTTGGCGGCTTCTGCAGCTGCTCATGATGTGTTAGTATGAACAACAAAAGTTTTGAGTTAGAACTTTCCAAGCCTTCGGTTCTATTTTCATTTTTCTTTCAGAATTAGGTTCGTCTGCATACTGGGCGGGTGGGTACGCATGTTAACGAGAACCAAGACTTTAATGCAAATACATTCTATTTTGTGGGACACATGAATCTAAAGAAAGAAAATTGAGTCGAGAGACGATGTAGCCAACCCGGTATCTATGTGCACCCACCCGTCTTTTTGTTCCCCCTTTATTCTACAACGATGTTGCCTCGTTCTTTTACTTTGTACAATATTAATACATTTTCAAGCGCTGCCTGGCTGATTATTGCTTGAGCTGCTTTAGTCGCTGCTCAATCATGCGCAGCGTTGGCCTGGGTACTCTCAGCCGATGTGCCAGGACCAGGGCGCCTGTCAAGACAGCGAGGCTACCAGCCTGGTGAGCTGCGGCCAGGGGGACCGGCACCATGTAAATCAGCGTGGATATACCGAGGGCAACCTGCATGGAAGCAAGATGAACTAGGCCTGTAGCTCCCTTTTTTGCATCCTTGGGCAGAGCGGCAGCGACACGACCCGTCCGGGAGTAGGCAAAGAGGGCTAAAATGGCACAGAACGTCGAAACGGCGAGAATGCGATGGTCCATTTGCACGGTGCTGGGGTTCTCGAGTATGTTGCGCCACCAGAGGTCAGAGCCATCTTCCTTGCGGCAGTAAAATTTGTCCCAGAGCTCGGCTTTCGGTGGTGTCAGGCCTAGACCCATCTTGGGGAATTCATTGTAGATGAGGCCCGCGTCGAGGCCGGCAACCAGGGCTCCAGACATGATGGTGATGAAGGTGAGGGTTGCAAGTGCAAAGACGGAGCGGCGGAAGGCATTCAGCGCAGGGTTCTGGAGGGCCCGAAGCGCCGACATGGCGGCTTTGGGGTCGGCAAGGAGTCGGTGCGTGCGGAGGATAGCCAGGCCGGAGAGGAGCATCCACGAGTAGCAGACGAATGCGGTGGCCAGATGTGCAGTGAGGCGGTATTGCGAGACGCGAGGGTGCGAGCCGGGGGCGAACAAGTCGTCCTTTAGACCGGACTTGACCATCCACCAGCCGATGAAGCCTTGGAAGCCGATTAGTGCGGATATGCCTACGAGGTTGAAGGCCATCTTGGTAGTGACTCTCCGGCGGGCGATGAGGTACACGGTGGGTAGGACGAAGGATAATCCAATGAAGCGGCCCCAGACACGATGTGCCCATTCCATAAAGTAGATCTTTTTGAATTCATCAATGGTCATGTGTGGGTTGAGAAGCTTGAATTCGGGGGACGCTCGGTATTTCTCGAATTCGGAGTTCCAGTCTTCCTGAGACATGGGAGGTAGTGAACCGGTAACGGGACGCCATTCCGTGATGCTAAGTCTACAATTTGATTGGATGTTAGACGGACCATGCTTGTGAAAATTTACCGAGGTAGTAATGGGTTGATATTGCGTACCCAGATTCAGTCAACCTCGTCAGACCTCCCCAGACGACGATACCAAACACACTGACGGCGCTACCAATCAACCAATATGCCACACTCTTGGGGTTTGTTTTAGGCAAAGCCGTCTTGGAGAGTTCCTGGGCGTGCATAGATGCAGATCGGGAAGCAACATGGTCGGCCATTGTTCCCAGCGGCGTCGTGGGTTTCGCGTCCGCAAAGCTTCGAGATCGTACGACATTCAGAATGCGCGATGCGAACCGCGGCCGTGACGCAGCGGTTTGTCGGAGGCATTGGTTGCAGACGAAGAACCTGGAGGGAGCCTGTAGGGCTACCCTCCTTATTCCAGGAACAATGAGAGCCATGCTGCCGTGACGCCGATGGCAACCAGCGACAAGAAGACAGAGGTGCGATGGGCGACGGGTATTCGGAGGAAAAGTCCGTGGTTCCCGATGTCTGACCACAGTCGAACATGAACGTAGGCGGAAATAAGAGTGAGCTGATAGGTGGGACCGCGACCCAAGGGTCCCCGCCAAATAGTGGCTGCTCACCGCCAATTTTTTTTAAGGCCGGCAGAAAATTGGTGCAAGAGTCTTTCTTCACTGCCGCCACCAAAATCGTCACCACGATTACAAGGACAAGAACAGAACGGCCATTTGTTTCCAACAAAATGCCGGGACGACAATCGCATGGCCGGTCATTGATGGCCGCGCCCAAGGCCAAAGCGGGCGGGAAAAAGGGCTCCAAGGCGAGGTCGCAGAAGAATGCTCTCAATGCCTTTGGAATTGCGCAGGATATGTACCCCACGAAATACAAGAGAACGCCGCGAGCAAGGGAACTCGATGCCGAAATTGAGAGAAAACATGGACGAGACGAGGCTGGCGAGGACGAAGACGAAGACGAAGATGAGGAAGAGCAGCCCCGAAGAAAGAAAGCCAAGGGCCCATCACGGGCAGATGGCGATGGCGAGGATGGCAGTGACAGTGAAGGCAATGAATGGCGCCTGGGCGGTTTGAGGGACGACGACGAAGATTCTGAAATAGAGAGCGATGATGCATTTGGAGATAGTGACAATGAGAAATTTGAGGAGTATTCATTCCGAGGCAGCAAGTCGAAGCCTGTACGTTACCGGAAAGTTGTACGACATACGTGGGCTCTGCTAATGATCTAACAGCAGGATGACGACTCAGAAGATGACTCGAATGATGACGAAGGAGAGACTCTTGGCGCAGATGCTATTGATTTGGCGACCGCTCTGGATCAGTGGGAGGAGGAATCAGATGACGAGCCCGAGGCGGACGACGAATCTGGCTCTGGGGACTCAGAAGAGGACGGAGACGAGTCGGAGGAGGATGCCGAGTCTGATGATGACGAAAGTGAAGACGATGATGATACCGAAGCTGACCCCGAAAAATTGAATGCGTTGAAGGGACTCATTTCACAGTACGGTGGCGAAAATGATGACGACAAAACGAAGTCGAGCGCCGGACAAAAGCTTTCTCTCAAAGACTTGGGTCTCTCAGGACTGAATGATCCATTAATGAAGAAGTCCCTCAAGCTGATGAACAAGGAAACCAAAGAGAAGCGACCCGGGGTCGCTCAGAAATTGGCTGTGCCACTCTCCCGACGTGAGCAAGGTCGGCTGGACCGAAGCGTTGCATACGAAAAGACCAATGAGACCCTAGATAAATGGACGGAAACTGTCAAGCAGAACCGCAGAGCCGAGCATATTGTGTTCCCGCTTCCTCAAAATTCAGCCACGGCCGGCCTAGACACTTCGGAGATTCAGCCTCTCAGCTCAGCCAAGCCCAGCAACGAGCTCGAATCTGCCATCATGTCTATCATGGAACAGAGCGGTCTTTCTATGAACAAGGAGCCCAAGCCCAAACCTCAAGAGTACGACGACGAGGGTAACTTGCTCTCACGGAAAGAAGTCCTGGCCCGAAAACGAATGGAGCGAGAACTTAATTCCAGAGAAGCAAAGCGAGCCAAGCGCATCAAAAAGATTAAGAGCAAAGCATATCACAGAGTTCACCGAAAACAACGGGAACGCGACGAAATGGCTGCCAAGGAAGCTATGGAGGAAGCCGGAGAGATTGACTCCGAAGAGGAGAGAGAAGCACAGGACCGCCGACGCGCCTTAGAACGTGTTGGCCAGCGACACAAGGAGAGCAAATGGGCCAAGATTGGATCCAAGGCGAAGCGTGCCGTCTGGGACGATGACTTCCGCACCGGCTTGACAGAAATGGCAAGAAAGGACGAAGAGCTTCGTCGACGAAAAGAAGGCAAGGCGGGCGTCGACGGCGACTCTGACTCCGATGCAACCAGTAGTTCGGGCAGTGATGACGAGGACGATATTCGACGCCAGCTAAGGGAGCTGGAAGAGGACGACGACGAGCCTCAGTCAAAATTGATGAGCATGAAATTCATGCAGAAGGCCGAAGCGGCCAAGAAACAAGCAAATGACGACATGATTCGTCAAATCCGCCGCGACCTGGATGGCGACTCGGCAGACGACTCCGACGATATGCAAGCCGACGACGAGGTCGGCCGCAGAAGCTACGGCACAGCAGACTCATCCGCCAAACCCGCCCTCGACACATCAACCCGTGCGCCCAAACGCAGCCGAGTGCCAGGGCCCCAAGATACAGACGTCGACATCATCATCAACAACACCACCGCCACCACGAAGCAGCCACCAGAACCTTCATCCTCCACAACAGGCGCCTGGTCACGCGGCGAAACCCGGCGCAAGAAATCCGCCCCCTTGCGCGGCGAAGACCTCGATCTGAGCGCCAACGTCCTCGTCGCCTCGCAGCCAAAATCCAGACCTACAAACAGCAACAGCAACCGCGACAGCGACAGCCGCAAAAACGACAGCGACGAAGATGGCTCCGAAGCAGAGCAGCACATGCCCCTCGCCATCCGGGACCAGGCCCTCGTGGCACGCGCCTTTGCAGGAGACGAAGTGGTCGCCGAGTTCGCCCGCGAAAAAGGCGAAATCGCCGAAGCAGACGACGACAAGGTCATCGACAATACCCTTCCGGGATGGGGGTCCTGGGTCGGCGACGGCGTCAGCAATCGCGAGAAAAAGAGGCACCAGGGCCGCTTCCTGACAAAAGTAGAGGGCATCAAGAAGAAGGACAGGAAGGACGCCAAGCTGGACAGGGTGATTATCAATGAGAAGAGGATCAAAAAGGTACAGTCGTTGGCCCTCCCCCCCAAATTCCCCGCCGACCGTTTATCGCCCCATTTCATTACGGCATCTTGCCTGGGAAGCAGTTGGACTAACAAGACAATGCAACGTAGAATGATCGCTACCTCGCGACCCAGCTCCCTCATCCTTTTGAGTCAAGGGCCCAATATGAGAGGTCGCTTAGATTACCTGTCGGACCGGAATGGATGACCAAGGAAACCTTCCAGGATAGCACAAAGCCAAGGGTTCTCATGAAACAGGGCATTATTGCGCCAATGTCGAAGCCAACTGCCTAGGCTGTTTGGCCATGACAATATTTTATGGGTTGGATTTTCATGGCAACACGTATAGACGACATGTATCTATAGAAGAAGCATTTCATGGCCAATGTGACTGGATAAGAAAATAAATTTGATGCCTCAACGCCGTAATACAAAAAAACTCAGTTGTCATTCAACAACTGCACAAACATAAAGAGAACCCCGTCTAGCGAGCTAGACATGGCGGCGTAGAGCCATGGCACCGAGCCAAAAGTTGACAGCGTTTCTGCACTTCCTAGTTTTTTAACCCCCTACCCAAACCCTGATTTCATCAACAAAAAAAAAAATACATAGTCTTGGCAGAATTATAACGTATTCAAAGACTGCTTTTCCCGCCACTATATCCAAATTTGCTGGACGCATTTTGGATTGTGACCATCATGAGGATTTACCCAGCAATTGAGCAAAGCTCCCGTCAAAGGCGTCGCTGGGCGTTGCGTAAAAGGCGACAGCGATAATAAGGTATAAACCCAAAAGCATGGCTCCTTCGAGATAATTAGATTTGCCATCTTGGACGGTGTATGTGACGACTAGAACCGATACGGCAAATGCGACGGTTTGGACTAGACATGTTATCAGCGTTATTCGTATTTTTAAAGAATGATAGGGGTGTTGCCAGGGACGAAGCTTACAAGTCTCAAAGTGCAACGACATTGGCTGCCCGATAATCCATCCAACAATGACCAGGAAAGGAGTAACACCAAGAGCAATCTGGATGCTAGAGCCAATGGCAACAGCCATAGCGAGGTCCATCTTGTCGCGGAGGGCCACAACCACAGCAGTGACGTGCTCAGCAGCGTTGCCAACGATAGGAATCAGAATCAGACCAATAAACGCCTTGCTGATATTCGCACTCTCGACTATATCATCGATGGTTCCGACAAGGTACTCGGCGCAAATGGCCACCAGGACCGTAACAACAACCAGAACAATGCCGGCAGCAACAGGTCCAATGCTGGCATCTTCCTCCTCCTCGCCTTCTTGTTGAGTTTCTTCATCAAAAAGGTTGCTGTGGGTTCGCAGTTGGAAAACGAGGTACATGATATAAAGTAGCAACAGAATAATGGCAGTGCCTCGTGACAGAATCAGAATGCTACTATTCTTGTCTTGCGATCCGTTCTGAGCTAGGACAGCATAAAGCTAAAAGACAGAGTCAGCAACAGAGGGCCTTGAACAGGTACCACGACTGGCGCAATATACTACTTACGGCTGCGGGAATGACAAGAGAGGCAGAGGATAGCGTCATGAGGGAGCATGTCGTCTGGGCGACGGCGGCGGAGAAAGACTGCTCCCTGCCGTCTCCATTGGTGCCTCGGTGTACTAATCCACCAAAAAGGAAGCACATTCCCATAACAAGAAGCAAGTTGGACAAGATGGAACCAAGCATTGATGACTGCACGACCACAATCTGGCCATCTTTCAGGGCGACAATGCTGACCTGTAATATGATAAGAATAGTCAGCTCTGATATATTTGCTTCCTCAGATGCAAGCCGAGAACCACATAGATGGCACATACAATCAATTCCACAGCGTTTCCAAATGTTGCGTTCAGCAAGCCGCCCATGGCCTGGCCCAATTTACTCGCAAGCATTTCGGTGGCAAAGGAGAGAACCGCAGCAAGTGGGATGATGGCTAAGAAGTTGATGGTGAAGACGGCGGTTGGGTTCCAGTTGAGCGCGCCAGCCACGATGCCGATAGGGACCATTACGAGGAGGAAGTTGACATAGCCTACGCATCGTGAGCAGGTTAGTCGTAAGTACAGCGGAGAGACAGCGATAATAGGCAATCAACCTCGATATATAAATATATAGAGTCAATTCTAGGCCGTACTGGGGAGAGACTTACCGCTCAGGAGGGTCACTTTGGTGACATGCCAGGTATACGCGGCGCTGCGCACCGCGATTGATTCGCTGTCATTTCCGGGAGTATGCTCTCTATCAAATAGAAAGGTCCTGACGCCGGTTTTGTGCTGGTGCTGAGTATGATTGCCAGCCTGAGCCGACGAAGCAGACTCGCCATTAATTAGCGGCGTTTGCTCGTTGGCAAAGCGATTAGATCTGGAAGACATTTGGCGATAGAGCTTTTTAGACGACTGGTTGACTGCGGTATAAGCAAATGTGAATTAGCATCAACTGACTGCCGATTTGAAACAGTAGACAAACTACTGCCACAGCTTCTCGATTCGTGCACGGCTTTCGAGGTTGGTCGAGACCGTCCTTGACTGGAGGAGGACCGGGGAGAAACGAGATGCCGAGCTGCTCTTGCCGATAATATCGGGGTAAAGCAACGCTCGCGAGGGACACAGGGATTGAGAAAGCTCGTGAGAGATTGGAGACGAGCCTTGGTGTCTCTGGCGACAGTGAACAACTGTCGAGAAATACACTAGGTGTGAGAACGAAAGGGAAGGGCGAGAACGGAAACCTGACCAAGGGCCAGCAAAAGCTGCCAGGATGCCGGAGGATACAAAAATATGGAGCGAGACGTTGGGGTATTGACAGGGAGCAGGCAAAGAGTCGAGAGGAATACGTGTAGATGTATTTGCAGGTGGGGAGTGACGAAGGGATATGGTAGGAGGCGTGATAACTACTACCTAGGTAATAACCAAGCATTTCTGGACATTCTGATGAACATCCGGGTATCTGGCGCCAGTAGTCTATTTTTGTGGCGTCCAGTGAGAGGCAAGTGAAGTGAGGGTGTGTGGATGGGGAACGGGGGTTGTTTGAAACGAGGGCATCTCGAAAGAACAATCGTGGCCATGGTTTCAGGCATGGACTGGTCCAACAAACGCGACAGAGGCCAGTGCCATCGCCCTGGACCTGGACAGCAACAAGACTGGGAGGCCCGGCCATGATGGTGAGTATCACAAGCATCTCACATCACCAAGCCAGTAGTTGGAGGGCTGGTGGACGGTATTTGAACAGGCTGCCGCGGAAGAGGCGGAATACATGTAATAGCGATGATGGTGGTGGCTATGACAATAATGAGAACTGAGACTGAACTTACACAATCCGCCAAAGACCATTGCTTCGGTCGCCTCGAATTGGCCGACGTAGAGGAGAGGCAGGGGGCCTTTGTTCGCGATGAGGTTTTGAGGTTTGATCTCAGAGCTCCAGACAGACAAGCTCTACTCCGTATACAACAGAGTGTGGGTGGGATCAACGGGGGGGAGGACGGCTAGGATAGCGGCACAATGGGTCGTGTTCGGTGTTGCTCGTGCTCAGACGTTTGGGGGTGGGAGGGCGGAAATGAAGGCCAACAAAGCGGCGTGGTTGACGTGACGATGGACGTTGATATGGATGTTTGGTGGGTGGTGTCGGCGGTGGTGGAGGAGGAACATGAGGCTCATAAAAGAGCGAGGCCTCAATCAATTGCTTGACGGTGTTTCGTGGAGCTGGCGGCGAGCTAACTGGGAGCTAGGCGAGCATCACAGCTAGCAGCAGCTCCCCAATGCCTTAAAGTTGGTAGCGACCAGGCTGGAGCTTCACGTTTCAGGCATAGCGTCGCTGCTGCAGCGGCTGCTGTTTGGTCAAGGTTGCAAGCCGCCGCCGCCTCCTCCACTCATGTGCTGTCGGTCCATCGCCCTCGCAACAAAGAGTTTGACCCATCTCACGCGATCGTGTCTTGGCCTTGCAGCTGCATGCGAGAAAATGGCCCCGGGCCCCTGGTCCTTGTCACCGGTCCCTGGCCAGCCTTGGAGGCCTCCTTCCGACGTCACACCGTCGACATCTCAACCATCCTCGGAGGTGGTAAATTCACACACCAGACAGGCCGCGCCAGTCATGGTTTTTGTTTGCGTCGTCGTCGTCGTCGCCGCCGCCGCCGCCAAGAGGCAAATGCTGTAGTACGACCAGTACGGTTGACGTCGACGTGTTTGCGAGCTTCCGGCTGTACCGCCTCGCGTCCAAGTTTAGGGGTCAATTGGTGAATCAATTGGACGACAACTCCGTACCCACTCGTGGCCTTGACAAGGGTCCCAGCGCATCTTTGCCGCGTCGTGGGCTGCCTCGCGCCACTCGACGCCAAAAAAGAGAGTCAGTCTGTCTTCACCTCATTTGCATCACTGACATCAGCCTGCAGCAACCAAATCTTGTCCTTGGTTTGCGATCTCTCGGTCTCCTAACTGTGCCATTTAACTGCCGAGTCCACAATCAAGTACCAGACATCATCTGTCAATTTCAAGCAGCCCCGGCCATTCGAGACAGTCCAGAGTACAACCACTTGAGCAGCAGCGGTGGCTATGCCTTGAGCGCAGCCACTTTGTGCCTCGTTCTTCGCAATGCTCATCGAGGCGTTTATTAATGCATTATGATCTGCTCTTTGCAGGGCCGGTCATTGATTTTGATTTTTTAATGTTTTACTTTTGCCCCCTCCAATGGCACGGCACCCATCATCAGACCCTTCATGGCTTGAGAGGCTCAGAGCCAAGGGCCCAGGCCAACCATGGCGGCCCATATGCCTCGGTACCCCATACTCGCGTACTCTCAAGCATGTTACTCTGCCCCAAGGTACCTGTACTTAGACAGGCTATGCACTTAGCCCTTAGCCTTTACTTCAAGCCTCCCAAACTCCAAATAAAGTAGAAAATAAGCTCCTTGGGGAGCAGGGGCCTAAATCCCCTAACCGTGTGGCTCATGGCTCCCAGCTCCCAGCTCCCAGCTCCATTAGCCAGATTTGGCAGCATCGCTTTGATTCTGGATGAACTCGTGTCAAATGAGGCTGTGTCACCCCGTCACAACCCGTGCTCCTACTCGACTGTAGGTGCTCTTTTGGAACACGCACAGCCAGCTGTGAGTCTGTGACTTCCTAAAGCATCAACTAATCTCTCACGTCGTACATCAAACCTTAACCGTCCCCTCGAGAATTCAAATGATTGCACCTTTCATAAAATGGCCCAATACCAGCCTCATCGCACTGCAGTCGTCAGCCTGCAATGAATTCGTGCTATTACATTTCTGTTCTAGAAATAAATGGCATCGGAGCCTTGAGTCACACCAGTTGGAGTGGTGTAACCCGTACAATTTCGCATCGCAGTCCATTTTCTACTCTGCCATCTATTTTTGCAAATCCAACGGTGAGCCCATCTAAACAAACTTTCTACAGTCATGCTCATGTTAATAAGACAAATGAGCCCTTGCCTGACGCGATTCGCTAATCTATACCAATATGTATATCCCAATACAGCAATTTCTTGACACCTCAGAGGCCACCCAGTGCTGTTTCCTAGTCAGCAAGCGCTCAACTCAGAATCTTGTGTCATTATGACAAACCTGCCGAATATGCCATGAACCAAGTCATGGATGCGCCTCCGTCAAGCCATTGAGGGTCAAAGTCTCGCGAGGTGAAAAACTCCCATGCCTTTTTTGGTTCAATAGTGGCATAATTACCGTAAATAATTCCTTTCCAGGCATTCCGAATGCTATCCACTCTCCCTTTGTCAAAGAATGCCTCCCATTCCTCCCTGACGAACCCTTGATCGCGTACGAACGGTGTTGCTGGCAAGATTGGTATCATGTGTATACCTTGGATAGCCTCAATATTAGGATCAAAGTATGTCGTGTGATCAATTTTGTTCTCGAAAAGAATTCCCGCCACTTTGTTGCCGATAAACTGCTGCGGTTGCACTGTATTGTCTTTCTTGTACAAATAGTAGCTTTGCAGGCTCCGTGAAATAATGGACAGTTGTAGGTTTCCCCTAAATGCCCTGGTTAGCATTAACTTTGCTGATATTTTGCAATACGTCGCGACGTCAGCTTCACCTCATTTCGAGATCAGAGTTCTTACTGACTCTCCCCCACATTTTGAGCGCGTAGGCACACATCACGTCCTCAGAGCTAGACTCCTGGTCCTAAATTGACGTCAGATACATTGTGGAACAAGTGACTTGATGCGGGCAGCACACCTTGCCATCCATGGCGGCATAAAGACCATGAGCCCAACTGTGACCATGATACCAGTCAAAGCTGCGCCATAAAGGAAAGAACTTGTCATCTTCACTGGGGTTTGCAACGTCGCGGACCAACAAATTCACGTAGTCACGGTTCGCATTGACCCATTCTGGATCAAGATATCCAATAGTAGCTGCGGCGAGGATATGGTAACCGTAGTGGAAGTGATGGTCGTTATAGTAGGTATTTCCGAAGTCAACTGCGTCGTCACCCGTCTTGTAACTTGCTGACGAGACTATCCCTCCCCAAGCAGCTACAAAATCTTGCTGTTAGTAAGTACTCATAGCCATTAAACTCAAAATGGGATACTTGCTTTCGTGTACTAGGGGATACTTCTGCTTGTTGGCCGCAAAGGTTCCAAAGGCCGCTTTCAATTGACCTAACCCTGCTTTCGCCAATGCCTCGTCGCCCAGTAGTTCGTGAACAACATACAAAATTGTCGCGAATTTAACAAGCGCCTGGATGACCTCACTTAGATATTGAACATTGCTAATGGGATATAGGAAGTCTCACCTTTCCGCTGAAGTACATGGAGTCCAAGTTGGTTTGTGCAGCAATGTTTTGTGACAGTTCCTTGGCGGCCGCAGCACGAATTATACCTTTGGCCTCGCTGGATAACTCTTTCATGGACCCATTTTCCGGGTGCCAGGGGGCAAAGTCCATCTCTGTGGGCATATGACGCTCGACCATTGCCCATTCAGTACCCTTCACCAAAGTGGCAACACCTTTCGTGGTCGATTGAAGACGCACCTCCTGAACCCGCTTCATTGTTTCACCGTTGAAAGACGAAAGATGATGGGGTAAGGCAAACATATAAAGATGGCCTAGTTGGTGTCCGTTTTTCTGGAACTTGAAAGAGTACGAGCCCTCTTGCCCAAATACGGATCCTGATAATTCAAGTGTTACGGGATAGACTCCTGCTCCATCATCGAATAGATCTTCAGAGCCCTTGCTGCCGGGATCTTTGCAGACTTGCAGTATGCCGTAGAAAGGAGATTTTGATTCGGCCCTGTTGTTATTTATGACCTTCAGATCCAGCTCTTCGCCTTTAGTTCTCCATGCATATACCCTCCACGTTGTTCCATCTTCTAGGTGAAAGTTGTATTTTGTGACATGTTCCTTGGGATTGGTTGTTACGCGGCTGACAGCCTTGAAGAACACACCCGATTGGATCAAGGGCACCGAGCCATCAAATCGTGCCGTAATGTATGCCATTCCTTGGACCAATGGAAAAGATATGGCTGGTTGCGCTGTCTCGTTCTTGCTTAGATGGACCCTTGCAGAAAATGCTGTGACGCTGTCCATCGAAAGAGTTGTTTCCTCTCCAAGTTCCCTGGCGGATATAACCATTGACTGAATACCAATTGGGTTCAGATAAAAGGAAGAAGCCCCATCAAACTTCACTTCGCCGAATACTCTTTGGTTTTCCTCGATATGTGAACAAGACATTCCCCAACTAGCGCTTACACCCTTCCCGCCGGCCCATGCTACAGAGTATGGGAATGTAAAACTCGGACATCTTTGGTCACCTAAGAAAAAATTGGAATAAAACTTGTTGGTCTGTAGAGGCGCCTGCGATTGAATTCCCTTGCGACGCACTGGATGATCGTTGCGGACAGGGATACTGGATGGCGGTGCTTTGGTATCTACGGGCTTAGCAAATATGTCTTGTGATGCCATGGTGGAGGCTATTGCTTGGGTAAAATTCCTAAATATGCCCGTGGCCGTTGGTATTAGCAGAGTTGTTTGTGCCGAGGAAAGCTTGCTCAAGGGCCGTTCTCCTTTTTCTTTCCGTGAAGTGTTTAAGTATGTCACGATATTGCCTGCAGTAAGTGGCTTCTTGTAGCTGATGTTTGGCAAAGCATAGGTAGTAGTGCTCGATTCAGTAGGTGTCTTTACTCCCACAAATTTCGATTCTTTGAGATAATCTTTAATCAAGGTAGACTCTTGATCCGGATCCGGAGTTGTCGCAGATATGTTTGCTGGCAGGGATTCAAGAGTGGTTTCGATTTTCGAGAGTGTGGTAGATGCGTCGAAGATAACCGCTTTCTTACGCCAACGGTCAGTCAAATTGTTATCTTTCCCTGGGAAATTTTGCCGAATTCCGCTTTTTGAGGTCTCTATCGAGTTCGGATACCCTGAACTATACGTTAGCCAGGAAATCCAATGAACTAATACTATATGCAAGTTCATATTAAGTGCATTGCAAGTGAGAACAAGTTGCAGAATTGGTTTGATACAAAGTCCAGGGGTCGATTGAATACACTGTACGGGCTGTTTAAGGAGACAGAGGTCTATAAAATGGAAATACCGCGGCCCTTTCATAGAGCATTCCAGAGATATGTTGGGTGCCATGTTTTGTTGCTGCGGTATTGAATCACCCGCCCGAGCTAGCCAAATGACAGGAATGTGATTGTCTAGGGCAGAATCATCCAGATTTATCATACCTTGATAATTTGAATCAAATTTCCAACCAAGTAGAGGCTGGTGAATCCAATCAAGCACAGGTGAAGCGTTGTGAATCTTTAGGTGATAATTAATTATCCGTCTGTTGTCGTAATGCGATCAAGGTTGTCACGAGATGAAATGAAGCGGGGGAAAGGAAGAGGGGATCACGCACGCATAGGCTTCCACTAGATTCACGCAAAGGGAACCAATCATGACCACGCAAGAAGAAATGCTGCTCTTTCTCTCGACCGTCAAGTTTGTGGCCGTCAAACGTGGAAGGAGCAGCTAAACCTGTGGCTTTCGTGGCCAACTCGACTCAATGGAATCGTTGTAGTCCTACGCAACCATCTACGATGCCGTATATTGGCCCAAGTTCTTATATGTACCAAGATAATTTGTCCATTCTAAGATTCAGGAGGCAGTCTTAAATACATCCATCTCCAGCCACAGTACATGTTTGACCGCTCTTCGTCTGTTTCGAACAGGCCTGTTGTCGGGTCGGTCAACTTGACCAAAGGGCCAAGGAGAAGCAGGATGCTGCTTTCGAATTCCCCGATGGCCCAGTCTCTAACAAGGCCAAATCCAAGCAGAACTCATGTTCTCGATCCAAATTAACACCATAGACAAAAAGGATATCATAAGCCCAAAGCGCTGTACTTTCCTTTGGCTGAGCCCTGGCGTATCAAGGCCTTTACTCTTGCCGCAGTATCAAGTTTCAGATTTGTCTTCTCTTTCGCCTTTGGTTTGACGGACTCGTGGCTTAAACCTGGGGCTAGAGCCTTTGCTTTTATTTGCCTTGTACTCGTGCTGGCCTCTGAATTGGCTGCAAGACGTTTCTTCTTTCTTTCTGAGCCTGCTTGTGAAGCTTCGGCTTCTTTGCGGCAACGACGAATCTCTTTATCGGACAGGATCCAAGGATTGTCAAGGACTTCATGGCGAAACTTCGATCTCCTTCCCCACATTTTAATCTCTTGAGCTGTACTTTTCACTATGAGCAGCTTCTCGATCTTTATCTGCTTCTCGTCCCTGAACGTAGACAAGGCGCCCTTGACATCGACTACATCGCCAACGTCTACGTTGCCATATGGCCCAGGTGTATCCAAAATATGGAGAGCGCCGGGGTTTGCTGCATCACCAGCAGCCGTTCTAGGTTGGTATTGTAATTCTGCTACATTGTTGACCGGAGTGGGTGGTTGCATATTGATCAACGCTTCAATGCATTTTCCACTGCTGTCATCGATGGTGTAGACGCGTCGGCCATGGAACTCATCTATTGCCACAACTGGTCCGACAACTCGGACCCATTTGATGGGCAAATTTCTGTAGAAGAAAAAGTTTTCTCCTGTCATCTGCATTAGCGCCCGATAACTGCAGTGTTCTTGCGACGCTCACCTTCAAAGCCTGCGTGCTGCTTGAGGGCGTGAATGTCGGACACGCGAAGCAAACACCAATTATTAGCAGTCGGCGACAGGTGAAAGCAATAGCGTGGGTAAGGCAAGACCTGCGCTTGCTCGCTCATGGCATGATTGAAGCAAGTCTCACCCTTTGTGGAGGGTCATGAATCGAGCCCCCAAGCAGGTCAATGGTTATGTGTATGACTGGAATCAATACCAGGGGCTTGATTGAAGACGGAAATGGAGTCGACGGTTACGCTGGACAGGGCACCGCGCACTGGTTACTTAAGTAGCACTGAGGTCTGCCATGGTTACTCACATGCAAGTGCCTGGCGCTGTTGGCCGCCCAAGCACAGGCTCCGCTCAGACTGTCGGCTGCCCAACCCCACTACCTAGGTACTTAAGTAGTCGATACCTGATGTGCTCACCCGTTGACATTCATTGATCATTGATGTTCCCACGCTGAATGGTAACACGCGCCGGCCGGAACAAATAACAGCAAGTCAGGAGATTGAACTGTTCGTCTATTACATTTCCATATTTCACAAAGCACAATTGCCCATTTCCTGTAACCCTAGCCTAAACCGTACTCCCTGGTAACCGATACCAAATAATGCATAACCCTTGACCCTATTTCTTGGACTTCTTCGCGGCCTTGCCGCCTTTTAACTTGGCGGCAGCGGCTTGAAAAGCCTCCTCTGAGGGCTCGACATCATCCATCGCTCGCTTTTTGCCCTTCTTTCCTTTACTACTATTAGCTCCATACTTCTCAGTCAGGTGTTCCAAGAAGTCTGCAGATCTGTCTTGCTGTCGTTTCTGAATCAAGGCTGCCAGCGCATCTTCCGAGCTACCTTTTGACTTTGCGCCCTTCTTCGCAAACAACATGTCGTGAACGCCAATCTCCTTGGCATGATTCTCCGCCTCCTCTGCCTCAGCTTTTGCGGCCTTGACACGGGCTGCTCGCTTCTTCTTACTTTCCTTTGCGTAGGAGTCGAAGGCTGGCACGTCCTCCTTCGCAATGGCCTCGTCAATAATGCTGCGGAATCTCTCGTCATCTTCGGTGGCATCGCTCAGCATGACGCGTTCGTATATCTGGTCCATGTCGCCTTTACATTCTTCGTAGGCAATCAAAACATCATCTCTTTCCTCATCAGAGCCCTTGTATTTCTCGGCAAATTTCTTAATTGCGTCCGCAGATATTGAGTCTCTGAATTGTTCCCGATAGTAATCGCTCCAATTGAAGCCATCTGCGTCGACGATGGATTCTGACGTCGACCCGGTGGTGTCATATCGTTTGCGCCGCGCCGGGTCGGAGAGGACGGCGTAGGCAAAGGCAATTTCCTGGAACTTGGCGTGAGCCTCCTCTTTTTGTTCCCTGGTCACCTTGTCTGAGGGTTTCTATTAGCATAATTAGGATGGTTGGTACGTGTACGTGAAGCTCACCAGGGTGGTTCCTGAGCGCTGCCTTTCGGTAGGCACTCTTGATTTGGTCTGCTGTAGCCTCGCGGGGGAGGCCGAGCACCTCATAGGGGTCAATGACGGGTGGCTCATTATCCACAGAATCCTCGACATCAGACATCTTCGATATCTTTATCCTGGTCCTCTGGTGTGAATCACAGAATGGAGCCAGGAAATTGTGTTGACATGGAGGGAGGGATGCAAGTGTCACGCGTCAGGACGCGCCTGAGGCTCGGGGTGGACTGGAGGTTTAATGGGCGGGGCTCTGCAGGTGCCAGCGCCAAAACCACCAGACTTTGTCAGTCCCGGAATCTAGATCCAATGTCTGGGTTGAGTGCAACCCTCAACGATCCAAGGCATAATAGTTTCGGCCCCCATGACTCGGCAGACTCCCTAGTACCCAGCAGCATTATACTAATCAACAAACCTCTCTGCCCCTCCGCGTCCCACATCAGCTATGGCTTCAAGGACAGAACAGGATCACAAGACGCTCATGCGACGTGCCCTGGCATTAGCAGAGAAGTCACCACCAAAGCCGAGCAATTTCCGGGTCGGTGCCCTCTTGGTCAATCTTGATGATGGGCGAGTCGTCGCCGAAGGATACACTCTAGAATGCGACGGCAACACACACGCTGAAGAGTGCTGTTTTATCAAACTTGCCGAGCAGCACGCTACCAAGGAGGAGGGTCTAGTCGACATCATCAAAACTCCTCACGCATTATATACGACCATGGAGCCATGTTTCAAGCGCCTCAGCGGCAAATTACCCTGCGTCGAGAGAGTTTTACGGCAAAAGTCGTGGATAAGGGAGGTTTACCTCGGTGTACAGGAACCAGAAAAGTTTGTCGGTCAGAACCCTGGCCGAGGAATGCTTAAATCTGCCGGCATCAAAGTTGCGGCAGTGCCGGGACTTGAGGACGAAATTCTCGAGGTTGCAACAGCAGGTCATGCATCTGATGCTTAATGTCAACAAGTCACAGGGACGGTGGTCTGTTCAATGTGGCAGCTGGAACTTGTTACGAAATGGGTTGGCTGACAAAAAAGGCACGGATGTCTAATCACGAATAGTCGTCTGCTTTTAATACACGCCTAGCAGATGCATACGAAGTACAGCGACTATTCAACGATGTATGCACAATAGGCTTTTCAAACGTCATTTACATGGGAATCGACAAGGATATCTTATCACGAGGATGTTGAATATGACCGGGACTCTTCGTTCTCAATAGGCAGCCACACAGCTGCAACAGTTGTTCGGTACTGCGGTCCTACGTCACTATTTCCGCTGCTGTGAACCAGGAGTAAGCCTCTGCCTCAAGCAGGGGCGAAAAATCGGTCGCCGACTCCAGTAACTGTACCCTGTGATTTGTCTACAACGTCCGGGAAATGTTGGAGTGACTGAGAAGGCAACTCAATCCAGGGACAACTCGCAACACCATTCGGAAAACAGACGTAGTGAACCATTTAGCAGCGACCCAACCCCAATTAGCTTGCCAAGGGGAGGCAGTATTGGGGGGAATCAGCTTTGGAGTCGTGTTTCACACAACCCCACCGCATTGCTTCGCTCCCATTTCCCCGCATTTCCGTTGAAGCGCCGTTGAGTTGAAGGGCGCGGAGGGAGCGTGGAGGGAGCGTGGAAGTGCGTGGGGATGTTACGCAGGCGTCTTGCTCGGGTTGTCTTTGTTTATCGTGGAGCTTCTGAGAGTCACTGGTCAAGCCTCATCTGTATAGCTCTTGTTGAAGGGTGCAGGGGATTTCCAATTTTGCCAAGACATCCGCCACTCCCGTGATCCAACACTGGTTGCATGAACCTATCTCGTGTCGATCTGTTGCAGATGGGAGTGTAGCATTTCTGCCACATCCCAACGCCCCGTGACGTATACAACTACCACTACAACTTTGGCCATTAGTACTTCATTGGAGACATCTCGTATAAAGTCTTTGGATCCAGGAGGCCTGAAGCTCGGTATCGCTTCCTCTTTCTTATCTGCGTCAGAATTTGGGTATGCTTTGTGTTTGAATCGTCCGCCAACATGTTTGAACAGCCTGTTGTGACATTTGAGTCGGGCCAAGGATTCAGTCTCATTGGTGCAGACATCCTTATTGATCCTGATGAGTTTGAAGGAGTTCACATTGCAGCCAAGAACCTATCCAAAGACTTTACTAGAGTCACTGGCCAAGGTGGCAATGCCGTTCTGACCACAGCAACTGGCCGCGTTGAGTCTAAATCTTGCGTTATCGTGGGAACGCTGTCAAAGTCGGCAATAATCAAGAAGCTAGGATCTGACGGGAAAATTGACTTTTCCGGTATTGATGGAAAATGGGAATCCTGGGTCACCCAATGCGTGTCCAATCCAACCGAAGGCTATGACAACGCCTTGGTAATTGCCGGCAGCGACAAGAGAGGTGCTATTTACGGCATATACTCTCTGTCCGAACAGATTGGCGTCTCTCCGTGAGTTTTCAAAAGACCGAAGATTTGAGGTTTTTGTGTTTCTTACATCATGGCAGATGGCATTGGTGGGCGGATGTTCCCCCCAAAGTTCATGACGAAATTTATGCTCTCCCTGTGTCAACCCGCAACGGCGAGCCAAGCGTCAAATATCGAGGCATTTTTATCAATGATGAAGCACCAGGGATGGACTCCTGGGTCCACGAGAAATTCGGCCCCAAGTTTGATTCCAACTTCTACCACCTCGTGTTTGAGCTACTCCTTCGGCTTAAAGCCAACTTTATGTGGCCCGCCATGTGGAGGGGATACCCGTACCCGGGCAGATCATTCTTCGTTGACGATCCCAAAAACCAGGCTCTTGCCGACAGTTATGGGATAGTAATGGGCACTTCTCATCACGAACCAATGCAACGCGCCATGAACGAATGGTCCACCACACAGCCAGAGAACACTTGGAATTGGGAGATCAATAAGGAAAAGGTCACAGAGTACTTTAAATTTGGTGCAGAGAGAGCACGACCCTTTGAGTCGTACATCACGATGGGCATGCGAGCAGAAGGTGACAATCCTATTAGCGGCAGTGACCCTAAGAAGATCCTTACAGAAGTTCTTGATGTTCAAAGAGGTATTATAGAGGAAAATTACGGGAGCAAGGGCGGTGTGATGCGTAAGTTGACGCCCTTCATGTCGTAGTAGCCGGCGCTGATTTCCGTGGAAGAATTGATGGCACTATACAATGAGGTGCAACAGTATTATGACGATGGGCTGGAGATTCCAGAAGACATCACACTTCTTTTCTCTGATGATAATTTTGGCTCTCTGCGCCGATTGCCGAATGAGCAAGAGAAGAAACGCCCGGGCGGCTCCGGAGTAAGTACTTCTGACGACACACTATATAAATTTCCTAACGTCGGTTCAACCAGTACTACTACCACTTCCAATACACGGGATATCCTCGATGCTATCGGTGGATGAACAGCAACACGCTAGTAAGCTTACATTGTCGAGTACGTAAAATCAGTGTTGTGTTGACATGACATTTAGGGGAAAGCATGGCACCAACTACAACTAGCACATGCCGAAGGCGCAAATCGCATCTGGGTCTTCAACGTTGGCGATCTCAAGCCTTGCGAAGTGCCCATGAGCTTTGGGTTTGACCTTGCTTGGAATGTCCACTCCATCAGCGCCGACTCCTTTCCCCAATACTACGAGGAACTAGCAACGCGAGAATTTGGGCGCAAACACGCCAAGGGTATCGCCAAGGCTTGGTACGACTTTGACCGTCTTGTCGCACTCCGGAAACAGGACCACATCGATGTGAACACATTTATTCTGCTCAAGTACCACGAAGCAGACAATATTGTCGCGCGTTGGAAGACTCTGCTGCAGGATGCGAAGACAATCAACGCCAAAATAGACAAGGAGTACAAATCCGCCTTCTTCCAGCTGGTTCTCCACCCTATCAAGGCATCCTATCTGTGTACCTTGCTCCGAGTAACCCAGTATAGAAACCAACTGTTTGCCAAGCAGCGTCGAAATACTACAAATGTGCTATTCCACCGGAGTCTCGAAATCCTCAACAAAGACCATGATCTCATGATGGAATACCATACTATTAACGGTGGCAAGTGGAACCATATCATGAGGCAGCCGCACTACGGATACGGAGATACTGGTGCCCAACCGTCAAGAAATATGATTGACGGCCTGTGCTACGTCCAGACTAGAGAGGATTCCAACCCCAGCGTTGGGCATATGGGCATTGCTGTGGAAGGCATTGAAGGCATCAATCCCGGACATATCAATGAGGACTCGGACCGAACTCATCCATCCCGCAAGTGGCTGGAGCCGGGAGTGACTCTCCCCTTTATCACTCCGTACGGCCCGCAGGACCGGTATTTTGAAGTGTTCCACCGCGGAACAAAAGCGTTCTCCTGGGTCGCGAAACCGCAGTACGACTGGATCAAGCTCACTCAGTACCAGGGCCATCTCAAACCTGAAGATGACGACACCAGGGTGGTTCTCACTATTGACTGGACGCAAGTCCCCGCAAATTTTGATGAAAAGGTGTTCATCGAAGTCTTTGGTTCTCGAGATGGCTACGAAAAAGTCCACTTGACTGTGCGTCATAGTCGGGTCCCTGCTGACTTCACTGGCTTCGTTGAAACGAGCGGCCACCTCGCCATCGACGCAGGCAAATGGGCTACATCCCCATATCAGGCTCTTCCAGCCCTGGGCCGCACCGCTGCAGGGTCTGTGACTTTGCCAATTGGCACCGACCTGAGCAATCCCGACGACATTCCGTTCCTGCGCTACCCAATATATGTCCTCTCTGATCGCGACAACGCCAACCTCGAGCTGCAATTCAACATGACTCTGGAAACCGACCCGCAGAGCCGCATGGAGTATGACATACGCTGGGACGGCGGAGAAATCAAGCGATATCGCCTCACTGACGACGATCCCGGCAATGACCGCGGCCTCCCGCGAGACTGGAACGTGGCGGTCATGGACTGCGTCTGGAAAAAGTCCCATAACATTGGGCACGCCACAGTCGGCGCTCACACTATTGAGGTGCGATTCCGCAAGCCCAACATGATTCTGGAGAAGCTCGTTCTGGATCTTGGGGATTTGCGGTACACGTACTTGGGGCCCCCTGAGAGCGAGTATGTCGAGGGCGGCAGCCGCGCAGCTACCTGTATTAGACACAACGATCGGCTAAGCTTGGATTTGAGATATTAATCTGTTGACATCTCCATGTATATTCGTCTCTATTTTTCTTAACTTTGTTCAGTCATTCCCGGAATATAGAAGATGGATACTCGCTAGAAGAAACAATAAACACTACTTGCTGCTTCCATTCCCATGCTCTAACTTTGTAGAGCAACGGGCGTCATCGCCATGACAGGTAGAATATATGCCGAGGTTTTCAAGCATATACAGTATTTTATACTCGTACAACTACGGCATGGACCTCTTTTCTGCTTTGCTCAGCATAACCAGTAATTCAAGCACTGAGAGCAGCAACAGCCGCTGCATATTAATTAAAACTCTAGTCCGGTAATGACAGCCGTGTAACCGCGAGTATATTATCCCAGAAGCCAGCCCGGCGCCGCAGTCATCAGCACTAATTCCCAATTACGTCGAACAAACTCAACCCGCATTACAACTCGCACGATTACTTTGAAGATTCCGCAGCCTTAGGCTCCTCCTTCCCAGCACGTGCCAGTTTCAAAATCTCATGCCCCCCAATGATCCAAAACTTGTCGGGCGCCTTGTTCTCGCCCGCCAGCTGGGCAGCCTTGACAGCCGCCCTGGCAATAGCATCGGCGTCCTGCCCCAGGGCATCCTGGACGCCGCTGCTGAGCTTGCCCAAGCCCCTCACGGCGGCTTGCGCGAACCCCTCGGCGGCGCGGCTGGTCTCGCGCTCTCCCAGGATCATACCGGGCCGCAGGATAATGGCGTGGTCGAAGCCGAGCTCCCTGACGGCATCCTCCACCCCCTTCTTCATCTTGCTGTAGGGGGCCCAGCCGGACAGGAGGCCGTCGGAGCCGGCGCTGGAGATGAATACAAACGTGGCGACGCCGGCTTCCTTGGCCGCCCTGGCCAGCTCGATGTTGAGGTCGTGGTCAATCTTGCGCTGGTTCTCGAGACCGCCGGCCTGGGCGCGCGTGGTGCCCAGGGCGGAGAAGACGGCGGCTGGGGCGGGCGAGAGGCCGGTCAGCGCGGCGGCCCATTTGGTGGTGTCGGCGTCGACGATGGAGCTGAGGTTCGGCGAGGAGGGCTTGGGGGCGCGGCGGGTGATTGTGTGGACGGGCTTGTAGATGTCGCCGGCTAGGAGGTTGGATAGGATGTGCGAGCCGACGAGGCCGGTGGAGCCGATGACGGCGGCAGACATGGTGATCGAGTACTCGGGTATGGAGGTGGTAAAAATCAGTTCGGCGAGGGGCTTGGATGGAGGATCAAAAAGGCCAGGTTGAGGCGGCAATAGATGGCTGAGTTGTGGGCAAGCTCAAGCCCGAGTCTGAGGTCAAGCTCTCAGAGCTCAAGCTACTGTGACATCTGCCGAGTAGCTTGGGAGGCAAGAGCGGAGTTGGCGGGAGGGCGGGACGGAAGGCGCGGCGCTGCATACCTGCCTCCTTAGGCAGCTAGGTGGGTAGCATATATAGAGGGTACTAACACACAAAGTTATGTGGCGTGGCCATGCCAAGTTTTTGGTGCGACGGGACATCTGGACTGTCTCGTGCATTTCATCGAGTGCCACGACACGCAATGGCCAGTTCAGCAGGGCTCAATAACCGACAAGTTCCGATTGCGCTTGGTAAAGGGATGCAAATACTCCGTACAGACGACTTATTTACGGCCTGATTTGGCATTTGGATCTCACAAGTAGTATGAACTTGTTGTTGGCAGCGGAATCTAGCCAATCGCCTTACACGGCTGCTCGCACAAGCCATCCCTTTTCGAACTTGATGTATCCATCACAAGGATCGTGGTAGTACAGGATGTGTCTCTAAGATTGTTTCCCTTTACCTTTACTTTCGTTCTCTTTTCTCCTCTTTCGTTTCGCCTGCCTTCTCTATTCACTGCCGGCTCCGCGAATTGATCTGCGGAAATCGACGCTGCCAGAGCCAGAAACTCACCCGTATAAGTAGAACGGACAAGAGATTGATCTTGGTTATCGCTGGGGCACAAATACTCATGGGATACAAACCGTGACCAAGGATATTGCTCTGGTACACAGAGCGGGCCTAGAAGTCAAATCTTGTATCAACAAGAATAAGGCGACTGGCCCAGAGCGCCAACTCTGCGATTCCTGCTTCATCTCCTGCAAAGTCGACCAGCGCAAGCCAATTCTCGCATAGGCAGGGAAAACAACATGCTTCGTGAATCAAGCACCACAAACTCCTCCTCGTCTCACGGCCGACCGGCAATATCGGCACGCCCACGTGCTGAGAAGACGGGACGCTTGTGGATGCGGCGCGACCCTTGCCAACCCAATTCTTTAGCTTGCATCTTCCGGTCCCGAACTATACATATACATACATACATACAAGCATGTAATTTGACATCTAGTGCCCATAATAACCGGCCGCATGGGACCAAACTGGACCAAATTGCAACAACTTGAGTGTCGTCCGTAATATGCAATAGAGTAACACACACATGTCCCTGGACATGTCGAATCACGTCGCCAGCGCATCGCAATGCAGCCATTACACATGTATGACAGCTGCACGTGTCGCACACACGCAGGGAATTCGACGCGTAGCTAAATCCGGGACCGTGATGATTGCTAGTCTCTCTATCAACGTTGCCGATATCCGGTACATGGTGCCATCGTCCCTGGTCTAATGGACTTAGCCGGGCCGTCGTCAGTCCAATATCCGATTTGTATCTTTCCAGCCGGTAAAAGAAAGACCAGTCCGGAGCGCTAGTCTGTCAAACTTCGCTTTCTCGCGTGTTGTCTCTCCGACTCTGGTCTCTTGACAAGTGAGGCCCTACGCAGCCGACGCAAAAGACACCATGAAGATCGCCGCCGCCGCCATTGTCGGCTCAGCCCTGGCTTCTTCTGCCCAGTCTAAGCCTACGGCTGACGAGAGATACCCGTACAATGGCCCCGATGTCCCCATTGGAGATTGGGTCGACAAGACGGTCGAGGGAAACGGCAAGGGATTTCCCCGTCTGGTCGAGCCGCCTGCTGTGAAGCCTGCCAGGGCGAATCCCAGCAACAACGTCAATGTCATTTCTCTTTCCTATGCGGGAAACGGGGTCAACATTCATTACCAGACTCCCTTTGGTCTCGGCGCCTCCCCTTCCGTGGCATGGGGAACGAGCGCTGGCTCGTTGACCAGCATTGCTACTGGATCGAGCCGCTCGTAGGTTTCTTTCCCGAGCATCAAACCATGCCAAATCCAGCATGTCGTGACTCTTCTTGTGCTCTTCTTACACGTATAGGTATGACCGCACTCCGCCGTGCTCTCGGGTCGCCGTCACCCAGTGCAGCCAGTTCTATCATGACGTCCAGATCCGCAACCTCAGCCCCGACACAACCTACTATTACAAGATCCCTGCCGCCAACGGCACCACTGCTTCCGAGGTTTTGAGCTTCAAGACTGCCCGTGAGGCCGGGAGCAAAAGGGCCTTTACTGTCGCCGTCCTCAACGACATGGGGTACACCAATGCCGGCGGCACTTTCAGGGAGCTCAACAAGGCCGTCGACGAGGGAGTCGCGTTTGCCTGGCACGGCGGCGACATCTCCTACGCAGACGACTGGTTTAGCGGCATCCTGCCCTGCGCAAGCGACTGGCCAGTGTGCTACAACGGCACCGGCAGCGAGCTCCCCGGCGGCGTTACGCCCGACTATGAGACTCCCCTTCCGGCGGGCGAGGTTCCCAACCAGGGGGGTCCTCGGGGCGGCGACATGAGCGTGCTGTACGAGTCGAATTGGGATCTTTGGCAGCAGTGGATCAACGGCATCTCCATGAAGGTGCCGTACATGGTTCTGCCGGGAAACCACGAGGCTGCGTGTGCGGAATTCGACGGGCCAGGTCAGCTGCTGGCTTCGTATCTGAACAGGAACGAGCCCAACAGCACGTCGCCCAAGTCCAACAAGTTGACGTACTACAGCTGTCCCCCGTCACAGCGGTAAGAAAGCCTGGGGTTCACCGGATTCGACCTCGGGAGGTTGACAAAGTGGCTAACCGTGAGAGGAAAGGAACTACACTGCCTACCAGCACCGCTTCCGCATGCCCGGCCGAGAATCCGGAGGCGTAACCAACTTCTGGTACTCGTTCGACTACGGCTTGGCCCACTTCATCTCCTTCAATGGCGAGACGGACTATCCCTACAGCCCCGAGTGGCCGTTTTCGCGGGACGTCAAGGGTGGTGAGTCCAAGCCCAAGGAGAACGAGACCTTCATCACCGACAGCGGTCCATTTGGCGCTGTTGACGGGAGCATCTACACCAAGGAGTCGTACGAGCAATACCGCTGGCTGGAGAAGGACCTTGCCAGTGTCGACAGGGAAAAGACACCATGGGTCATCGCCATGAGCCATCGACCCATGTACAGTTCACAGGTGTCGGCGTACCAGAAAAACATGCGGGATGCGTTCGAGGGCCTGTTCTTGAAGTACGGTGTTGATGCGTACTTGTCTGGGTAGGTTCAAACCACGGAACCGCGATCCATGTGAATAGCAGCCTGGCTGATTCTAATCCCCCATCAAGTCACATTCACTGGTATGAGCGAACGTTTCCCCTCGGGAACAACGGCACCATCGACAAGGCCGCGATTATCAACAACAACACGTACCGCACCAACCCCGGCAAATCCATCACGCACATCATCAACGGTATGGCTGGCAACATTGAGAGTCACAGCACTCTTTCCAAGGGCCAGTCTCCGCTGAACATTACCTGCGTGCTGGACCAGTCACATTACGGGTTCAGCAAGCTGACCATTCACAATGAGACGGTGCTGACGTGGTCGTTTGTCAAGGGGAGCGACGGGAGCAGCGGCGACGACTTTACCCTCGTCAAAAAGGGGTCCGGTTCTGACAGCCGCAATTCGACTATGACTTCTCAGTCTGGTATTGCTGCCACGGATAAGACGACCAGCACAAGCACACGCACCGCTGCTGCGGGTGGCATCACCACCGTCACCGAGGTGGTCAACTCTTATACCACCTACTGCCCCGGCTCGACGACGTTTACGCAAGGCCCCAGGACATATGTTGTGTCCGAGGTAAGCAAAACGTGCGTATCGACTTCCAGTTTCATTGACGTTGATGGGTTTTTTCAGGCGACGACCTTGACGATTACCGACTGTCCTTGCACTCTGACGCACACCAAGTCTCTGCCAAGGTATGCTCGTTTAACCGTGCGCTGAAAAATACAATCGCTGATGGGATAATTAGCGCCGGCATTTCATCCGCCGTCATCTCCGGCAACAGAACGGCTGCTCCGTCCGGAAACGTCCCCGACAAGACCGAGGGCGGCTCGAGCCTTGCGCATCTCACATCCGGGGGCCAGCAGCCTACTCCTGCAGGACCTACATCCAGCCCAGTGGGAGCTGCGGGCACGACTGCTTCCGTGCTTGTAGCCCAGGGTGGTCGAGTTGGTGCGGATGCTTCTCTTGTTGGATTTGTAGCTCTTGCTGCGGCGGCTGCGGCTCTGATGTAGGCAACGGGAGGAGGTTCTTCTAGGCGGTATTCCTTGACGTGCAGTTTCGGCGGTGATTCAACAAGAACCTCGCATTGTGTAGCTGGTTTCAATAAAATGCATAATGGTAGTGAGCTCTAACAACGGATGGATGTAATGTGTAAATTCGACCATGTGGCTCCTAGATAGAGGCAAACTTATCCTTGCCCAAGAAATCAACATGGTGCGGGACCCTGAAAGCACCCGCCGCCGCGGCCCCACCCGACACGACGTCAAGCAGCTGCTCGAGAGCTCTTTCCCTCCGCCTCCAAGCTCTCAGCTAGATGTAACTACACCAGACGACTTGCGACGCCCGTCGTCTGCCTACTGCCGACCCCAACACAAGCACCAACGGCCACCATCTCACGATCCCCCTTCCCAACCCAAACCACCATCCCACCCGCCGCCCATTCACTCACTCTGCAAGTCCGAAAAAAACCACCCATCACGCCGCAGCCATGGCAACACAATACGAAGGTAAGTGCTTCCCTTCCCCCCCCTCTCCTCTCTCCCCTCCTCCCCTCCCACGAGACTAAACAGCCCACCAGTCGAGCACAACGTCCAGTTCGCAGAGACGCAGCCGCGCTCCCGCCGCGTAAACATGGACTCGTTCTTCTCCCTGCTCAGCCGCGTCAGCGACTCGGGCACCGCCACCCCGCACAACAACCCGCACGCGACGCCCACGCTGCCCGACATGGCCAACATCTTCCGCCTCCTCCAGGACCAGATGCAGACCCTGGCGAGCACCGCCCCGACCGCCGAGAACCGCACCTTCCTCATGGACCTGGTCGACACGCTGGACGGGGACATCCTCGACCCGCCCGACCGCCTGCGCGGCGTCGGCCAGGAGTTCCTCGACGCGCTGGACCGCGTGGGCCGCAAGACGCTGCGCGCCGACGACGACTGCGCCATTTGCAAGATCCCCTACCTCGAGGACCCGTACTGCCTTGTCGTGGAGCTGCCGTGCAAGGGCGCCCATCGGTTTGACCTCGAGTGCGTCGGGCCGTGGCTCAGGAGCAAGGGCACGTGTCCCATGTGCAGGGAGGAGATGGGCAAGAAGAAAGTTGCTGCTGTGCAGGAGGGCGATGACGAGGACGAGGACGACATGGACATGATTTACGCGTAGAACGGGGGTTGGATGCGGATATTTGGCGTACGGAGTGTGTTTTACTGCCTTGAGTGTGAAATAAGAAGCATTGACGTCGTCGTCATAGTATATATATAAAGAGGAGGGGGGACAGGATACCACGCTTATGAGATTTTTTTTGCTTTAGTGAAGCGCCGTATATTGGCAGTCTATCGAGTGGCACAGCCACGAGTTTTGGCAAGTCGTGTATAACCCCCCCCTTCTTAGTTGCCCTCAATTTTCTTCATCGTTTCCAAGGCCTTCTGCGCCTTCTCCTTGGCCGCTCCGCTCCCAGCCGTAGCACCCAAAACTCCAATTCTCTCGCTCCAGAAATTCCACCGGTCACTGCTCAGCCCGGAAGCCTCAATCTTGAGCAAAGATCCAGGCTTCAAGGCCCGCTGTTCCATCGCGTCCAGTTGCTGGGCCTGCCGTCCGTTGGCATACAGCGCCTTGCCGGCGTGAACAATCCACTCGTATGCCGTGGCAATCCTCGTGTCCTTGGCGTTTGGTCGATCCTCGGGTGGTTCTTCCAGGCCAGAGCGCAGCTCCCAAATGCCCAGATTCACCCACGGCTGCAGCGAAGCGCCGTACATTCTTGCCGCAAAGGAGTTGAGCGAGATCCATTCCTGAATGGTGGCATTGTCCTTTTCTGAGCCATCGAAATCGGGAGACACTACAACCACCGGCTGTTAACTACGATGCGCTTTGATTCAAAGAAAAGGGGGGGAGGGGATACACACAATTCCACTCGTCTCTCATGACGGGTCCAAGCATGGGCAGTTCAGTCCAAACTCGCGTCTTCTGCCCCCACATCTCAACCTCTTCGTCCCGCTTGTTTTTGAGCTTCCCGATGGTCGTGACGAGGAGTTGCTGACGGGCATCATCAGCGGGTATCTTCTTGGCCACGGCGACGAGGAGCGTCCAGAAGCTCCAGAGGAAGCCTTCGGCCGCGGAAACGTCAGAGGGGTAGAGCTTGTCAATCTCGCCGGCGGTGGTTTCGGCCGAGAGCTCCGTGGGGGCCAGCTCGTTGATGGCATTGGAGAGGATGGATATGATTCTAGGCTCGTACTCTGAGGAGGAGTCCTTGTTGAGCGAGCTGATGTCGATGGGGGGAGGCATGGTTGGCGGTTGTGTGGCGCGACGGCGACGTTTGGATGACGATGGCGGGGCTGAAGCTATCGGAAACGGAGGGGCTCTGTTGGATGTTGATGGTCGTGTTTGAATGGGGGTAAAGGAAGGAAATGGTTTCGTATAGAGCGTGGGGGATAGAAGATTGAAGTTGGAGTCGTTTTGTTTGTGTATCGCGCCACGAACGAGCCACGCCGCTTTCTTTGTTTGTTCCAGTCGGATGGAGGACAAGAGAGATGGTGGGCAACACATGTTGCAGCGTAAACTGTGGCGTGAGCTGCGTCACTGGCTGACGGGAGGCCTGGAACGGAGGCCTGGATGCGGGGCAGCTTTAATCGGGAGGCGGAAGGAGGCGGCAGGAGGCGGCAGGAGGGGCATCGAGGGGCCAATCATTCAGGACCGTCGAGACACGGTCTTGTCCTTGTCCTTGGCCTTCTCCCGCCTTGGCACCATGCAACTCTGAGACTGCGCCTCGCTTTCTAGATGGCCTGGATTACAGCCTGTGGCAGAATGTATTTGCCTATTAAGCAATATACACAGGTATGCTTTTTAAGTGTTCTTTGTTTTATTTTCAAAGACAAATGATAATACAAGCATTACAAGTATCGTGCAAGCTTGCATCTGGAAACACAATGCTGGGTTAGGGTCCACACAGTCACGTGTGAGGCACTCAAGTATATCTTCTAACTAGCTCTTTCCTTTCACATCATGATCAAGCTTTTCTTTTTTCTAGCTCCTTTGCAATCCAACTTGTCAGTTGCATCACGAGCTCTTGTGGCCTTTTCGTAGATCCCTCCGTGCGGTCCCTCACATGTCGGGCCGTACCAAGCCAAAAACCAGTCAGAAACAAGAGAATACACGGTCTGCGCACCGATACACGAGTAGGTTGCAGTATTTTAGAGCATACTAAACAAAGTATGGCACGACAAATCCCCTTTTGCCAGGGGGAATTCTATTTTCAATTACACTAAAATATAGTAAACCATATTTATAGTATCAAGCATAAAGCGTGACTGGTAAGTACTTGGTCTAGTCAGATCCTTTTTGCCTCCCACTGATATTCACTAGAACATAGTGCCACTTTTTGCAACACCCAAAAACCCTGATCGAAGTTAACCTCAAGCTGGGTTTACACTACAGAATATTACAACGCTACTCTGGGCGGCGCGAACAGCCGTACCGGACTAGCTTGCAGACCGAAAATGCGCCGGCCCCGTCTAGGCTATGGCTGTAAAGAAAAATCATGGTAGTAGGTCAAGCCTCCTTGGTTTTTCTGAAATAAGCTGCGGCCATGTGGGTATATGTGAAGATTGAACATGTAGGGGGAGGGTGCCGGCCAGCTAGCAATCAGGACAACAACGTACAAATAGTACAACTCTTCTCCTTTTCGGTTGATCGAGCCTCGTCATCGCATATGCTTCTGGCACATGATTCAACATGAAATATCACTGGCTTTTGCCACTCGTGTGGCTCTGCATCAGTTCTGCCATGCCCGTAGGTTCGTCGAAATGGCTCACCGATGCTAGTTCCAGTAAGTTTGCTGTTTACACCCCAGCGGTTCATCTCAGTTACTTATGCTGACCACCATCAAAGAGTATGTTGTTAACGGGACGGCGATCCCCGATATTGACTTTGACATTGGAGAGTCGTATGCCGGTCTGTTGCCCGTAACCATCCAGCCTGATGAAACGGACCACTTGTACTTTTGGTTCTTCCCTACCTCCACCAGGGAATTCAGGAAAAAAAAGAAGGAGATTGTCATTTGGCTAGGCGGTGGTGTAAGTCGCCCACAATTTCCACACGACATGGCAGCTGGCCTCTTGTGGCATCAGCTAATAACTCATCTGCTCTTAGCCCGGCTGCTCTTCCCTCTTCGGCCTCTCCCACCAGAACGGTCCGTTTCTGTGGAAGCCCGGCATGAAGAAGCCGCTCAAGAATCCTTGGGCGTTCAATACCTTGACCAACGTGGTTTGGGTCGACCAGCCTGTGACGACGGGGTTTGCCAGGGGCAAGGCTACCGCGAAAAATGACGACGAGGTTGCAAAGCAGTTCCTGGGCTTCTGGAAGAACTTTGTCAACGTCTTTGACGTCAGGCGGTACGACATTTATATTGCGACCGAGTCCTACGGCGGCATGTACGGTCCACACATTGCCAAGCACTTTATCAAGAATCCGTTCTACATCTTCAAGGGTCTACTGATTTACGACGGCATCATGTTTGACCGCCACATTCAAACCAACGTGGTGGTGAGCAGCTTCACAGACATGAACCGCGACAATTTGCCCGTTGACGAAGAAACTCGGCAGCAGTGGCACAATACTGCCCACGACTGCAACTTCACGTCATACGAGAAGAAATATCTGCAGTACCCTCCTCACGGCCCGCAGCCCACGCAACTCCCTGGCTATGAGGAAGGCGCCGAAGGGTTTGTCTTTCCTCGCCAGTCCTGCGTTAATTTGTTTACCACCGTCTTTGACAAAATTACGGAGCTGAACCCGTGCGCCTCCATGTACAACATCATGAGCAAGTGTCCGCCTCAGTTTGACCCCATCAAGGGCAGCGGCGCGCCCTGGTTCGACCGACAGGACGTCAAGGCGGCCATCAACGCGCCTATGGATGTGCAGTGGGTGCCGTGCCGGGACAAGGTCTTTGCAAACGCGAGAGACGAATCGCCTCCGTCTGGCCAGGATGTCTTGCCGTTTGTTATTGACGCGACGAAAAACGTCATTATTGCGCATGGCGCCATGGATCTTTACCTGCCAATGAATGGTGTCCTCTTGGGAATTCAGGGCATGACTTGGGGTTACGAGATGGGATTCCAAAAAGCACCCGAGGAGCCCTTCATTGTTCCAAGGTACAACGACGGGCCTGCTTCCAGCAGCTACGCGCACGACTTGCCGTCTGGCACGGGCATCATCGGCACAACCCATCATGAACGCGGTCTCACATTCGTGGCTACCAAGCTGGCGGGCCACGAGGGTTCTGGCGATTCTCCCGCCGGCGCCTTGCGCCATCTTGAAAAACTGACGGGTTGGGTCGACACCTTGTCTTCCCATGCGCCCTTTACACTTCCGGAAATTCGCATTGTCCCGCAACCTCCCGGGGAGGTCTCCAAGGGCATTGTTCCCATTCCCTGTTTGAGCAGTAGCTGTTGAGGCTCCAAGTAAACGGGGCCGTATTGCAATGGAACTGTGCAGGGTGGTTGGTAAAGCAGAGGAGGAAATTCTCGCGACTCGGATGAATGGGAAGCGACGCCGGATCGAGGCGGGTCGGCTTCACGCATTATCAAATGCGGCCCGGGGTTTTCGGATGACGGATCAGCGGGGACTTTGGCGTACACCTGCGGCTGCATCTACGTAGTCTGTGGCAGAATATACTTGCCCACCGAGAAGTATACACTAGTATACTATAGTATATGATGATATGAAACGCGATAGTCAGGCACTTGGTGTCAATGGTCAAACACTTTTTGCCTCTCACTGTACAATCTGCCTCCTGAGTTTAGTGGCTAGTAGGTGAGATTTGAACATGGAGCCACGGCACTCCCGTGCTGCCGTGCTGCCGTGCTACTGCCGTGCCGCGTCCGCATCCGGGGCTTCGTCGGCCGATTTCACTATTCAAGGGAAGAAAAAGACGACGAGGTCTGGTCGAGATGCCAGGTACCTGCTTCCGGCTGCTGTTGCCAAGTGCCTGGGTATTCGCATCGGGTGTAGACGGCGCGTTGGAGCCATTCCGCTGCCGAATGCCGCCGATCCGACGACCCAAGCAAATATTGGGAGCGGAAGCTACCAGACATGATGCCGTTTCCAAGCCGCCTCCCGCCTCCCGCCTCCCGCAGCCCGCAACCCGAAAGAAACCCCGCCGTGTTTAGTCTAGTCTCTAGTCTGTTTGATGCATGTGGATACAGTTTGTCCCGGCTGCTGGGGCGCTTGGCAAACAAATACTAGTCTAGTCTGGTATTTATTAGAAACCAGACTGCACATTCACCTTGTTCCCACGTCGAAAATGCTGTCGTCCTGGCTTCTAGAACAGAAACTCCCTTTTGTCTGCTAAGACCTGGTACCGTTGACCTCTTCTCCCGCACAAGCCACCATTCGGCGTGTCTGCCACGCCTGTCCGACCGCATCCGACGTCTGAGCCACTCAGCAATGCCAATGGCCGATATCCACCACAGCTGGTCGTCCACGCCGTGGCAGCGGCAGCATCACCTTGCAGTGCCCATGTTGCACAAGTCTCGCGTCCCCTACACCCGTCCGTCCAACAGCCTCCAGCACGTCCATGTCTGGGTCCCGACCAAGTATGCACCGGACGAACCCAGAGCGCCCTCGCCGTCGTGGCTCCCTCCCCCCGACACCACGCTCTGGATCGTCTACATCCACGGCGGCGCGTGGCGAGATCCGCTCGATACGGCCGACAACCTGGCGCCCGCGCTGAAGAGCCTCTCCCCGGCCTGGCTCGCCTCCCGCGAGGCCCCCGTCGCCTTCGCCTCGGTCAGCTACTCGCTGTCGCCGTACCCGCAGCACGCGACGCACCCGAGCGCGCCGTCCGACCCGAGCCGCAATGCCACGCACCCCAGGCACATCCTCGACGTGCTTTCCGCCATCGCCTACCTCCAGAGCGCCGCCGGCTTCGGGAGCAACTACATCCTGGCGGGGCACAGCTGCGGCGCCACGCTGGCGTTCCAGGCCGTCGTGAACCCGGCGAGATGGGGAGTCGACCCGGACAGGGCGCCCGTCCAGGCGCCCCGGGTGGTCGTCGGCCTCAACGGGCTCTACGACATGCCCAAGATGGTGGCGCGCCCGGGCCATGGCTACCGCCAGCACCGCGAGGTCTACGAGCAGTTCACGAGGGGCGCCTTTGGCGACGACGAGCGCGTCTGGAGGGCCGTCAGCCCCGTCTACATAGAGGACTGGGCGCGGGAGTGGCCCGGCGGGAGACACGCGCTGCTCGTGCAGAGCCGCGAGGACACGCTGGTTCCGTTCTCAGAGGCCGAGGCGCTGGAGGCCAGCTTGTTGAAGTCCAAGGGCGAGCGGCTGAGCGTCGAGCTGGTCGAAGGGCGCGGCGACCACTATGACATCTGGAAGCAGGGCACGTTGTTGGCGGAGATGCTGACGCGAGCTATTGACGTGTCGGGACTGTAAGAGTTGTCCTGTATTCATAATCGCCCCCGAAGGCAAAATGAGAAGAAAAGACAGAAAGTATCCCACATCCATGACCGAGTATAAACCGCCGCACATACATGTCTTGACAAGAAGAATCCTCGGCGTAGAAACAAGAAAAAAGACACCGCCATCCGATCATGCAATGGACATCTTCATGCCGCCGTTTGCGCAGACCACGCTGCCGGTAGTCCAGCCCGCCTCCTCCGAGCACAACATGTCGATCGTCCCGGCAATCTCCCCCGTGAGGCCGGGCCTCCTCCCCGCCATGCCCTCGCGCACCGTCTTGTCGAACCTCGCTGCGTCCTCGCCCACCGCGTCCAGCACGTCCCTGTCCCCGTGGTACGCGGCCAGCGGCGCCGCATCCACGTACGGCTGGTTGATGCTCCAGAACGCGCCGCCCGCCTGCGCGTACATGTCCCCCCACGCCGGGCCGGGGTTCACCGCATTCACCGTCGCCCTCTCGGCCAGCTCCCTGCTCCAGGTGCGCGTCATGGCCTCGACGGCCGCCTTGCTCCCCGCGTACACCGACTGGCCCTGGTACCCGATGGACGAGCTGACGCTCGAGACGTTGACGATGCGGCCCGAGCGGTCGGTGGGCAGGAACGGCGCCGCGGCCTGCGTGAGGAGCAGCGGCGCGAGCACGTTGACGGCGTACACGCGGCCGAACTCGTCGGCGGTGATGGGGCCCAGCGCCGCGTCGTTGAGGTGCTGGTTGGACGCCACGCCGGCGTTGTTGATGAGCGTGTCGATCTGGAACGCGCCCGAGGGGCTGTAGGCGGCGAAGAGCGCGCGCGCGGCGGATATGATTTGCGGCGCGGCCGCGGACGGGTCGGAGAGGTCGGCTTGGACCGAGGCGCACCGGACGCCGTGCGACGTCGAGAGCTCCGCGACGAGGGCCTCGGTGCGCGCCTTGGAGGACTCGGATGTGTATGCGAGGACGAGGTTGGCGCCCTTGGCGGCTAGACGTCTTGCTACGGCTTCTCCGATTCCTGTATTCCGGGGACGTGGTCAGTCGACAAGCGGGCGGGAAGAGGAGGTGCTTGTGGCCCGTGGACGGGGGAGGACAAACCCCGCGAGCCGCCGGTGACGATGGCCAGCTTGTTCTCATACGGTCGTGACAGTCGCTTTGCCATACTGGGGGCTTTGATCAAGTACACGCAGATTCCTGCTTGACTGCGGAATCTTCAAATTCAAGTTACATGCGCGCGACCAGCGATATAAATCTTGCATGTTTCCTGGCCCGGGAGCCGTCATGTCAAACCGCGGGGCAAATGGGGCCCCATGGCGGGGTGCTGCCTCCCGATAGCGGGTCTGCGCTGGGCAGCATCAAACATTGAAATAAGCGCTCCAACGACAACTGAGTTCAGGTATCGAGAGAGGAGCCTGCTGCTACCCTAGACTCCACTTGCTCTCCAGCTGTTTCCCAACATTGAAGCTTGCGAAACGGGGTTGAGAGCTGGTTTATGACTTTATTCGGCGGGTGGCGTCGCTTTGTTGCAACATGATGAAATCCAAGACATCTTGTGGGATGCGCATTGTCCCGTGTGACGATGTTCCCTGATTGCTGTGGAAGCGCGCCAATAGCGATCCGTCGCCTCCCCATCTCCGAGTTTCCTGCGTTTACACGTGGAGCTTGTAGAAATTTCCGAAGAGGTGATCAAGGCAATTCCGAGTACCGGGCCTGGCCGTTTTGAAGAGGCGCCTGGTCGCACAGCGAGACCGTTCACGGATACCAGACTCTGCCGAAGCGGTAGTCGTCCACGAGGATAGTAAATTTGTACTTATAGGGCGAGATACCGCTGTCATAGTTCATAATATGTCGTTTCATGTTGACACATAAAGAGAGATCCGCTAGGCGTGCGTAATCGACCCGATTCTGACTACTATTCATACGAGAGACACCTTGCTACCTGCCGAACATTCTATTCAACCAACACCAATTCTTGGCCACCACATCAAGCCTCCTCAATGCCATTCTGTTTGAATTGGGCGTATCGGGGCCTTGATCGACCTGGGCCATAGCGTACATACTCTCCGCGGAGGGCTTGGAGCTGTTCGATTAGCCGGGTCGACATAACCTTCTAACATTGCAGGCCACTGTCGAGTAAAATGTACAAGTCTTCTCTTCTGTAGCGCGCGCGTGTATGTTCTAGCTGTCAAACGAAGAACATAGAAAGTGCAAACTCGTTCCTAAATGAGCATCATCTATTTCATATTTGAAACGCCAGTGATTCGGTAATCGGGACAGCGACGGAAGCCCAAATGATTCGGATATACAAAAGCTGACTTCAAAGAGCTGCCACATACAATGAATGGCCAGTGACATCGAGGCATGTCGCAGAAACTCGTCACCGTGATGGCCTTTTGCAAATGGGCTTGCATTTGTGAAGCTGCTCAATAAAGCGTCTGTGTGCTCCGTCTGGCCTGGCTTTTCGGATGCCCATGGGTCACAGCGAAATGCCTTCAAATGTTCCTCTCTGCATCCGGGTTGGGTCCGTCGTCCCCTGGCCAATGTTGTCCGCAATGGCAAAGCAGTGGCTGCCAACCACCACAGGGTCTGCGATTTAGTGCTTGATCTCTGATGTTTGAGGATCTGAACTGCGGCTGATGCGTGAGCCACGGTTCTCCACGGTTTGCAGATCGGTTGCATTGACTTGACTCTACAGTAGCACCCTGACAGCCCATCGCCTGCCGGTCGTCAAGCCGCGATTTCTCGACTGGGAAGGCCCTTGTTGGTTAGAACATGTCTTCAAGGAAGCTGATATTTTGATCCTTGCAAATTTCGGGGTAATGTAGCTGTTTGGATTCTTGGACGAAAACCATGCACCAACCAACCAAGTCATCTGGGGATGGGACATAGGAGGACCAGAAAACACAGAATCCAGGTTCCAAACAAAGAACGGACCGTTTCCAGCTTTGGGACAATGCTCCTACGAGGACCACGCTGTCAATATGCAAGACTTAGCGCGGCGCCTCCAGCCCGTGTCATTGTCATGGCACACTAATTAATTGGCCACATGTACTGTCAGCGACTGATGCCCCTGAAAGAAGCTCAAGCATCGTGGACGTCACGGGCAAGATATCAGGGTTCTTCCGGTTTCGCTCATGCTTACCGGTATCAGCCATATTTGGAGCTGACTTGCCGGGCTGAGGCATACCGCCGCAAACCAACCCGGTTTCTGAAACAAGATACTGCGATCAAATTACGTACTCTGAATCAGCCGCCGCTCTGGCCGCAAAGAGAAGGACCACTACATGCGGCTGCATGGCTAAAGATGGCTATTGACCACGGTAACTGGAATGTAGTGCGACTGGTTGGATGGAGAAGTTCGCCCGTAAGCTCGCCACGTTGGCTCTAAGAGAGAGTAGAGTGTTGGGGGTGGTCGATGATGTTGCTCCAGAAGGATGACACCATGCGCGAAACGTGCTCTATAAAACGTCCTTGATACGATCTGTAATTTAACCTGTAGTATGGTAATGAGCTAAGCTGCATTCCGTGCGCTCGAGTCCGGATGTCGGGGGAGCAATGGCAATGCACTGGTTTGCACACTTTGTCTACGTGGCTAGGTAGTTATCAAACTGAGTAGATTCGTTTCGGAAAGATAACGACAGACAATTCTGTACTGATTTAGCTTGGTAGTGATTACCACCCTACGGAGTACCTGTACATACATACAGACCTATCGGCCAAACTTGGCATATAGCCTGGTCCTGACCACTGGAGTGCACCACAAAGTGGATGCGCGATCGGATCTCAAGGACGAGCCGCCATTTGCGCGGTTGTCTTTGCGACGGCGGCCAATAGCTCGATAAAGCGCAATTGATTTGATGGCGCAAGGCGAGTCCCGCGGATCGGCTCGACGCGGTCGCATTGAGGCCCGACGGCTGGGGTGTACTCCTGTACTGCCGTTGTGGTTCCAACGCAACTGTATCGTCAACCTTTAAACAGAGATGCACTTGTCTGGCTTTGACGTACAAGTCATCTTACAAAGTGCGGTTCCACGGGCGTATAGGTATATGTACCCCAGATAGTGAATTGATGTAGATGACACCGGACAGTTTGTTAGCAAAAGCAACTAGCGCCACTGAAACTCGGCTGTTGACGCTTGTAAGAAGAGCCGCACCAGGGGCAGAGTTTCCCTTTGCCAAGGGCCCGCTTTGATCTCGATACAATTATGGTGTTTTGCTCCTCCTGCTTGTACGTCGAACTGGAGTGACTGTAGAAGTCGCTATTCCCTCAAATCTTGCTGCGTAGGACACAACTAAGCTGATAACTGTGATTTGTGGTGGCGCTGCTGGTGGATAGATGGTTGTACCGAGTCTTTGGCAAGACACTTACCCGTCACCCGACGCTTTCTATCGTGGCATATGTTTTGATAATATTAGCAGCCAAAGATATCCCCTTCCTTATCCAGCCTGCTCGCTAAATTGGTCGACTAGGTGCGGCTATCCATATTGGTGGGCAATCAATCAAGAACAGTGTCATGGTACAGAAACAGAACCAAGAAACATCCAGAGTACAGAGTAGTACACCCCTCATTTAAGTGACCCAGAAAACAATAAAATTAGGGCGTCTCCGGACCACTCATGTCAGTAAGAACAGTGACATTCAGAGGTCGAATACTGTCGACTCCTCTCGCAGGGCGCAAACGGGCGCCCTCGCTTCAAGCCCTTGAACCAACAACCCTCTTGGGGCTTTTGCGACAGTCAAGGGCATCAAGGCACGCTGTTGCGTACTCCTAGCTCCCTCATGGTACGGAGTAGACCGCCTCATGATGATAGGCAAGCTGACAACCCCTGGCCTCCTGCACCACTTAAAAAAAAAGTGATTTGCATGGGCAAGTGCTACATAGTGGCTTGCTGGGATCGACAGGACACGTGGGCCAGCAGGGATCGAAACCAAATTAGCAGCCAAGTTTAGCAGCCAACCAACGTGGGGGACTTTTGAACAATCGCCAAGTCCCATCAAGTATGAGCATCCCGTATTGGATTTCTGGTCGTGATGGTATCACGAAGGAGGGATTGTTGAGTTTGGAGGATTTGGTATGCAGTGAAAACTTGTAGTTCTATTAGTGATGTTTGCTTGTTGTAGCGGGAGAATGCCTACCAGCTCAACGACCACACTTCTTTTTGCTTGTTTCGGTTTACAAATCTATTCCATTGACCGCATGCCCTTTGTGCATTGTCGCGCTCAAATTCACTTATTGAGTAGAGAACTAGGGTCGCGTCTTCCACACACATGACTTGCTGTAAGCAAGGCTCCGTATAAGCATCTCAGATGCGATCAATTCCCTTAAGCCTGAATCTGCATAAGCCCACACTGCATATTATATCAGCTATTGCATGTCGGCTGACTGATCCTGCCGCACTTTGGAGCGGGATGACAGGATATTATCTTATGCCTCGACAGTTTGGGCATTACTGTATGTTTGCACCCAACAAAACAATGAGGAGACACCTACGTTGAGTTGAACCCTGGTTAACTAGCGATGTGTACACCTGGATATTTCGGCGGATAGAAACACTCATTGTTAGGGCGGTACGGAAATTGCTGTATGGGCCAATAGAGACGAGACCAGATAAAATCAGGCGACATGATGGCGGAACCCTTGAAATGCTGTACAATATTAGCGTGTTGACGGAGGGAAAAAAAAATTGAGACGAACTCTCGAGTGCTGTCTCTTGATACCGCGCGCTAACACACAGTCCAACGCCTGACCCGATGAGGAGGGATCGTTCCTTCCCATCTTGCGGTTTCCTAATAAGTGTTCTTTGTACGGAGTATTACTGGCAAGCTTCTGCAATGTCTAACTGGGACCCCTGCTCTTTACTCCGTGCCTAGAGAGAAAGAGGACATCTGGAGGGCCATCCCATTTATTTCACCCTGCCTCAATCTGGCAAACTATGCGGTTGGCTTCAACAGGCTTCCAGCCAACCCCAACTCCGCCTATGACCCAGATCTTTGCTTATCGGGCTTGAATAATGTCTTTGCTCTCTTCTTCCTTTCCGTTCCGCTACCCCGAGCTCAAATCCAACCATCTCCGAGTTCAGCGATCTAAGGGACCACTCAAGCCGCTCAGAAAATGATCATCATCGTCATCGTCGGCCACGCCGACCCAAGCCTCGAGAGAAGATTGGACCCTCACCTCGGCCTGGGCGCCCGGTCCGCTCTTTAGGACCATTTCGGAGCCCCTTCTCCACTCGGTCTTTGCGAGTGCCAGCCTTGTGAGGGTACAGATTCCGCCACTGCCACTAGTACTATGTTGAGACCCTTGCACTTTGCTGGGAGCAATCTCATTGTGTACGTAGTGTTTGTGTGTGAGGATACTCCGTACTTAGCAGAATATCTCGATGTACGGAGTACATACAACCAAGTTCCTCTGCCAGGTGTTGGTGGACTACAAGACGCTAAGGATACAATGGCTTGCCGAAGTCTATTCTCCATGGAGTAACTACCTCCGGCTTTGTGGTGGCAATCTCGTACTACTACGATCAACCTGACTAAAGACACCTACCGAGGCGTCCATGGCCACTCGACAGACCAAAATGCCAGCTACCCAAACTCAAAAATTTAGAGAAAAAGAAAATTCTCTCAAAAGGGCGATACGGTGGTATGCCAAGGGACACTAGAATAATGGCTACTATTTCCCAAGGCTTTCAAGCAAGCAGGGCAGCAAAAAATATCATATCGAGTCTCTGCAAAACGGGATGAGTCTTCACAACTCGATTCTCTAATGAAATAATAAGATGTCGTTCTAGGAAATCGGGGGGACGTCCTTGTTCCCTCTGGAAAATTCGAGCCTCCCAGCTGCCGTGATGTCGTTGTCTCACAGGCCAGGGACCGACCAAGCCTAGGAACAAGTCTGGAACAGTGCCAGAAGGTCTGCAGAAGTAATGGAAGGTCTGCCGAGACCTCCAGGCGCCGCCATTGACTCTTCGATACAGTCGATATAAAGTATATACATGTACATATGTACTCAAGTGCAGAGGCATAACGACACTCACTGGGCGCACCCCATGCCTTGTTCAATGACACTTGTAATGTTTGCAAAGCTCGGCCCTTCAAGAGGGCTCAGGACTCAGGCATTGGCGTGCTGCAACGGCTTCCATTCTTCGCGTGGGAGCGTGGCAGCGTGGGCACCCCTGCATCAGCAGTGGGGTGGTTCAATGGCCCTGGGAGCACAAGTCACCATGATTGATGGTTGTTTTACGACGTATTGTACGGAGTAGGGGGGGAGCACATTGGACAAATCAGCAGCAGCATGCATGCAGCCAGCAATCACTAATCGACACCATCATCTGCAGTTTGCTTCATGTTTGGATCACCAGTACGACCATAGACTGCGGCACTGCGGCACTACGGCACCTTAACACCGCGGGACGGCCACCTGAACTTGTAGAGGTGCGCGCCAGGCGGTGGACGGAGTCATCATGGACCAAGTGTCTGGTGCACATGCTGGCCTTATACGGGTTTGGGGGGCTGGCGCTGGGCTCCCGAGCACCCAAGATTCGAGGTGCATGTTTGCAATCATGCAAGATGAAGCGAAATTTGTGGACCAGGAGTCGACCAGTCCATGACGGTAGATGGCCCATCAACCTATGTACTCGGTATGTCTTGTTTCAATGTCCGGCCGCTCCCCGTCGTGTACCCGACCGCGGGAGTTGGTGGTGTGGCACATGTTGCCTGTGCCTGTCTGTGTCTGTGTCTGCATCTACATCTGGTGCCGGGTCTGGCAACCATGGTGCATGGCCAAGGATGCAGGATGCAGGCTCTGTGCTCTGTGCTCTGTGCTCTTCTTCAATGCTCACGATTCGAGTCCTAACGTGTTGCCCATGGTTGAGGTGAAAGCGCATCTGTCTGTTTAAATGCTCCCGGCCGCCACCGGAGCCCACTTTGGCCAGCTTAAGACCCTCAAGGTTTGGGCTGTGCAACGTCGACGGCAATTCCCATGGCTGGCACAAGGCCGATGTCTCCATCTCGCCTCCCCACAGCCTACGGTCGACTTTTTCTCGAAGCCTGTCGGATTCGTCGCTCGGTATCTGCACCAGTGCACAAGGTGGATTTGGATTGCCTCGATGGCGACACCGCGTTGAAACCGTCGGTTTCTGGTCTGCAGACCTGCACACCACCTTCTTCGGCGAACATTGTATGCAGAACTTGGCCCCTCGTCCCCGGCCCTGCCCTCGTGGCCCTGCCAGGTCCCCCTTTCTTCCTGGCACTTCTACTTAGTACCTACCTAGAGGTACCCAGGTACTCAGAGGTACCTTGCGTGCGCATGCGCGTACCAAGGTACTTGTTGACAGCAGTAGTACTGCATAATGCCTGCACGTGCGTAAAAGTACCCCGTAGTCATCCTGGGCTACAGCGCCCGAGACGGTCAGAGTGAGAGCCTGAGCCGTCACAAGTCAGCCAGTAACCGATAAGATTACACCGCGCCTGGCCGCCCTTTCCTTGCATGTGGCCTTCAAATGTTCTCTCCTACTAGGGCCATTTTTTTCTTCTTTTCGGGCTTTAAAGTTGCTGGTTGCTTCACCGTTGCGTTGCGCCTCCAGATGTCCCACAGCCTTTAGCCACTTGGCTCGACAACCTTTGGATTCGGAACCTTCTGCCTTTTCTTGTTTGCAATTTCCATTCGGGCCAGACCTTTTCCCTCATCTGCCCCCGAGACGCCCTCGCGGACAGATACAGCCGACCCTGTCTCTCGTCCCGTTCGAGACGACGGCACAGCCTGCGCAACCTCACGCTTCAGCTTGCTCCGCAATTGACCTGTGATCGACTGCCCCGGTCGTCACCCCGTCACGATTCCAGCGACGCCTACCTTGGTGAGCCGCCGCTCTTCGCTGCACTCTCAGCTCCAACGTCTCAGGACCCTCGGGCCGTTCTCGAATCGCGCTACCCACGCCCGCCGGCCAGCATTCTTTCCACTTCGCCTTTCGGCACACACGACGCCCGACGAGAAGATCCCATCAAACTTGGCTTCATACGCCGTCCCTGCCAGACATCTCGCAGCCCGAAAGGCTTCCGACACCCACTATGCTTCTTGGTTTGCGACTAGGATAACCTTCTCTTCCTCTCTTGTCCCGTGCTCGTTCCTATCAGCATGGGCAACGGCCAAGGAAAGCCCGTCGATCTCAATGGCGAAGGTAAGTTGTTACTCGCCAACGCCTCTGTGCTTACCTTTGTATTCTGTAATTATTACCATGGCCATTTCTACCGCCAAGTGCTGTTCCACCGTCGCCAGCGAATGCCCGAGCTCCTCCGTCTATGCTCGTCGCTCGCCGACCATCTGCACATGACGCCGCTTCTACGCCTGGCACTGCCGTTCCGCCTCGAAACCGTCACGAGCCTTGTTTGACATATGAAGCTAACCAACGGCTGGTAGTAAATCTCAATCACTTCCGCTTGTTGCGGGTCGTCGGCCGAGGCGCTTTTGGCAAGGTGCGCATTGTCGAGCGCAAGGACACAAATTTGTCCTTTGCGTTAAAGTACATTCGAAAGGATGAAGGTAAGCGGACAAACCAATTTTGGCATCTCTCCACATGCTCCACGACTCGACCCCTGCCGAGACACTCTACTCTGTTGGACTCGAACCGGCTCGAGCGTATTAATCATGTTCCCGGAGCTGACTTGGCCTCGATGAAGTCGTTAAATCCGAAAGCGTGCGCAACATCATTCGCGAGCGAAGGATGTTGGAATACGTTAATCACCCCTTTATCTGTAACTTGAGATACAGCTTCCAAGATATTGAATACATGTAAGCCTGTATTGAAAGTAGGATTCACGAATTGCGCGCGGGGACGCTAATCCGTCTTGACATAGGTATCTCGTGGTGGATTTGATGAGTGGTGGTGACCTGCGATTTCATATTTCAAGAAAAACCTTCACTGAGGAAGCCGTTCGATTCTGGATTGCTGAACTCGGGTGTGCACTGCGTTATATCCATGAGCAAAATATCATCCACAGAGACGTCAAGCCCGATAACGTTTTACTCGATGCCGACGGTCATGTCCACTTGACAGATTTCGTAGGTAGCACTCTACTGCCTTGGCCTTTGGGTATCATTGCTGACTGTTGTGCAGAATGTGGCATCGGATATCGTTCCAGGAAGGGTCCTTACTAGCAAATCAGGCACATTGGCTTATCTAGCACCGGAAGTCTATTCAGGTAAAGGCTACACTGTGTGTGCTGACTGGTGGTCCCTGGGAGTCTTATTCTATGAATGCATCTACAACAAGGTATGTGGGAACTCAAAAACAATGTGACAGCAGAGGCAGTTATCCCGCCCTCCCCTTCTTAGGCATTTGTCTCTGAATGTAGGGGAGTCTGGATGCCATGCTCTGCTAGTATGTCCCAGTGAATTAACTCAGCCCATAGCGCCCCTTTGACGGCAGCAGCGAATCTACACTCAGCCAACAAATTCAGAACTCGAGCCCCAGATATCCCGTTACACAGCCGCCTGTCTCGTTGACCTGCCTGTACTCTATTCGGGCAGCTCTGGACCCAAACCCACGAACTCGTATGGGTTCAACCTGGGAAAGTTTCATTTACAACGACTTTTTCAAGGCTATCGACTTCAACCTCCTAGAACAGAAGAGGATAGAGCCTATTTTTATCCCCTCCTCTGATAAAACCAACTTCGATGCCACATACGATCTTGAGGAGCTGCTACTCGAAGAGGCACCTCTGGAGGCTCGAGCTAGGCGCCAAAAGCCTCGAGAAAGATTAAAGGAAGACGCAACAGACCAGGAGATCAGAGAGGACGAGTTATATCGCATGATCGAAAAGGATTTCCGACCCTTTGATTATACTGTGGCCGCGTACAAGAAGTATGTTTCACTCGTCCACACGCTCTCCCACAACCCCCGTTCCCTTGGAGCCAAGTTTCTAAAACCACACATAGAATCACGGAGGCATCTCGCAGCTTGAATGGGGATCCACAATCGGACGTACAGCCAAATAATCACCCTCAGGCTCTAACAACAGATAAAGCTACACCTATTCCTGCCGGTGGAACCGTTCAACAAACCTCTCACCCAGTACCTGCAGGAACAATACCTAACCCTGATCCTAGACAAGGTCGACCTGTGCGTCCCGCGCCGCCGCCTCCCCTGTTTCACCAGAGCGAATACGTCTCGCGAGCACTGCCGCCGACAAGCAAACGAGTAGCAAGTTCTACCGGTGGGGTCTCAGTGACTCTGGATGGCGGAGGGAGTTGGTCTGAGCTTGCTCGACAGGATGCCACGCTTCCGACTGATGCCAACACGCCAGCCGACTCCAAGGCTGAAAGCTCAAGCGGCATGTTTGGCTTTCTTAAAAGCAAAAAGGGTAGAAACAACAGTCCCAAGCCCAAGGAAAGAGGTGTCCTGGGCAAAGAAGGCGCAAGAGTGATCATCAGCTAGCTGTCGACAGATTTTGCGGGCGTGAGCATTCCAATACCTACTGGCCACGTGGCTCTTTGAACACTTTTTGTGACTCGTCATGAAGAACCCAAGAGTCCTTCTCTCGGCTTGGCGATCAAAGTTTCGAGGCATTTCTTGCAAATCAGGAATACTGCGTGTGTGGCTGTGCAAGCTAGTATTTTGTGATGCGAGTTTTCTGCCCGTCGAAGGCAGCGACGATGACGACATGGCGCAGTTTGGGGTAAACCCGACGACCATGCTTGGGGAGGGGGCGGGCGATGTGGTAAAGCCGCGGCGTTTTCGATACATGCAGGATGAGGCAATTGGCGAACTCACTTTACCGAGACGCCCTGGAGTTTTCTTTGAGCAACCGCGGGTAACGGTTTGTACAGAGTGCATACGTCGGCGTAAGGGAATCGGCCAAGTACGCAGACACATCAGGATCTTGCACGTATAATTGTTGCGACTCTCTATTTTTGGTTTGCTTTTTTTTATACTTTATCATATCTTGGTGTTTTGCTGTTTCGTCACCTGGGGCGGCGCGTCCGAGCCAGAAACTATATTACAGAGATGCATTTGCCAACATGTACAGACTATGGCTGTTGGTTGGCCGGTATGGAGGCAGGTGTAGAGCAACGGCCATAAGAGTGGCTTGGGAATAAATAAGGAAATAATCGTTTTGATGACCAAACTTTGACCCCCCCCCCCTGGTAGTGTCGCGAAAGGACAAGAACAACCACGTTTCGGCTGCTAGCCTGTGCATTTTTTCCTTCCTATTTTGGCGGCCCGGGTGTCTGTCATGAGTTTCTCATTGTTAGAACTTGCGTCTCGAGTTTGACATGCGGCGCGTGCATTGAATACGGTGGCGGTGACAGTGACGGCATTTAACCAGCTGCGTAGGGGTGGGCATATATACGTGTGTATGTGTGTCCGCAAAACTCAAGGGCTTTGGATAGGATACTCTCTATGATGTATCCATGATGGGAAGCAAATGGCAAAACATTGAGTGGATTTATTGAGCAATGTCACTTCTCTGTTTGATATACACGACTACCATGAACCTTGCAATGCTGACAATCACACCGGCGAAAAAACATGAATCGTCCAAAACACACCTCGTGTCTGTTAACACGATGCAATTCAAAGTACATCTGCCTGAATGCCAACTAGGTAGTTAAGATGGTTCAAAGGTAAAAAGGAAAATAGTCCAACTCCCCATTGTTGCAGATATCCGGGACAAAAAAGAAAAGAAAAGAAAAAGCAACTGGCATCAACTTGGAATCTCGACAAAAAGACCCGTTTCCCAAAATAAAACAAAACATAAAAACTCTAGCTCAAGTAGCAGATGCGTAGCGACTGTGAGGGAGAAGTCATAATTGTGGTGGTGTATCTTTTGTCAGTTGGCTCCGCCCTTGTGTTCCTTTCCTACTTTGCTCGATAAGGTTGCCATGTTGCCCCTGCGCCGTGCCGAAATTACCCCTCTTCCTAGGCAAGTCGATTTTCCATATGTGTTTCCCAACCGGCTATGTCGTGAACGCCGTAAATATCCTACTCTTGTATTGTATTTTTGCTCTTGTTACCATGCTCATAATCATCCACGCGTGACAGAAGGCTGGAAAAAGATGTTGCGCCTCCGGCCCAAGACTAAAGCCATACATACACTGTACACAGCACTAGCTCGTGTGTCGTTACCAACCGAACGGCCAGCTAGGGGACATGCCGGTTGGGAATGAGCCGTCAGGGTGTTGTCACTCCATTCGGCTTCTCCGGGTCAACAGAGATGCCTAGCTTAGTGGCCATGCAATCCGCGGATACATCCTTGCCCATGTACTTCTTGAGAATCGTGTCGAAATCCCTTTCAGCCACCACAGGACCACTGCCAGAACACTTGGCCTTCTTGGTAAGTTCAGAGCATAGCCCATCCAGGTCGAATTCACCGTTCTGGGCCTTGGGACACTCTTGCAGCTTCTCCCTGTTGCAGACATTAGTATTAAATGGTACAGGAAAGTTGCACATTGGTGAGTACGTACCAGAGTTGATTGCAACTCATATTCGGCTTGTTACCCATATCATCGTCAATGGAATTCTGCTGGGCGTCAATCTCGGCAATGAGGTTCTTCTTTGGAGCATGCTCGTTGGGAGCAGCATTATAAGGCGTGAAAAAGTCGGTGTCTACTCCGTCATTGAAGAAGAAGTCATCAAAAGTTGGGTTGGACAAGACGTTCTCCTGTGACTCTCGGTAATCACCAAACAATTGGGGATCAAAGTGGCCGCCGCCGTTCTGCTGGACAAGCCAGTCAAAGCTAGGACTAGCAATGTCAACATGGGCAAACTGAGCGAATGGTTGATCCGCTGTCGTCGTCGCGGGCTGCTCCTCGCCAATGGTTGTCAGTGTCTCGAGAGGCTTGAAGCTCATGGGAGACTGTGTAAAAGGTTCGGGAGAAGTCCCACAGGACGAGCTGGGGCCGGCGTTGGAGTTGGATGATGCGGAAGGTGAGCTAGTAGCGGCAGCAACACTGAAGGGGACGGAATCGACGCTGGCACGGGAGCCAGTGCGAGTCGAGTTGGACATGGAAGGCGCAAAGACGCCGGCAAATTTAGCAAAGTCGTCCTGGGTTGGCCGCTGCACGCTAGACTGAGGCGATTTGCCTTCGCTGGCAATGCTGCGGGCTGGGCTGTTCTTCTGGCCGTTCTGTTGGGGACTGAGAGGCTGTGATGAAGGCTGCTTGATTGGCGGGCCGGGAAGGGCGCCGAACTTGGGGAACTCGAATTGAAAGCTGACATCGCTCAAATTATTCAGAGCAGCACTGCCAAATGACACCTTGTCTCGGGGTGTGGGCTTGTGCTGTGACATGACAGCGACACGCTGCTTATACTGGTTCAACTCGGTAGTGATGCGATCCACTTCGGCTCGTAGCTTGCCATTCTCATGGTTGGCAGCCTCGGAAGCCTTTTCTAGCTCATCAACCTTGGTCTCCAGGTCCTTTAGATGCTTTTCCTTACGCTCCCTGAAAGCTCGCTGAGCGGCTCTATTCTGTGCCTTGCGCTTCTTCCGTTGGCAGTCAGCAAAGCCGGGCGTAACATGAAGATGAAACACGACATATGGGAAGAGTACTTACCGAAGTTGGCTCAGAGGTGAGGGGCTTGCGGCCAGGCTTCTTGGCAATCTTCTCTGTGCCTTCCCGTCTCTTGGAGTCATTGCCGGGACTGCTGTCATCTTCCTCGTCATCAGGATGACTTCTCTTCTCATGGCCATCATTCTCCGTCGACTCGGATGAGACAGTTCCGGGGGCATCCGCAACCATCTTGGCATGTTCACCGCCGTTACTGGCAAACGAAAAGTCGAAGCTAGAGTCGCCAAAGTCGTAGTCGATGTTGTCTAGGTACGGGCTCTCTTGGAAGGCAGAATTGTCCACATTCTGCATCGGAGAGCCCTGGAATGAGCTCGGGGACACAGATAAGCCTTTGGCTGTCGGCGAGGCGGAAGCCTGCGGTTTGTTGGCGTTGAGCGCAGCGAAAAGCAGGCTCTGTTGATGCGGGGTTAGGAGGAAGTTGGGTGGCAAAGAACCGCCTGAAGCCATCGCGATTTTGGTATTTTTTCTTCTTTTTTGGCAGTGCAAGCGTGTACAAGCGCGAGGAGCGATGATTTTAGGGGGTAGGAGCAAAAAGATACAAGCAAAAAAAGAAGGAAAGACAGGGTGCAGACAGTAATGCCGTTATGGATCAAAGTGTCCAGTGTGCGGTGGCGGGTTCGGTCTTAAGTCCGGAAAGCGACACAGTGACGCAAGCCACAGCTCACGGATATGAGGAGCAACAGCTCGGATACACTGAATGAAGCACTCGAGTTGTTCAGGGCTATGATTGCATTCTTTGCCCACCAGGAGGAGCGCAAAGAGTTGGCGGACGACCCAAGTGAAAAACAAAGGCCAAGGGCGTACTGGACGAGTGGCTGGGGGGCGAAACGACTTGCAGCACGTTGCAGGGTGTTTCGACAATGGGGGATCCTGTAAGGCGGGAGTCGGAAAAAAAAGTTGCTGCCTGAGTCACGAATTGGCCTCTTTGTTCCAGTCGATTCTGCCTCGACAGGTGCTGAGACGAATTCAGGGGTGGGAAGCAGAATGATGAGTTGATGGCAGGTCGGTTCTGAGGCCCGGAGCCAACGGGGCAGGGAATGGAATCACTGCGAACTGGGACCAGCAAGCGCGAAATTGAATTTGTAAGCCGGTCCAACATTGAAGCCAGGGCGGGGTTCAGGCTGTTCTGGTTTCAGACGCTCCGTGTGAACAACGACAGGAAACGGTAGACGACAAAGCCCGTGAAGGAACGCACGGTGGGTCGCCAACGGGCGTTGCCAATTGACCAGTGGACCGTTGAATCTCCCAGACCATCATATGCATGGGTTGGCCTTGATCCAGATGCTGCTCACTTTCATGCGGGCCACATTCCATGTCAGCATTTTGTCAGGCGGCACTACGGAGTAGAGACTTGGCCTCTCTGCGCGGTTCGGTATTGAGACGCTTGCGCTCGGCCACCCCTGTGTCGCTCACTACCGAGGACTGTGCGCACACTGTACCCAAGGTGAGAAGGCCATCGTTCGAGCTTACAGGCACGTCCAAGCAGACGAGGAAAGCCAGATGTTCATGTCTGGTCCGTTTCCCTCCTGTCTTCAGACAGATCTGACCAGCTGTGATTGCACCCAACTCAGCGGGCAAAGCCTACCTACCATACAGTGCCGAAAACCAGTCGCACTGCCACCAACAGCTCCGCATTCGAAACGTCTAGCGCCAGGGCACGTTAGCTCAATTCTCAGGCCACGCATGCGTGTACAGTACTGCATGTTGTGTATTTCGAACAGTAGTCGGCAGGCTGATAGGTACCTCTGATTTGGTAGTGCGCCCTGCAAGTCACGTGTCCAGCAGCCAAGCACGGAATCTTCCATGCCCCACTCGGGGTTTTGCCCGTTGAGGCCAACCCTGTCACGCGGGAGCCTTTCCGCCGGCGGCCGCCTCGTCTGCCAACCTTTCGACTTCGGGCGACATCCGCGATGGCCGACATTGGATATTCTCATCTTGGGCGAAACGACAACAACAAGATGACCACGTAATTTTCCTTTCTTCCAAGTTGACCAACATAGCTTCATGTGTGAGAGCGATGAGGCTCGGCGTGGCCGTTTGGCGCGGCCAAGCCCCCGGATGCATCGCCCTGCATGCAGTGCTCATGTCGTGTCACCAGAACCTCGCAGCTTGTATGTTTTGCGCCTGTGTTGACTCAGTTTACCTACATGAACGCAAACCAATCCTTGCCAACATCATCTGCACCTCTGGTTATCGAATTCGCGTCCGACGGCCCGTGGAAGAGGCATGACATTGGCCCCACATCCGTGTCCGTTTCATTTAAATCGGACATGGCATCGTAAAAATCGGACGGCTGTCATAATGCAATTTTAAGCAGCTGCATGAACCATACTACTACTTAAGTAGGCAGCAGTACCTGATTTTTATAAGCATGCAAATATAGGCCATGCATGTATAATGGACGTTTCGTATCGCTACAAACGCCCCATTGCAATCAGTAACGGGGCGAATATCATCTAGACACCGTGTCTTATGACACGAACCCTTGGCATATCCAGTACGGCCTTTCAAGGCTCAAAATTCTGCTTCTACATAGTATCGACCCAACGATAGCATCATTTTCAGTCTCAAGCTTGGAGAGTTTGTCCTACAGAGACGTGTGGTGCCTATCGCTCAGGTCTGGTGGGTCGAAATCGATCGATCTGCGATAAACCCATGACAAGCCAGGGAACAACCTACTTCCACCTGCCGCGTTTTATTCTCTGGCAAGTTTCCTGGGACACGGATTGGCGGAATTGTCAAACAAAACATGATAAGAGTGAATCTTGCAACAAGCATTTCCCCGGCAGCTAAATGATCGCGTGTTGCTGGATGCACAGTTAATACTTCCACATGCTGGTGCGATTGAACCCCCGACATAGCTATGGTAGTTCTCAGGTGCGGAGGCAGTAGTCTGTTAATGTATTTTTATTTCCTACTTCATTTAACGCTACGTTAGGGTATTGCGGACCCGGCTGTGTCATTCCGTCTCCGTAATATCGGATCCTCCATAACCATAGAACGCCTCAATCCGTCATTCATGTATCGGCGATTGTAATATACAATTGCAATGAAGTCTCTTAGTTCTTGGCAGCCTGCTTGTGGACCTCGGCCTTGCCATCGTGGGCGTTCTGGTCGATCTTGTCACCGACGGCGTCCTTGGCCGCACTCAAACTGTGAACGTTTATGTTAGTCCAGGATTTATATCAAGAGTTGGGCACACTGCCAACATACCGAGTGCCAACATTGGCGTTGCTGTCCTTGGCAACCTCCTTGTTCGCCTCGTGGCTGGCACCAGACACGGCACCCTGAACAGTCTCAGAGACGTAGTTGGCGGCTTGCTTGACAGACTCCATTGTGAATTTTTAAAGTGATGTTTTGAAGAAGAGAGTTGTGCTGAAGGTTTTCTGATGAGAATTTGAATGATTGGCGAGTTTGTTGATGAGGAGAGGAAGAAAAGGATAGTCAGGAACGAAGGGTCCAAGGGTTTATATAGACGGAGGCATTATCAGGTTGTTGCTGCTTCAACAGCTTTCATCAGAGAATATACTAAAGGCTGTGGGTCAAGAACACCCACTTGTCGAGCACCATAACGCGGCCACTGATGACATTGACGCCAACAAGTTGTCGTCGGCATGCTGAAGTCAAGTTGAATTTTACCAGCGTCATTGCACCTGGACCCCGCAGCCACACGGTGGGGTGCCACACCCGATGCGCTATGGCGGTGCAAGGAACCTTATGACGACATTGGCTGATGACAACCTGTCCCAGCCAACCAAAGTAGCCGCTCTCAAACGTACATGCAGGTCATAGTGGAGACTACATCTTCTTTTGCCTAGCTCGGGATAATGCTCAGTTTCTGGTAGCATCTACAACTCCTAGTCTCGGACAAAGAAAGCATTCTGCTGTCATTTCATTCGCCAGCTTGTTCCTGATTGCGCCGCATATGACGACATAGATCTTTCATCGGATGGATCAAATGATCCGATTCTGAACGGCTCACGAACCCAACGATTTGGGGGGATGAATTGCCAAGTATGTAGTTTCCCTTCTTTGGTCGATTTGATGATGGGGATTTTTCAGGTTTTGCGTCAGGAATTGAGATACTTCCTGAGAAATTCCATGGCGTGCAGGCAAGAAGACCATGATCTGCCGATGTAGAGTCGCAGCCGGGTCTTCACTCGCAATGCGGCCCAATGCTTGCTTTGCAAACTGCGGCAAGTGAATGTCGGCTGCGGCCTCAATGTGGCAATGAGCATATTTTGGCCTGTGGGTTCTACCATTTCTCCTCATTATCCCAAGCCGCGAGGCTGATCGTAGAACGGTCTCGGCCCGGTTGAACTGTCTCTGATTCCTTTCGGTACGTACTTACATGATGTTCTTGGTACAGCATCTTCTCCAAGCTGTCTGGTCCGCTTCATCCCCGCTGCTAGTTCGTTTCGTTAGTTCGACCCTCGGCCAACAGGGCGGGACCGACAGTATAGATGGCTGTGGTTGGATGTTAGACCCTTGTTTCCCAGTTTCGGCTATGGCTTTTGTTCGATTTCCTACTTATAGTTTGATCTTTGCCATCGAGATTTGGTATGATGGATCATAATCGTCGTCCGTGCCTGGCCGGGGAGGTGCGCTGCCCGCGGGACCCAAAACGCCACGGACGCTAATTCCCAATTCATGAATGTTACTTTTCGCACTGGTAGGGCGATACCGTCTCCTAATGGACCGTTCGTAACAATATCTGTCTTGATGCCGCGTCATCTCAGGCTCCAGGCGGCCAACCGTTGTGACGTTGGCTTACGGAGAGTAGCATGGTCCATTGTAGTACTCTTATCGGCGTCAAACAAGTTGAGCAAATACCCTCGCATTGGTCCTGGAACGCGTTTTCGAGGGTATAAAGTGCCATGCATGTCGAGTCCGATGTTTAACCTTTAGCCCTGTTCATTCAAGGATTTTTTCAAGGGTACCTGGCCCTTGGGAATCGGTAGCAGCCATGGATTACCATGTTGCAAATGCAGTTGCTTGTCAGATGCAACAGCTCGCGCCGTCGATTTTCGCGTGATGTTTAATCGAGGAAAGACGACTCACTGCGGTCATTCGAAATCTTCATCGTACCGCATAGCAAAAAATTGGAATGCAACCCACAGACGCGCATTAAACGGCGAGATTACGCCTATTCTATTTCCTCCTTGCAGTACGGAGTACTACTAGTAGTACTAATGTCGATGAATTTAATGACTCGGTAACGAAAATTCAGAGTTCTTGATATCACGTGATATCTACTGAAACAGAAGCCCCACATCCCCAGGCCCCGCCTAAGTAGGAGCCATGTGAAGCTCCATCATCATTGGGAGCCGCTTGCCATAAACACCTGTCCCTTCAAAGCAACACCCGTCACCAGATATTCGTGATAAGCCATATGCACAAGAGCTGTGAGCTTGTACAATAATCTGTGAGACTCTTCACTTCGGGGGACGCGATGGATCTCGCCTACGACCACATTCAGGAGAACGCATACCCACAAGACAGGAAGGAGTCGAATGAAACGCCTAAGCCAGAACAGCAAGAGTCGTCATTAAATAATGATTTTCAAGATGCGTATAAGGCTATCTCGTCAAGCCCCTGGGGTATGAAGATTGGTGGGTTCCTTGGAAATGTTATGAAACAGGTAATCCTCTTTCAACAGTGACTGCTCAGCGTGCCAGTATGTTGATCATTTGTGCAGGGCGAGACTGTCTACGCGCAGGCCCAGAAAGAGCTCGCCGAAGTGGGAGAAGACGCCACCAAAGGCTTGAGCGATCTTCGTGAATCAATATTGAATCGAACCCGGTCGCTATCCGTGAATACTGCCACTGCCGTGTCAACAGACGGTGGCAAGGAAGGAGACGATACACAATCAACCCCGACAAAAACGAGAGCTACCGCTTCCGACGACGCCAGTGAACAATCTGAGACTGTTTTGTCACGAATACGCTCTGAAGCGGCTAAGCGTCTTAAAGACCTACAACAAGCTGAAGATGCCGCTGATGAGGCATTGCTACGATTCGGCGGCAGCGTTCGTGATTTTCTGAGGGATGCGATTAGTGTTGCTCCACCTGACGAGTCATCTCAAGACAGCGCGGTTCTTTTTGAAAGCAAGGATGCGCAAGGTAAACGGGTTATTCACACCTCTCGATTTGATGCTCAGATGCATGTTATCCATACATCTGTTGATGGCTTTGCCGAGGACCCTACCAGTGACGAGTACGAGAAGTGGACAACGGAATTCGATGTTGAGAAGAAGACCGATGACATCAGCAGCGATCTTGCCAAGTACCCTGAACTGAGGACCACAATGGAGAAGCTTGTGCCTGATCAGGTTTCCTACGCCGACTTCTGGAAGCGATACTACTTCTTGAGACACGGCATTGAGACTGCAGAGTCGAGACGACGTGACCTGCTTCAAGGTACTTGTTCCCGTTCTTTTTTATCTATCTTGGACATTTCTATATACTGACCTCTGTTTTCTTATAGCCGCCTCCGCTGAGGATGAGGTTGGGTGGGATGACGATTCTGACGAGGAAGTTGGTGAAGCAGAGAAAACGTCCTCTGGTCAGAAGCCCAGTTCCGGGGCGTCATCCACGACCATTCAACGCCCAGATAGTCTTGCAAAGCCCCCCGAGCCCCAGAAGTCCAATGATGAGAAGTCACAAGCCGACAGCGAAGCCAGCTATGATGTTGTCGGAGCAACCTCTGGGAAGACAAGCCAAGCTCCAAACAGCCCCAAAGACCCTAGACAGGGAGATGATAGTGACGATGACTGGGAATAATGTTTTGCCGTTGGACGGTCGCAGCGTTTGATTTTTCGGTCTCTTGAACCTGGCGTTTTTGATTCTTTTGTGATTCCCAATTATGCAAAATTGACTTTGTTGCACAAATCTGTATATATGCGTTGGGTATCAATAGATGGAGATGTAGTCAGATCATGGAGTCTCCTGCACGAATATCTGCCCTTTGCGCGACCTCTTATTTCTTCTTGTGCGTAACTTTTGTGAAACCGTCCTCGTCGATTTGAGGAGCTGGCTTCTCCTTGGGTGCCGAACGTGGCGCAGGCGCGTCATCCATGTCGACATCACTTGCGTCGTCGTCGTCGTCGTCGTCGTCATCGTCTGATTCCCAATCGGTATCTTGATGGGCATCTTCAGCCTTCGTGAACATTTGGTCCACCTTCTTGCCCTTGAGATTTTGAAACCGCTGGTTCAACTTGTTCACTTCATCGAACTGGCCAATAGCGCATTCGGCTCTCGCTCGGACGATATTGCCGGCGACCTCTGTGCCCGAATCATCATCAACGTTGACCTCGAACTCATCTATCATGACCTGCAACAACACAGTCTCAACGTCCTCCATGTCGGGTTCCTCGATGGGCTTGGTCTGGGGCGCATCGCTGAATTCGGGGAACAGGTCGACAATAGCGCCGGCAAACCAGTCACGCTTATCTGCTGAATCGGGGCCACCCCAGTTGTTTTGAACAGCGAGCGTAAGGGCCGGCCAAAGGTGGAGGGAGTAGGCAACGGCTTGTTCGAAGTTTGACTGTCGCACGGCTACATGTACTCGAGTTAGAATGGAGGTGAACACTTACTTAATGGAGAAAATTTTGGACTAACCTGCGGGGAGAAGCTGCCCGGTATCCGTGGATGAAGCCATGGCTGCCTCCGAATTTTATTTATTTATTTTGTTTTAATTCTTTTTTGAGTTGGCGGGGTGTTGGAGGGGCAGACACGCACCGTGATGAGCATCAGCATAAAAATTTCGGTGGTTTGTGCCATGGGCGGCAGCTAGGGCCACAATGCGGTACACGGGCCAATGGGGGACCCCCATGGCCGTAAAGTGAACTAGTTAGCCGGGCTGATTGAATTTGATAGCGGGACAAGTGCGATGTACAGTGGGTGGTGTACATGTACAACAGAGTACATAGTATCCCGTGCGTGCATGACATCATGGCGCCCGTTCTTCCGGCTCTGCCTCTTCAAAGAGGCCTGACCTTTTGTACAGATACACAAGGTCTTCAATGTTGGCTTTCGGGTTCCAATTTTTGCAACCATCATGTTTTCCATCACCAATGGCCTGCAGTTACGATGAACAGACTGAACACGACCTCGGTCACGTTGGCCGTCACTCCGACAGTGGTTTCCACGCTGTTCTCTCATGTACGCAATTGGCATCAAGCCGTGTGACGTTCTTTTCATCCAACCAGACGTTTCAATCGCAACGGAGACTAATGTTCCAGATTCGACACTCTGTAGTATCTTAACCGGAAGCCACTGAAGCAAAGACCGACGGCGCATTTATCATACGATGAGGGTCTTCATCTGATGCGATCGTTCTTGGAGTTTGCTTCACACCACACCGTAGAAGAGCTGCAAGCCTTCACCTCCCAATGGGTTCCTCACCCCCAATGGATCAGGGTAGACGCCGTTGAAATATCAGATGAATTTCTGTCCCGATCAGCGGAATTAATTCAAGCCCAACTGGGACCAGACGGCATCGCCCAGGTCGGCGGTAAACAATGGTGGCAATGGAGGAAGCCAAAGTCGACCTTTGAGGCGGAATGGATTGAGATGCGCTCTCATTACAATGCAAGAAAGGCAATTGATGACCCTGGAAGGCGAGTTATGTTATTTGTTCATGGGGGCGCTTTCTACTTTGGAAGCGTCGATGAGCACCGATACCAGTTGCAGCGCCATGCACGTAAATTGAAAGCCAGAGTCTTTGCTCCGAGGTATCGCCTTGCACCACAGTTTCCGTTTCCATGTGGACTGCAAGACTGTTTAGCAGCATATTTGTATTTGATTTCAGTCCAAGACTCGAGCACGATACTGTTGGCGGGCGATTCTGCCGGTGGAGGGATGGTACTGTCCATGCTTTGCGTCTTGCGAGACCGGGGTATTCCTCTTCCTGCTGGCGGTATTCTCATCAGTCCATGGGCTGATCTCACGCACTCATTCCTGAGTGCTGCTGCCGATGCTCCATTTGATTACATCCCGCCGTCTGGTTTCCATCACAAACCTTCTCGAGCTTGGCCTCCTCCAAATGATGACGACATTGCCATACTGCGAGGGGAAGCAGTCAAGCGAGCGAACAAAACGGTAGCCAGCAACAGTACAAGAGTATCTTCTGCTAGGGCGAGTAGTTCAAAACCTACCAATAGCGAATCCGCAAATACAGACAGCACGAGGGATTCTGCGGCGAGTGCGACCCGGCCGACCAAGTCTTTGACTGTGAGTATGGATGGTAAATCAGTAACTATCAAAGACCAAATTCAGGTGAGCCGATGTGGGAAGTGACCAACAGAAACACCGTGCTAACAAAACACAAGATATACACGACAAATGCCCTCATGGACCATCCTCTTGTCAGCCCTATCATGCAAACGACTTTAGGTGGACTGCCCCCGTTGTTAATCATGGTTGGAGGTGGCGAGATTCTCCGCGACGAACAAGTCTATCTGGCCCACAAATGTGCTAATCCCAGGAAATATACACGACCAGTTGAAACCCTTTCGGAAGAGGAAATTGAGCTACTGGAAAAGTACAAGCCCACATATGTTCAACTGCAGGTATGGGACGACTTGTGCCACGCTGCTCCCATACTCAGTTTCACGAGGCCCGCCAAGTTCATGTATAGGTCTATTGCTCAATTTGGTGCTTGGGCTTTGGCTAGGGCTCAGAAAAGAGGCATCGACATTCTGGACGATGATGATATCTCAGTCATTTCCAAGTCAGGTTCCGATACAGATGTTGCACAGAATGCTCAGCACAGGGAAGGGGAAGAGCGACAAGCTGAACGACAAGAGCCTGGACAAGTTGGCAAAGCTGGCGACCCCTTGCCGCACTTTATAAACCACATGGTTCGACAACGAGTCACGCGCCACGGTGCAATTCTTCCATTGGCTGCGGAGTCAGAACTTCCTGGCTGTTGTATGAATGCTTCTAACATCGGTGTAGCCACGGAGGGCACCGTGAAACGGTGGCAAGAGACCAGAGGACAATGGGACAGCCGTTATATGTCATCGAAAATGAAAGTGCACAAGAAGATTATCAAGGACATGGCGACAGGATTCCAAGACTTTGGAGCGGGGGAGAACCCCCCACCCACAGCCCTCGCCGGCAGACGGTTAATCGAATCAGACACTATCGAGAAGAAGAAAACCAGGAGCATGGGCCTAGCGCTTTGGTCATTTTGGGGATCCAAGCATGACGAACTCACCGTTGAGCGCGAAAAGGAAGCTGATAAGACACCCGAATCCCAGGACGTGGACGTTGATGAGGGACGAGGGGCAAGGCCTTATCAAGACATTGAATCCCAACAACTCGAATCTTCAAGACTGGATATTGCAACCAGAATTAGGTCTCGTCGCAGAACTGTCATCGATGAGCATCAAACAGAGTATTCTGGTGTGGACGAGAATACACCTGTGGCACAGTTAATTGAGCAACGCAAGGAGCAAGAAGCTACTCATCCCGGACGACTGAGTCCCGACTACGCCCCTGAAACTGGAGTGGCAGGAAAGCGTCCGTATATAGACGGCATTGCACTGCCGTTTAGCCTTAAGAAGGATGCTGAAACAGCAAGCATGGTAACATTGACCTCAGCAATGACACCTGCAGGAGAGGGGTCTCGTCCTATGAGTCCACAGGAATCTTTCGTGAATTTATCTGGTCCTCCAGAGTCGGAGGATCAGGCGAGAGCCGAGCAGATGCTAGCAGCCAGAACCACTGGGCCAGCCATTGAGAACTCTGAAAGGGATCAAGTTCCTCAGGTCAGGGAGCCAGAGCAGAGTAAGGAAGCAGATGCTTCCAAGTAACAGATACGGACGATGCAGTAGGAGGATACGCGACTGGGGCAGACTTCAAAGCATTATATTTAGCGACAGATATCCCATGAAACCAAAGCGTAGGCGTTTGTAATTTAATGTTCGCTTTGTATTTGAATTTTAGAAAAATCGGCAAATAAAAATACAAACAGAGGAAGCCTATCCTGTCCATTTTGTTGGAGATGTCGATAGTTACACGGCCGTCATGCATAGTGTTACAAAGTTGGGGTATATGTACAAAGACGAGAAAGCCTATGCTTCTCGCCAGCTTCTAATCGCCTGTTTCACGATTCATTCGTAGTGCCCTTGGTTCGTTATGAGCACATCACCTTCGCGCCTCGAGTACGCGGTTCCGAAGCAGCCTTAGTCCACGCCATTGTAGCGTTTCCACTGCTCAACATAGAAATACGGATCTTGGGGTCCCTTTTCCAGACCCTTGTAGTCACCAGGTACTTCTCGAACTTGGCGACTGACGAACGGCGTAAGCTGTATTTTTTGTTCAAGTTAGATTCTTCTTGCTCGGAAATATGCGGCGGTGGCGCCAGTTGAAATTACCTTGAAGTCTTTTAGGTTTGGGGGAACAGCATATGTCCGGACTTTGTTCCACTCGATTACGTATCCTCCGTGTTTGGTGTGGCGGCCCATTGAGCCAGTTCTGTTTCCCTTGTAGAAGCCCTTGCCGACGTCTTTGGTGGTAAGTTTGAGATGGCGATAGCGGCCGACAGAAAGGGCTTGGGTCGGTCTCATTGTCAGCCGGGGTTGTGAGTTGAGGGGAGGAAGGCTGGGTCCGGAGAAGGTCGGGTACTGAAATGTCGAGAATAGACGTGGGCTGGGGATTTGTTGGCCTTCTGATGACGTTGATGGGATGGTTGTCGCTGTCGTTGAAATTTCACAGGCGTGGTGGCTCGGCGGTGGGCGTTGTTCCGATCCGGTTAGCTCGTGAGCTTACCTTGACAGCTTCCGTGGAACACAGTGTACGTACCAGGTGAGGACCTACTTGCGTTTGTACATGACATAGACATTTGCTTGTTTACACAATCATGAAGCTTGCGCGTGTTTGAAATAAATGATAGCCTTGTGGTAATTAATTATATTTGTTACTATTTTTAGAGAGATGAGAAAAGTCATTTTCCCAAGTCTGTCCTTCGTCCCAGTGAAGAGTATAGTGAGTAACATCACCCAAACAACAACTCCGGAATGTTGTCTCCACGCGAGGGGCACATGTGCATGATTAACCCGCCATCAGCTTTAACCCCCAGAAGCTCTCTCCCGTGACAGCCCGCAAGCGGACCGACGAGCGACGTCCGCCGGCATTGGGAATCTGCACAATGGATGGGTACCCCCCAGGCAGTTTGGATCATAATGTTCCATTCCTGGTCGCTTCGGGCCTGAACTCGGCTGAGCCAGAGCTCGACCTGCAAGGGGAGTTGAGCACCCAAGGGCAGTTGATCAAGTCGGACCTGCCACCACTCGAAGGTCGAGAAGCGCAATTGTTGGAGACGTACTTTGAGGAAATTGATGCCAGGGGTACGTCTTGGGCAGTGGTTCCACGGGACGAACCCTATCGCTTTCGGATCAAGACAGTGGGAAGGGTATGTGAGCGGTCTCAACGCTTCGAATTGTTTGGGTGCTGACGCGCAACGCAGTCATACCTTCTGCCGCCTCGGAAAACGATAATACCTGATTCTGTCGGGCCTCCAGATCCTAGTGCGACTATTCATTCTCCGTTTTCCCCGCTGTCTCATGTGTCCGCTCTATATCCCGACGGCCTGATCGATTCGCGATGGATTAAGAAACACCAGCATCTCGTCCCTAGCATATACGCCTGTTTCTACTCGCTAGCCAATGACAACCGCCTCAAGTTGGACGTTAATGAGATCAAAGCTACGCTAGCTCGATCCGGCTTCAAGACCAGAGTTGCGATAATTCTGTTTGGCAATCAAGATAGTGGCACAGCAGTTCTTACAGAGGAGGTTCAGGACCGATTAGAGGGTATTCGAAAAGGAACCGCGCTAGACCCCAAGTCCATATTCTATATACCTACACAAGAGTCCCCCGCCGAGCTGAAACGAAAGATTGATAGTATTCTTGCTATTCTGTATTCAAATGCCGTTGAATATTACAGGGACCTCGGTCGGCATGCAAGGAAGAAGAGATCGCGTGGCATTGCTCCGCAGCCGACGATACCACCAACATCTGGAACATCGCATACTCTTTCTTTGCCTGATTGGAACTTTCGATATGACATGAAGACTGCCATTTTGGCAGAATTTCGCCAGGAGTTGGACCCGGCGATTCGATCCTTTGAGCAGGCCTACGAGATCCTACTAGGGCAGGATGTGTTTGACATAATTCCGAGTTGGAGCTCCCGGTGGAATGAGGCTCGACAATTGGCCGATATCGTCTCGATCCGGTGCCTGCGACTACATTTGTGGATGGGACATACAAGTCTAGCCGTCAAAAGATGGCAAACGCACAGAGATCGAATTGGTGACCTTGTGGATCGTAGAGGGCAAGGCACAAATACATATGGCTGGCAGGCCTGGGAGGCCAGGTGGGCCATGGTCATGGCTAATTTGATGGAGAAAATTGAGGTATCTGGCTTGGCTCCTGCGTCGATGACCATATTTCTACCCCCTGAACGGGCAGTCTTGGGCGAGCGATTACAACCATGGGAGCTTCTACATCATACAGGCTACTGGTATCGCATGGCCGCACGGCATCTTACTGCTCGACGCACCCTCGCTCACATGATACCAGATGAAGATAGGGAACCACCGGAATCTGCGTCAGCGAAATCTGCAAAGAGCACTTATGACACTTATATGTGCCCTCCACCTTATCAAGAGAACCCGCTAAGCGGAGATGGCGGTGTTAGCCACGCTCAGTTGATAATAGACTGTCTTATTGCCTCTCGGACTCAGTTTGAAGCTCGGGGTCAGCTGCGGATTGCCGCAGAGCTGTCATTAGAATGTGCCAAGGAAATGGCTACACTGGGTTCTTGGGAAGAGGCTGTAGCAATTTTGCAACCCGTGTGGGACAGCAGCTCATACCGAGCTGAGAACTGGCTGGATATATCTGAAGACCTGTGTTGGTTATTACGCCGGGCAGCCAAAGAAATTGGGCGGGCTGATCTCCTCGTTGCCGCAGACTGGGAGCTAATGAACAAGAGTAAGTGCAGACTTATATTTCGAGGCCTCGGTCTTACTAGGGTAGGGGCTAATGTGACTGTATTCAGAGTTTTCAAAGCGGCAACACTGGCGCTACGATCTGTCACAGTCGCTGGACGGGGTAACAGTCGAAGAGAAGCCATCGATTCAGCTTTCGGATGCCTCATCATCGCACCTCATTTCGTCAAGTTTCGTGTTCAGAAGCAAGGAGAACAAGGCAGGCGACCAGTGCCTAGCCCAATTTACGCTGACTTCGAACGCCATGGCAGACTCTATGCCGATATCGTTTTCTTCTGTAAAGATTTTGTTTGGAGGCAGTTTGAAACCTATTTTGCTTCGACATGGCTCAAGTGGGGAGGAGAGCTCTTTTATCACTAAAGTGGCGCTGGAAGAACAGTTTTCAACTGATGGACCGGGCGACTTACCTTCTTCACTCAGCGGAACTTGCGATTTGACATTAAAGCCCGGTGAAAAAAGGGTGTTTGAAATGGCAGTTCCGTTGAGAGAGTCAGGAGAGGCCGAGGCGTCTACAGTCGTCGCTACATATGAGCATAAATCCTTTGACATTGAGTATACCATGTCGTTCAGAGACACTGATCAAGTAACTGGATGGTATATCAAGACTTCAGACAGGCCACGCCAATTGAGACCCGACGCCAGGATACTCCACATCAAGCCACGACCACCCAAGCTCCTAGTTAGCCTGCTTGAATCTTCCGGCCAATATTACACGAACGAAACGGTGGAACTTGGAGTGGAATTGCGAAATGAAGAGGAGGAACCGGCCAATGTCAAACTAGACGTACAGTTGTACGGAAAATCAGTCTCGTCGTTTAAGTTGCAGGTTGGAGAACATGAACGAAATGGAGAAACCGGTGAAGACGAAAGTAAGGCGCTGGGAGTGCCTGTAGGTGTCATTTCTAGCGGTGCAGTGGCCGAATTAAAGCTCACTATTGATCCTACAACGGCGCCTACAACACACGATCTTCATATTCAAGCAACTTACCATCTAGAGTCGGATACTGCAACACCAATTATACAAGTCTTGTCTCTGTCTTTGGACCTCGTGGGGCCATTCGAGGCGAACTACGATTTGTTACCCAGACTGCATCCAGAGCCATGGCCCAGTCTGTTCGATTACGAGGGATTACACCTGGTCACGGAGGGCGAGACAGCGGCCTCGCCGGCAAAAGGATTTGCGCAGCAGTGGTGTCTGGTATGTCACTATGCATCGTTTGCCATGGAAGATTTGACGGTCTTGGGAATGGAACTGCAAGTTGTATCTTGCGTGGGAGGGGCTAGATGTACGGTGACGCGGCAACCTGAAGTGGCCGGCGACGGCATTACTATACCTCCAAAGACGATACACGAAGCACAGTTTGACCTCGTGGCACAAAAGTTGAGCCTCGACGATCGACACCCTGTCACTCTAGATTTGGCATTTGTTATCAAATGGAAGAGAAAGACGGCCCCGGTGGATGGCCAAGCCAATGTCACGGCCTTGCCAGTGGGACAGTACCTCGTACTGGGGACGGAACCCAGAGTGTTGGCATCGGCGCTGTACTCCAACCCTACGGCATCAACTAACCTGCTTCATCTGGACATTACCATTGAGAACCCATCAAATCACTTCCTCACGTTTGGGCTCAGCATGGAACCCAGCGACATGTTTGGGTTTTCCGGTGCAAAACAGACGACAATCAACTTATTACCAATGTCTCGAAGGACAGCAAGGTACAGACTGTTGCCATTTGTTCAGGGTGACTATATCCGGCCGGGTCTTGTGGTACGCGACAAGTATTTCCAGAAGGTGCTGCGTATTATCCCCACGGAGGGCATGAAGATTGACAAAGACGGGCTGCTGGTATGGGTACCTGGGGATGGAAGCAAAGATTCGGAAAGGGGGGCAAAAGAGACATGAAAGGCATTTTCATTGTGGTTTTATTTTACTTTTTATTTCATTTTTCATTTTGCAAAACTCAGGCTTTTGGCCCGCGGGTTAGACGGTGTTTGAATGGCGAGCAATGCCAATACCAAATATCAAGATTTATCACGCGTGGTTTCCGATCCATATACAGGGTGTCCGCGCCAAGTCGTGCGCAACGATGGAGGGAGAAGTACAAATTATCAGTCAAGCTCGTCATCAGACGCAGCATCGGAGATTCGCACACCGACGCTGAGCAGAACAGGCAGTGATGATACAGCGATTCGGAGTCGGTACAACATTCGGTCTTTGGTGGCAGATGGCAGTTGGCAGACTAGCGTGCTTGGATTCGGGCATAACGCGTCAATTACACGTGGATAGGCCAAGCGGGCGGCCAAGCGTCAACTTGCAGACTTCTGGTTCAATGTTCAGCCCTCAGCCCTGTGGGCCTGACGACGGAACTGGAGCTCTGTCAGGGCATTGATCTGGCTTGCTGCCGTGAGTTTGTCCACCCTCAAGATCTTGACACTCCCCGCTGAGGTGAACCAGACTGCGATGCTGTCCACCTGATTGGCTGCCTAGACGAATTGGGCTGTCGCAAGCTCCACATCTCGGACATCGGCAATCTCTCAAGTCCGCAGCATGTATTTGCTTGGGGGCATCGGAGATGCATTTCAACGACGCAAATGTCTGGGTGACGTACAACCCAGCAAGCCTCACCAGAAGCATGGGTTGGAGGCGCCCTTCCGTCAAACAATAGGCCTAGTGACGGTCGGCCTCGTCTTTTGTATAGAGTGCGAATCGGGCAGCAGCTGTCATGGCACAGTGCTATAAGGCTTTGCAAGATGCGGCGGTTCAGATTTCAGATTTCATGTAGTATATATTATTATACACGGGTACCACCTCTTGCTGAGGAAACACGGCAGAGCTCTTTCAGCTGCGCGCAGACAGTGCAAAGTCGTCATTATGGCGACTATGACCGCCTCGACCGAACCAGGACGTCTGTCCACCGACAAGACGGAAGTTGATTCTGGAATCACCTCGCCACCCGAGAATACACGCCCGCGCGACGACCACCACGTCACCGAGGGGAAGGCCCAGCAGAGTGAGGATGGCGGTCCCGACTATCCACATGGAATTAAGCTGGTCTTGATCATTTCGGCGCTGTGTCTGGCCGTGTTTTTGGTTGCCCTCGATCAGACCATTATAGCGCCTGCTCTGGGGGCTATCACGACGCAGTTCCAGAGCGTCAAGGATATTGTATGCCGCTTGACAAGTTGCTCTTTGAATCGCGTCGGCGGACGGAAGTGCTAATGGACATGTTCCCGCCAGGGCTGGTACGGAAGTGCCTATTTGCTTACGACGACGGCGTTGCAGCCCATGTACGGTGCCGTGTATAAGTTGTTTAATGTCAAGTTGGTGTATCTCGGCGCTGTGTTTATATTTGAAGTGGGCAGCTTGTTGACTGCCGTTGCGCCCAATTCGACTGCGTTTATCGTGGGAAGAGCTATTGCAGGTGTAAGTCGTTATTCATGGCCCAGCCTAATGATGGGAAAAAGTACAAAATTGACCCCAGAGCCTATATATAGATTGGAACTGCTGGTCTCTTCTCTGGCTCCATCGTGATCCTCTCGCTCTCAAGTAAGTCGCCAGTCCAAACGCCCGCCCCCCAATCGTCATGCTCACGCCTTCATCCCACTAATCGTACCTCAGTGCCTCTCCAGAAACGTCCCATCGTATTCGGACTCATAGGCGGCATGTGGGGGATCGCCTCTGTCGCAGGCCCTCTTCTCGGCGGCGTGTTCACGGAAAACGTCTCCTGGCGATGGTGTTTCTACATCAACCTCCCCATCGGAGGCATCGCCATGGTTATTGTCGCGCTCTTCGTCCACATTAACCGCAATACATCTGACACCGAGAACATGACCTTTATGGAGCGTCTCTTGCAGCTGGATCTGCTGGGCACCTTTGTCTTCATCCCCGCCATTGTGTGTCTTTTGCTTGCGTTGCAGTGGGGAGGGGCCGACTATCCCTGGAACGACTCCAAGGTCATCGGCCTCTTTGTCGGGTTTGCACTCATGATTGCCGTCTTTGTTGGCATCCAGTTTTGGCAGGGTGACAGGGGAACCTTGCCGCCTCGCTTCTTCAAGAACAGGAATACCCTGTGCGCTATGATGTTTGCGTTTTTCTTTGGCGCCGGGTTCTTCCCCCTGGTTTATTTCATCTGTAAGTCACACGCATTGTTCAAGTTGGGCACATGACGGGCTGACGCCATGGTAGCTCTCTACTTTCAAGCCATCCAGGGCGTATCCGCCGTCCAAGCCGGCATCAAAATCCTCCCTCTGCTGCTTGCCACGGTCCTCTGCTCCGTCATAACGGGCGGCCTCATCTCCGTCATCGGCTACTACAACTTTGTCATCATTCCCTGCATGATCCTCTACACCGTCGGCTCCGGCATGATCACCACCTTTGACGTCGACACCCCCCTCCGCCAGTGGTTCGGCTACCAGGTCATTGCTGGTCTCGGCATCGGGGCCGGCTTCCAAATCGGCGTGCTGGTCGTGCAGACGGTGCTCCCGCAGGAAATGGTTCCCGTCGGCACGGCATGTGTGCAGTTCTTCCAGGCACTCGGCGGTGCGATTTTCGTGGCTGTTGCGCAGACTCTCTTCCAGAATGGGCTCATTGACACCCTTGCCAAGGACAACATTGGCATCGACGGCAAGATCTTTATCAACAGCGGCGCTTCCCAGATTAAGCATGTCCTGGAGGGAATGGGCCGCCTGGACGCCCTGGACCAAGTGCTCGAGGCTTACATGATTGGATTGAGGCACACGTATTACATCTCCGTGGCATGTGCAGCCTGTGCGTTTTTGGCGGTGCTGGGTTTGGAATGGAGGTCTGTGAAGCACGGTCCTGACGGGAGGAGGACGAAGAAGAAGAAGCAAGAGACTGCTGCATCAGCAACTGTTTAAATCTGGACTTTTCCCTCTGGGGCGGAGTCATATGATTCCTATTGGCGTGTGATGTCCTAGAAGTAGTCATCTCCTCTTAGTACAGGTTGGTCTACAGAGCACACCGGCCGTTAATACATGATACATTTTCAAAGCTTCTTTGCCACAATGAACGAAAAAGAAGAAGAAAGAAGAAAAGAACAAAAAGTTCAATTTCGGTATCCAAATTCATTGTGTATGGTCTGGTGGTTTATCCCAATCTACAACGCCCCTCCTCCTCTTCCTCCCCGTCCTATCCAATCCTACAAACCGCAACACCCAGTCCCTCACAACCCGGACCTTGCCAACCTGCGGATTGTCACCGCCGGCCCTCGTCAGACTCCGCGTGGAATAAGACCCGCCGCCTTCCCCCCTCCAGAGGAGGTGCAGTCTCGTCAACCCCCTTCGCAGACTCTGTCCGTACACCTTGCCCCTAAACACGTGCAGCGCCACGTTCTCCATGAGCACCACGTCTTGCCGCCGCAGCTGGACAGCGTCGCTCTCGGCCACCTTGTCCACGGGCACCCAGAACGTCACCGCAAATCCTGCGGCCGTCTCGTCCCCCACGAGGACTTCTATCAGCGACAGTGCGGTGCCCCATTTCGTAGTGACTGTGCGCGGCTGGGCCACGGACAGCACGCCAACTATGAGGTTGAGCGTTATGGTCTGCGGCTGCAGGGAGGTGACTTGTTTCGCGGAGGGCACATCCTCCAGGTCAGATAGGTGCGAGGGCACGGGCGGCGCGGGCTGGCCGTCTTCCGAGAGCAGCGAGGTTGTCATGAAGGAGGCGCTTTCAGTCGTGTCGAAGCTGTCGAGGTCCGGGGCGGCGCTGGAGTTGTGCGCCGCGAGGGATTGCTCACAGAACTGCGCGAGAACGTCTTGGGTTCCGTCGTGGTCTGGCGCTGTGGCGAACCCGTGGGTTGTGGTGGTGTCGGCGGTTGTGAAGAAGCTTGGGCTGCTTGGAGCATCATGCTGCAGGTGGTGGGCTTGGGTGAAGCCGGTGTGGAGGGGCTGCCGGGCCAGCGGTAGCGATCGCCATGCTGTGTATTGTGTTTGGGGAGGGAGGTTGTGCGGTGAGGCGGCCGGGAGCCCGAGGAGGTCTTGGAAGGGCTTGTCGAAGTTGTGTATTGAGCATGAGGATTCGGTGAGGGCTGCTGATGGCGGCGGTCCTGTGAGGAGGAGGAGTTTGGGGGGTGGCATTGTTCAGGTACAGTGCGACGTCATGGTGGTGGCATTTCGCGAGGAGAGGTTGAGCCGGCGGCGAGGGTACCGGGAATTATTAGAGATTACGAGAGTTGGGGACAGATTTGCGTTGTGAGGATGGAAACTGGTCAGAGTCTGAGGTTGGATGGGAAGCTTCGATGTCTGGGCTGCGTTGTGGGTCACGACTCACGACTCACGACTCACGACAACCATGGATATGCAGCACCGTTGGAAAAAAAAGAAATAAAATGAATAAAATACAAGCCGCATACTATACTTGTACCAAGAAAATTGTGAGAAATACGATTCTGGCGCTGCTGGTCGAAATAAGGCAGGGTGAGGTATAGGGTGAGGTATAATGTGTCTTGGCCAGTAGGTATGTTGTTGGAAGCATCATCGTGAATCGCGATAGAAGATCAAAGCCAAATAAGTCTTTGGCTTCACAAAGAAGCACGCCTGTTTGATTTTCACAGTTCCAGTTGCAAATCGGTCGAGCATGGCTTACATGACCTGACCGACGCTCTCGCGTAAGATGCGCCATGAATGAGACAGATGGAGGTTGGAGCCGCTTCTCGAAACCAGCCGTTCGGGTCAATGAAGACAGGGAGCGGGTTACTCCTTCCGTACCTGGACTACGGCAAGCGGGGTGCTGGGGGACTTACAGAGTAAGTACCTGCACTTGTCACAAACACACGGGAAGGTACCTATGTACTATGTACTCGCTCACGGCAACGGCAACGGCTCCACCCTGGCTCCCATGTACCTCACTCAACCTCGGCTGAAGCTGATGATCAATTAGACAAAGTTACGACACCCATGGGCCATATATAAATCATCATGACCTCCACGCATCAGTCACGCTTGCACGACCAACAACCCCCCAATCATCCTGTGTAGTTACGAGCTTGCCAAGCACGCACATATTCTTGCACGCCACCTGAACACGTCTCTTTGTGTCCGTGGCACTTGATGCCACTTACAGACCGAGAACCGTTTGCCAAGGCCCCAAACACAACATGGCCGCAGCGTTGTTCAACGTCAAGGAGCACATCATCGACGCCTCTCACATCCGAGAGTTCGCCTATGCCACAGCCAATTCACAAGATGCCACGCTAAAACTACACGTCAAGCAATATACTCCCAAAGACAATCCATCACCCCGGAGAGGTGACGTAACCTTGATTGGCGCCCATGCCAACGGCTTCCCCAAGGTACGCCGCCCGGGCTATCATCTCCATATATTCATAGCCTGCCATCATCACACAGCGCTGACTACTGCGTCAGGAACTTTATGAACCATTCCTCAATGACCTTTACCAAGAGCTCAACAAGTGTGGCGTGCGTATCCGTGATGTCTGGTTTGCCGACTGTGCTTGGCAGGGCCAAAGTGGTATCCTCAACCAGGAACGAGGTCTCTTGGGCAATGATCGTGAGTATCTTTTGCCCAACATGGCATAGCTGCTCCAAAATACTCCGACTGATAATGCCATGTGCCATCCAGCTTCTTGGTATGATTACTCTCGAGACATCCTACACATGATCAACACGTTCCGTATGCCGCGCCCTCTGGTCGCCGTTGGGCATTCGTTCGGCGCAAACGTCCTCAGCTATACCGCACTGCTGCATCCGCGTCTGTTCCACAGCATGGTGCTCCTGGATCCTGCTATTGCTTACTACCACACAAGCCTCCCCATGGATTTCAGAGCAAGTCCTGCCGCCGCGAGCGTTGGGAGGCGTGACCGGTGGCCGTCGCGGGAGGCTGCCGCCGCCTTGTTCAAGAAGGCTCCGTTTTACCAAGCCTGGGACCCGCGCGTCTTGGAGCAATGGATCAAGCACGGGCTGCACAATACCACCGCAGATCCAAACGGGGAGGTGGTGCTGGCAACCACCAAGCACCAGGAAGTCTTTACCTTTCTTCGTCCCAGCTGGCCCGCGTTTGATGCCGAGGGCAAAAACGCCATTGACCCCAAATGGATGCCTGACGCCGGGACCTCCATCAAAGTTGAATACCCCATGTATCCTTTCTACCGGCCGGAGGCGATAAACACCTTCATCCGCATGCCTAGTCTGCGCCCTGGCATCGTCTTCATCTTGGGCGGGCAGAGCAACGTCGTTAGTGATGCCGACGTTAAAACGAGAACGGAGACCACAGGCACTGGCTTGGGAGGCAGCGGTGGCGTCGCCTCCGGTCGGGTCAAGGAGGTTGTGCATGAGGACTACGGGCATCTTATCCCTATGGAAGTTCCCCGTTTCTGTGCCCAGCATGCCGCGGATTTCCTTAAAAAGGAGTTGGATATCTGGGCCGTAGAGGAGGCAGAATATGAAGAATGGGCAAAAAAGTCAAATACCGACAAAGTAACCATCTCTCAGGAGTTCAAGAAACACCTCGGCGTCACAGACAGGCCAAGGGCCAAGATGTAGGCAGCCTGCTTGGGCATCGACTTGTACTTGTAGACGTCTCGTTAATCATAGACTAGAACGAAGCTAAAGACTATCATATTAGATCAATGGAAGATACGATAGAAATTGTAAAAAAAAAAAAAAAAAAAAGTCAATTTTTCTTCTCGTAATCATTCAAACTCAAGGCCCTCGCTTCCAATGCAAACCAGCATTTTCGATCCCGCCTAAATTTTATTCCTGAAATAAGCCGTCTTGCATTTTCTCCACATTACCCAATGCATGCTGTCATGTCTGCAAATTTCCAGTTCAATCAGATATAATACATAGTATCCCTCAACGACTTATGGACCTGCCTGATACTCCCCGCACCCGATGACTCTGACGACGTAGAGGTCGAGACACTTTCAACGTCGCTGACGTCGTATTCCGGACGATGAGCACGAGCACGCTCGCACACTATATCCGCGTAGTAGGCTGGCGGGCAAATGCTCACAGCCTTGGTGGCTCGCCCATACAAGTAGCAGAGCTCGTGAGTCAGGCGCTCCAGCTCGTTGGCCGCTCGTTCGCCGTACTTGTACCTGAATACCTCGTCCAGCAGTACAGTATAGTGTGCTGGCCGAGCCGTTCCCTGCAAGGCCTCGTGTGCGGTCAGGAAAAAGTCCCAGTATGGGGCGAGTGTAATGCCGCGATCGACAACAGTGCCGTTCTTGACGTTACCGGAGCGAGACATGTCTTCCGTGTTTGTTGGGTAGAACCTCGTTTGATGCCGCTTGACGGAGACAATGATTGATATCTTTGGCTGCTTGCCAGATTGGTATGTCTGGCGGCAAGCGTCTCTGATCATGGGCAATTCCTGGTCAATGACCTGTGCGAATTGGCCTTCTGAAACACCATCGCGGAAAATAACGATATTTTCAGGAAGTGTCTTGTTATTATGGGCTCGCCACAGGCTCAAGCGGGACTTGAATGCATCAGTAAGGGTGCTACCAAGCATTTCTTGCTTGGACTTTTGCTCCCATGCCATAGCGGGCCATTGGCCAAGATCTTGGTCGACAGAAGCGACGAGACCAACGAGACTAGGGGGTTCGTTGCCCTTTACGACATTCATATTTGTCGGGTGAGTGACATCGTAACCAACTAGCATTGTCTTCCCCTCCTTCAGAAGCCCAAAGTCATTGGTAAGCTTGTGATTGACACCACCAGACTTGAGATTGATCTTGAGGCCAACGTTGCTATAGTAGGAAAAGTTTTTCTCCTTGAATAAGTGTTTGGCAACGAGGCAACTTGTGTGAATGCCATGTACACAGTCTCCCAGGCGCTTGATCTTAGTATAGAGCCCACCACTGTCTTTCTGGCCCAGGATAAACATAATGTACTGGATTTTGTTGTCCTCAGCCCATTTGAAAAAGTTTACTAAGCCTGGGCCATACAGGGCTCCATCCTTGGTCATGAAATGCTTCGGTAGCCGAACAGGTGACTTGGCGATGTTCATGCCCAGGTCATTAGCCATGAACTTGGCAAAGTCTTCCATGGTCTCAAGACCGACTTGCCTATCAGTGTCTCGGGAGAGTAAATTCATATATGTCCATCGAGAAATCATGTCGCCCTTCTTGACGACCTTGACGGCCCTCATGTTCCAAGATCCGTTAAAAGGGTTGACAGAAATCTTTTTCTTAGTAGCATCGATGTAAGCCACGGCCGGAACATTAAGGACTCGTCCGTTAACAGTAGCAAGATTCTTGTCAACAGTAACACCAAACTTCTGAAGAGTCTCATTGCCGTCGTACTCAAGGACGTTTCGGGCATCGCTAGATATGGACAGCGCGTTTTCATATGGGGTGCGACACGCAAAGGCAAGCATGGCGGTCGTTTCTTCGCCAGTGAGCTTTGCTCTTACACTCTGACCAGGCTGGATCTCAATTACTTCGGCCGGGAAAAATGACGGGCGTTTAGGAGTGCCGAGATTCAGAACAGGGAAGTCCTGGAGTGTCATGCCATATTCTAGAAAAAAATGGTAGTTTAGTTAACCCATCAGCAGTTACAAGGAGGCAATCTGGAAGAATAGCTTACTCCTCTTATAGTAATCGTGAACAGAAATGAAACGGCTTTCTTCTTCAAGCCAGAACCTGACATTCTTAGGCCCCGGATACTCATAATCCATGTTGATTGTTGGACGGTTGGGCCCCTCAGCAGTTGACGCTGTTATCTTGGTCACAAGGCCTTGAAGAGCTTTGCTCCTGCGGACTTTGGTTCCATCAGCAATGGTAAAAGTCACCCACACTCTGGCCTTGGGCAAAAACTTGGCAAAGGCACCAACAAGCCTCTTCAATCTGTGATCATCACGAGCCACCTGCTGAATAGCGAGGGACTTCATGAGTTGGTCCATTTTGCCGGCAACTCGAAAAACACCATGAGTGACGTTGGTGTTCAGAAGAAGGCGGCCAGTAGCCAGTCGAGCTGATTGAAAGAACCCACGCGCAGCAATCAGAGTGTGATAGTCCTGTGCGAGACTGGCGGTGGTTGAGTCCTTATTGAACGGGAAAAAACGTGACCCGCCAATAGCTGTGATTTCACCTAGTTTCGAACGAGCGTTGTGACCGAGAATCATATTCAAGGCGTCAATCATCTCTGGGAACTTGGGATAAGTGTTCCTATCGCCATGATCGTCCATAGTCTGCGTGTACGTCATTATGTCAGATATGCGAATCTCCGTGGGCCCATCAATCAAGATGTCGACCACATCAGGCTCGCGATCATCATTCTCGGACGGAATGCTGATACTGATGGGGTTTTTGTGTAAATCCAGTGGTTTAACCGAAACAATTTGGTCCTTGAACTGAGACGCCAGAGCTCGGCTCTTATCAGTCGAGGTGAAGTGTCTCAGAAGATGCTCAATGGCAAGATGAAGTTTTCGGCCCTTAACATCCTTGACTTCGGTCTTCTCTTTGCCTTTAGCAGCTGAGGAAACTTCTTCGGTAACCCTGAGCACGTATCTGTATAGGACAGGGATCTTAAAGTGCACCGGGAAGTAGTTTGCCCAAAGCAAAACGGATTTGCCACTAGACCCGAAAGCTGGTCTCTCGGGAAAAGTATCGGGGCTGGCCGACTTTTGCTGGACAGTCAAGGCACCCATTTTGGTGGTGAGTCCCTTGACAGCCGATTCATGCTGACTAATGATGCGATTTTCGAGCTCCGTGACTGTTTGGTCGGGACTGGGAATTCGCCCATCGATACTGTAGAGGATAGGTCAGCGCCGTTAATATGGGCAGCAGTGCACTGCTTCACGTACCTGAAAACCTTAGATCTCGACTCGTTCGGCGGTGCTCCTCCACGGCCACCTCGGAACCCTCCTCTGCCACCACGATCCGAACCTCCTCTACTTCCACGGAAGCTTCCTTGAAAGTCTCCTCGACCGCGTCCGCCACCTCCACCACGATAGGCTCCACCGCGTCCGCCTCGATCAGACATTATCGTATCGTTTGTAGGCGATCAATATTAGCGCGCGTGGCAAGTCAAGCCGTCTGACTAGGGGTAAGGAGCATCGTTCGGAAAAAAGAAAACGATTGAGGACACTAGTTGCGTGGCCGCTGCTGCTAAATAGAGGTTCGAGGCAATGAGGCTTTTGGTGTGCGGGGAAGGCTTCATATCATTGGAGAGCACCCAGCCAAAAGATACGGCCCTGGTTGGGTTGGATTTGGCGCCCAATGTTTAGAGTGAAGCGAGCTGCAGTCGAAAGGTGATACCACTGGTAAAGAGCATGGTTGGTGTAACCAGAAGAATTTGATGTTGAAGCGGGGACGAAGCTTTCCAGGGCCAGTACGGAGTACGTGTACGGAGTATGTATGTTACTCTTTTGAATGGGGTGAATGGCGGATACTAGAGACTGGGGACTTGAACAACAAGATTGGTCGGTGACTGGGCTCTCGGTTTTTTTTTGCCAAAGAAAAGTGATTGAAGCTTTGATGCAAACCTCCTTCGTATATGTATGTATTGAGCGTGAATTGGCGGCGGCGCATAATGGTCTTGGGCCCTGGCAGCCGTGATTCGACCTGACAACTGTAATTCGGCCTAACTGCCGTGATTCGGGGTGAGTCATACGGAGTAATAAGCATATGAAGTCTTGCGCGGCGTTGACGGTTTGTGCATTATTTCTGCATACCTAGTAGTTGTGCCGGGTGGTCAAGTTACATGTCAACTTATGCAAACGCATAATGGCACCACAAGGTCCACACCATCGAGGATGCACCAACAAGTGATCCATCAACTCATCATCTTGTCTTCTGCAAACAGCTTCAATCACGCCGACCCCGTGTGATTCACTCTTCCCAGGTGCCGCACAATGAATCGCATCAACGCCGCCCTAGTTATTCCAAGACGGCTTGCCGCATCAAACATGCAGCCCATCAGTTTATTTGTCCAACCATCGCAGTCGGGAAGCGATGCTGCCAAGTGTATGCCTCTTTCCTCAAAACATCGTCACGGTCTTGGTGACATCGCAATTTTTGACGGTGGGGAGACCTAATCAAGTATACTGATGTCCTTCCCTGCTACCTAACCTACTAATCTGTCTACCCAGGAACTCCTGGCCCCGTGTTGAAACAAAAGACGTATTATCTAGACTTCGATAAGCCGCGATAGTGATCATCTTGATGACCATAGCGTTGAGGTGTACTTCGCGCGAAATGTCTATTTACTCCTTTTACAGTTTAGGTTCTGATTCGACCTTCCCATCGCCCAGCCAGACCCCTACTAATGGCGCGCAAGTTGATTGCTGGTTTCTTGTTAATTTTTTTATTCTCCAACCTATCACAATATTCGTGCCAGCACTGCATCAGGTAGAGCCCAACCATACAAACACCGTGTGCCTGGTCGTACTTATCCAAAGAACCGAGACATACTGAAAGGAATCAGCGTATAAACACGCATCACAATACGTGAAAAGCTAACAAAATTATGATTCATGGCTTAGACATGGCGCGGCGTCGTTGCGCGCCAGTAAAGGCTATCTCGCGATAGACTCAGCCACTGCATTAAAGCAAAATATACTTCACGGGCAAGTGACTCACCCCGAAAACTCAATGGCCGCGCACAACATCTATCAACAAGTTTTGTGTTCGGCATATCTCTTATGTTGTTGCCTCTAGTCTCTCATCTAGGTATCTATCTCTCGGCGCCCTGGCATCTTCATCTCGTCCAGCCGAGTACCTTGACGATGGGGATCAAAGTCACGATTGACGGGCGATGACCCTGCCTTCTCGCATACACATTCGTCTAATAGTCTGAAACAAGAATAATAGAATGCGGGACAGCATTCGCAAGCTACCAGCCGACATAACAGCGTAAACGTCAGCAAGCCCACAATGGCCTCAAGAGCAGGGGAGCATTCAGCCTACACCTCTGACATAGAGAACAATCACCGTGCGGCGAAGCCTCTGGCTCACGGCAGCGTTCCAGTGGTCATGCCGCACTCACGTAGTATTCGTCAGCCCTTGGTGTGTGGCATCTCGATGCACATACATCTTGAACTGTACATATCAGAGGTCCGAGTTCACTGTCGATCCATGCACATGTACAGCTCTGTCAAGTCTGGGACTTGGAAAAATAGCCATCCAATTGTTGATTCGCCGCTCTTTTACCCTCAGTGCCTTGGACCTTGATACCGAGACCTGCCAAGATGTCACTGCCACGTTCAGGTCGCGTCGCTGAACAAAGAAGCTACAAACTACCTGGCAGGCTGGCAACCAGATGCATCCAACGGCGCCGTCCCTTGGCGCCGTATTCCGAAACATCGCAAATAAAAAGACAGCAAACAGCAAAGCGACCAATCAAAGCCCTAACTCAACTCCATGCATGCAAGTGCCATGCAGCTACGGACGGCTCGCGATAGTGTGGGCCGAATGTGGCTGTGGAGGTGATGTAGCTGACATGGACCAACAAGAAAGGTTGAGGAAGCGCCGCGGGAGAAGGCGCCTCGGACCATGCCCGCAAAAAGGGACAGATTATCCCCAGGCCCTATGATTGGACATGTCTTTTGCAAAGAGTGTTGGACACAGACGGAAATGACAGCGGCAACGGAGCACTGCCTCGACAGGGCTCGGCAAGCATTGCCGACAAGAGATATATAAGTCAAGAGAGATTGGGGTAATACTACTCCGTACTGTAAAGCAAACCAGCCGATTCATAAAGACAAGGCCAGATTACCCATTTCTACCACCTCATTTACTCCGTACACAAATACCCTTTGAATTTTCTCAACTGCTTTCAAATTCGCCGACTCAAGCAACACGACAGACACCATGGGCCTAGCCAAAGCCGCCATCAAAGTCGTCATCATCCCGATTGTCATTGTTGTCATCCTCGCAGTCCTCGCTGCCGTTTTGATCAAAATCAAACGCAGAAAAAACAAGGACGTTGAGCAAGGAGAATTCCCCCCTCCGGCAGCGTTGCCACCACCGAGCTATCCTGCCACGGCGCAACCTCAGACCATGTATTTCACACCAAATAAGGGGGCAGGGAACAATGGGTTTGGCTAGAGTTGGGGGTTTCTGGGGTGCGTTGGCAAGGTGGAATTGGCCATGATACGATACCGGGCCCGTGAATAGTTGGCAGGACCAGTTGACAGGGTAGATTAGGACAACGGACAATCTTTTACAGTTAGTCCTGATTGTTGGATAAATATTACATGACGAGTAAACTCAGATGGCAACGGTACCTATATCATCGTGCTAGATGCCCTGCCATGGCCCCATGAGCCAGGTCAGGTCGTCATCAAGATTCACCCAAGAAGAATAGACTTAAAAGCATCATTTTCCAACAAATAAAAGCGACGGTGCCCTAAAGATCATTGCTCCGAGGTTGTCGTTTTGTGCTATCATTTTGGAGCTAAGCTCGGTGGTCGCCCATGGGCTGTGCTATGTGAGTCTTTCCGGCGTGGCCCAGCTAGAGAAGCCAGGGAATCCTAGTGTTCGCCGAATGGGCTGAGAAGGAGACTCGGTAGTAAGCAGTGAGATGCCCCATTGGTAACATGGGCCTTACTATCTTCCATACGGAGCTCACGATGGAACTCGGACGCAGCGAGACGTTCCTATGGCACCGAAGCCACGGCATCAGCTGCTGCCCACGACACAGACCATTGAGGTGGCTGATACTTTGCTGAATATGACTATTGAGAATCGGAGGATTATCGAGCGGGACTTTTTGCTTCTCTGGGCTTCGCTTCACCAAGTTCTTAACCTTGGAGTCTTGTGGTGGGAAGTTGGAACTGAGAGTTACGGTATAGCAGAACTATCTGTGTTCTATGCCGCGGGTTTGCAAAGTCACCGGGAATATGAGATACTTTTGTTATTTATGAGGCTGACGGGGTGCCAAGACGCTGGTGAAGGACACTCAAGGAAACGAGCATCTGCCCAACTTGAAAATAGCACAAAAGTTGTACAAGTTGACATGAGCGTTTGCAAACACACTCGGCCACGTCGAACGGCCATCTTGGCTACATTTCTAAAGAGGTATCGCTGCGAAAACAGGGACCAGACAGGGAAGTGTATTACAAGAGATTCGCAAAGTCAGAGTGTTGTGTCACCTTGGCTCTATCAAGCTCAATTTGGTGCATACATGGAAGAGCAGAGCAGGCTTGGGAAACACGGGAACCATTCAGGATGTGGGGGTCTCGAGACGATAGATTGCGTCGCAATAGCTATCCCTGAGGTGGAGAGTAATTTCCACAGAAACTGAGCCCTTTTACACGGCATCGTCATCTCAGCCGCGGACAGCCTCATGTTATTTTCGCCCTAGTATAGAGCGAGTTTGCTGTGTCCAAAAGGCGAGGAATGACAAACCTTGCATTTACCAAGGCGTTTTTTGTTATACTGAGTAGCTGATAGCCAGTTGAAGGCTTTTCTTTAGTCCGCTATTACTATTTACGATTCCAGGATATTGGTTGGCTGGAATTCGTGGCTTATCGCTTCCCCTTGCGAAGAACTCAACTAGGCCATAGCAAACAGATACATCCAGCAGACAGCCTTCTAGGAGGCTTTCTAGAATGTTTCATATTCCCAACGGCTGTATGCCACTTGAATTTAGGGGGGAGCTCTCATGGAGACTATCTTACTTGTAAGCTTGTTCCCATCGGCTGAGAAGCTTGACGAGCAGGTTCAAATATGCAGTAGCAGCATTCCTGTCGGCCATACGGGAAGTCCTGATTCGTATATTATTCAAGACCCAAGAGCACCTTTTGAATCAGCTCACATCCTGAAAGACTCGTCTTGATCATTCCATTCTAATCCATCATATCATTGAGGCCCGTCCCAGTCAACAGGTACATCCGACCGCTGCGCTTGTAAGTCACATCTTCTACCAGCATAGTCTGGTCCTCATCCAACGAACAAAGTCACCAAGTCTTTGCATCTAAGTCCTTTACAGCCATCGCCAGTGAATATACCATCTACTTGCGTAGACTACGGCAACGCCAAATACCAAAAACTAAAGGACATTATGAAACCCAACGAGACTATTGCCTTGATACTCGTCTTGATTCTCGTTGTGATCGGACTCTGCTGGTTGCTCTTTCGCATTAAAATTGTACCGCCGATTACAACCCCAGCAAATACCTCCCGTGACGAGAGAAGCACAAACTCGGAGCCTCCATTGCGCGCAACGACCCCTCCGCCATATATTTCACCTGTCGACCCTCGGGCTGGAGCAGAGAGGATTGTGCCCGTTGAGCCGCCGGAAAGAACAGAAGAGGCGGCGCGTGTCTATATAGAAAGAAGGGTCGAAGATGAATACAGGAGCGCAACGGCCCAGGGAGCAGGACAAGACCAAGCCCGCCGGGGGCCGTACCATTATAGAGAGACACACAATAGCGGTGTACATCATGATACTACCGATATCGTAGTACGTATTGGATCTACACGCTAAGAGCTTGAAAGAGCTGGGATTTCAGTCTGTAATAGGCATTTGAACCCACACGTCGTCTACTGTGTGTTGGAGAGCCCGGGTATTTTTTCTCTCTAGAATATATGTCCTCAAAGCGACGTGACTCGTGAGAGCCACAAAGTCCGTGGCCTGCATTCCGTATCGACGTGACTAGAATCGCCACGAGATTAGAACTTGGAGGGTACAAGGGCCGAGGAGACATGACATACCTACCCTCATCAACCATTCCAATTTCCATTGCCCAGTGTAGGCCACGCTCGTATAAGCCGGCTTCTGCAGCCCATTGACCTAGCGTCGCATCTGCATCTCGGACCTGATGTCATACAGCGACGCCCCCTGTCGCATCACTCACATGTAATAATTGGTTGCAGATTTCAGATGGAACTGGTTACTAGCCGGATGGACCCTGACCCTGACCACCTCTGCCCCCGCCATGACGCTCCTGCCCCTCCACGGCACATGCATGAGTAATACATGCCGTCACTCACCAACCTCATCGCGAACCTCACCTCTCACAGCCTCCTGCCCTCCCGCGCCCCCTCCATCCCCATAGACTTGCCGACTACCAACGTCGAGTTGCGCAGACCACTCGTCTCCTCCGCCCGCCATCAAAGTCCAAAAGCGCACCAAACTGCCGCACAAAGCCCCATCCAGCACCACGCAGTCCGCCATGGCGACAAACGGCCGTCCATCCATTGTCGGCCCAGACAGCGGCCCCTCGGCGCCGTACCCCTACAAAATGGAGGGCAAAGTAATTTCAGGCTTCGGCCGAGGCTCCAAAGAGGTTCGTCCGCCTCCGTCATCGCCTCTCCCCAACCCCAACCCCAACCGGGGGGACTAACAAACACCGCAGCTCGGCATTCCCACCGCCAACCTCCCCGTGGACTCGGCCCTCACCCCCTGGATATCCTCCATCCCGTCAGGCGTCTACTTCGGCTACGCGTCGCTCAACCTGCCCGCGGGGCACCCGCAAAGGCCGGCCTCCTCCTCCTCCCCCGGGCCGGCCTCCTTCTCCGTCTACCCGATGGTCATGTCCATCGGCTACAACCCGTTTTACAAGAACACTGTGCGCAGCGCCGAGGTCCACGTGCTGCACGGGTTCACCGCCGACTTTTACGACGCCCACATGAGGCTGTTGATCCTGGGCTTCATCCGCGAGGAAAAGGACTACAAGAGCCTGGAGGCCCTCATCGACGACATCAATTTCGACTGCGAGGTTGCAAAGAGCAGCCTGGCGAGGCAAGCGTGGAAGGCGGAGAGTGTGGGCGACGGGGCCGAGTGGTTGCTCAAGGAGCTCTAGGCGCTTTGACTAGTCTGACTTGGCGGTTTTACTTTCAGCATGGAGATGCCATGATGATTTGGGAGGGTTGGGGGCTGCATTCGGCTTGGACGATACCAAGGCGCTTTGGTTTGACAGCATGGGCAACTTGGCACTATTTAGATGGCTGGAATTATTTTTTCAAGGAAAAATAAAACGAGAAAAAATGACAGCCACGCCGGGTTCTTGTAGAGCGACATTTGGGTAAACTTGGCATAGATAGATAGATAAACAATGAATAAAAGTCATATATGCTTGTGCAGCAATTTGTATGATACGACGTGTACGGCGTGTACAAGACCGCGGGTATCGTAAAACTCATCTAGGCATCTACCTCTTTCTTGTTCCTCGACATGGCTCTGCCTGTCGAACCCTTTCACAGACGCCCAAATTCCCTTTTTCTGTTTGAAATCCGACCAGCCCCGAGTCCCAATTCAAAATACCCAGCCCAGATAAAAGACCAAGATGTAGAAATAAAATGAGAAACAAAAAAACACCATCCATGCAGCTATGTACGGAGCACCCAGCCATCGACTATACAGCAAGCTGGTGTGGCTCCTGGTTAGGATAATACCGTGGCAGAAACTGCATTTTGTTAGCAAGCATTTCATTGTACCACGGGCCCTCCTTGTCAACTTACGTTCATTATGATCATCATGGGAATATCGAATACATCCCGCTTTATTGTCCAGCAATATGTGCAGTTGACCTTGCCGTCCTTTTCAATCCGCGAGATGCCATGCTCACTGTCAATCTTGGTGACACGGCTGCTCAGGATACCCGTCCGGTCTCTGTGCGTCGGCGTCTCCTTACCGTCCAACATGTCTTGTGTCCGGTATTTGTTCAGGCTGCAGCTTCTTTGAACCTTGCCCCGACTGTCTTCAAAGGCAAGTTGAGCAAAGTCGCGGTAGAATTGAACAACGCTGTCGTCGTCTAGTAGCTCTGCCAGGAAAACAGGCTGAGGTCTTTCACCACTCGGTTCAAGAGTGGCATTTTTGAGATGCGGCGTTGTGGCATCAGGCCGTGTGCTGCCGTCAGTCCCGTCGTCCGACCCATATGGTGTTGGTCCGACAAAGACATTTCGGTTCGCCTCCTTGCCTAGCAACACATTTTTCGTCCAACCCGTGAGAGCTGTAAACTCCTTGTTGACGGCAGCAATCTCTCCAGAGCGTCGACACACAATTGTCGGCGCGCAGCAGTGTTGCAGAAAGTCGTCAAACTCAAAGAGGGTGCGTTGGAAACACTTCTCCATGAACAACAAATCTTCCCTCGTCAGGTCCTTGGTACATGCGATAAAGGAGGGACGAATTTCTCCCAATGATCTCGCAATCATGACAAGTTTGTTTACTGGCAGGCGGTGCTTGATAACCGAAATCATGTTGTGGAACCCAGCGGTGTAGGGATAGGGTTCCTTAACATTGGCATAAACGGAAGCAGAGTCTCGTCTCTTGCCAATCAGGATTTGGGACATCTTGTCCTGCTTAGGCTTCATCCTGCCTGCACTCGCCACGCCCGGCAAGTGGTTGAATGCTGTGTGCGGCGACCCGTCGAGGGCTGCCTGTGGACTCGCAGTGGCATCTGTGCTGGGGCTGGCAAGACTGTTTGGGCCTGCCGCAATAGCATATGCATGTGGCAATCCGTGCTGCAGATTGCCTTGGGTGTAGATGGAAGTGGTGGAGTCAACTCCGGAGTAGTCGCTCCCAGTCATCATGGTATCAAAAGGCTGGTTGGGGCCATTGCCAAACAAGGAGGCATAGTTGGCCTCGGTTGTTGGCGTCGCTGAGATGGAGTTCTCCCGCGGCGGAGTTTCTGCCGCCAGGCCCATCTTATTCAGGATGCCAAACTCCCACCCGGCGTACTGACTGCCGAAGTTGAGGCCCTCCAGGTCAAAGTTGTACAACGCAGGGTTGCTGGGGTCGAACAAGGCGTTGAAGTCCATCGAGTTCCCTTGCATCATATTGTCCATTTGAGGTGCAGTCGCTGCTGGACTGGTCTGAAAGGCCGATGTTGCTTGCGCATTGAACGGTAGGCTGTCTGGCATGCCTACTTGCGGCTGGTTCGCGGCTGAGAAGACGGGAAACGACGGCCCATTGCCCGGGGCAAGGAAGCCATTGCCTCCAGTCACCGGCGATACAGTGTCGGAATGAGTCGAGTTTTGGCGTTGGCCATTGGTCCGAACACGCTCGGCTTCTGGATCATAGTTGGGTCCCAATACAGGCCGGAGGGCTTCAGGCGGCGCGTCATGAAGATATTTGGCCTTCTTACGCACGCCGTCTTGGCAAGCGTCGGCCAACCCTCGTTTGATACAGCGCTTACACGGCCGCTCATCACCTATATACGCTCTTGTCAGCAACGGCACAAGATGTCTGGACCTGTATGACATGGGGTTGACGGGTGTAGCTTGTGAAAGGATGACTGTCGACAGGACAGGTTCAAGTCGTGTAATCATGTCACAGCTCACAGCGTAGGAACTTACCGCATGTCAAGTGAGCCCTTTGGCACGCAAAACAGGCCCTGCGAGCCTTCTTTCTCCTTGGTCGCTGGGGATCCTTTGGATCATACTTCTTCTTGGTATCAGTCATGTTGTCGTCGTCCTTGTTGGGGGACTCGTTCTCTTCCTCATTATCAGACAGATGGTCCGACAAATCGGCACTATGGTCCTCCACCTCGTTGGGCATCTCGGCAAGGTTTATATAGGCCCAGGGCCTATGGTTCCGTTAATGCGGTCAAATTGCTTGAGCTCAAGTTTAAACCCCTGTAGGTCCCTGCAATGGCTCTTGCTCTCACACGAGCAAGATGGCGGCACACAATGACCGCTGGCCCAGCTGCCACTTGCTACAATGCATCCAAATCCTTGCGCGTAAGGACCACACCACCTTGCGCCTCTGTTACACGGCTTGTACCGTGTGTTAGACCGCTGATGACGGAGTGTTTAGTTGTTGTATGCGCAGGTATGGTCGGTGCGCCCACAACCGAAGCCTCCCACCCCACGCTATTAACTACCGGTCAAGGAAAAGGCTCGATTTATCTGTGGATACTGCGGCACTGGCTGAAACAAGCAGTTGGAAAAGCCGTAGTCTCACAATGATCTCGGCCGAGTAGTCCAGGTCGGTGGATGGACGGCGACTTGGATTTGGGGAGGAGGAGGGAGATGGAGGGGGGAGCCTGTGGCTTCCCGGTAGATGGGTCAGGTGTAGTGCCGGAAGGAAGACCAGGACTTCGATTCCAGGGCGACTCGTATTCTCCCCAACGACGGTTGGATCAAGGATACCCAATGGAGTGTACGGTGAAGAGAAGGCGAGGCGTTCGTGTGCGACGGAGGCAGTGGTCAGAGGGGCCAGAATGATGTATTGGGCCTCCAAGGTTGCATCAAGTAAGCCTGGAATTGGCTGTATATTGGTCGTAGTGGCTGCTCGAGCAAACGCCAGAGCATCACCAGTGTCTTGTTTTCGAATGAGCAGAGTGGAGATTTTCTTGGTTGTTGTTTGCGACTACACCGTCTACCGGGGACGGTTGTAGATGTAGATGTAGTAGGTGACGGGGCAGTCAGTCACACGCAGCCACCCGCGGGCCATGTGCTTGTCAGTGCGTGCAATGAATCCTATTTATGCAGCATTGGCATTCAGCAAATAAGCCCGGAGCAAGGAAAAGTAGCGTTGAAGGAACACGGCGCACACGACTGGCCGGGCGAGTGTTGGTGGTGGCGGGATAGGGTCGAGGCAGAGTAGCCGGTTGTCGCGTGTAGCCGAGGAGCGAGCGATCAAGGCCGGTGACGTCGCCGAGCAATAGTGCAGCCAGTTATGCGCGCTGCGACGTGGTTACGGCGCGAGGCACGGGAGGGCAGGCTGTTTGCGCTGTTTGCGCTTCTCCCGTCTGGCTGGGGATTCGGCGATGGAGTTGAGTCGATCGAGCCTTTGCCGTGCAAGTGCAAGAGCAAGAGCAAAGCACGAGCATGAGCACGAGAACGAGCACGAGCACGTTGGACGGCTGGCCTGGGGTTGGGGTCAAATTATTTGGCCGGGCCTGTAGTCGGGGTGCGGTTGAGGGCTGGCCGTTTTTTACGTGATGAGGGCAAGCAGGGCAGGCAGGGCAAGCAGGGTGAAGGCAAGAGCGACCTAGACGCAGCCACAACTAGCGGCCTCCTCGTCGAGTCAAGTTATCGAGAGTGCGCCAAAAGGGCTCCAGCGGGCCTCAGCAAGCACCGGCCGACCAGTGAGTGCTGGTCTTTGGGCCCTTGAAAACACATCAAGTGGGGAGCCCCAGCGCCCATCTACTACTACGGAGTAGTACTTACTTAATTAAGTACATAGTGTCCAGTCTCCGTGGGGGGCGGCCACAGCACACAGCACAAAGCACGCGGCACGCGGCACGCACACCGGACAAGAGCAGGCCAGACGCAACGAATCCTCGTCTGTCTACAACATTGAATAGTCAGTGCTGTCCGCCAAGTTATTTTGTCTATAGTACTTGCTGAAGAACAGTCTGGTGCCATGGCATCCATGTCCCATCTCCGCAACTTTAGACGGGCGGTATGTATGTATGTACAATGTAATGTATGTGGCCGTCCCCTTCATAACCCTGTCAATGTTGGTCAGCGGTTGTTTTCTGTTTGCTGTTGGCTTGGCTCTGCGGGCGGACCGAATTTTGTTATAATGATTGCGGGGTTTTCTTTCCTGTAGAATGCATTGCAAAACCCGGGTCCAATTACGGTCAACTGGTACGTAAGTCACTGCTTCAGCATACATGTACATACTTCCTGTATGTACAAGCACGAGCATGGCTGCTCAAAGTGGTGTTCAGCAAGTCCTAGTTGATCACTTGACCACTCAACAAGATGCTGGGCCGAAACTCCGCTTTCGCCCCGGGAATGTGGCTGCCGGTGCTGAATCCAGATGAGGACCTTCAAGTGTTGGTGAGTTGTTGCGGCTTGGATGCTTGGATTCAATGTTAGTACGCATTTAACATTTGGATGCTCGGCTGCTTGGACAAGATGGCGCACATGGCCAACGTGGTGGGGTTCAAACCCGTTTGGACATCAGCTCTACCATGACTGGCCCGGCGGTGTTTCAGATGTAGCGACTACGCGGTCCTGTGCTGGGACGGAGCCGCATGTCAGGTACTTGGCACATTGGGCGTGGAGACTCGTCAGTCATTTTTGCTGACTGAGACAGTGGAAACGTCTCGAGTGGCTCGGTGAAGGGTACTTGCTATGTCATGGAGAGGGCGCAATAACAAGAGGTACCTCATACAGTGGCAACAAACTCAAATAATCGCAGGACCTCGCGGGCCCAAAATGGCCTCCAGCTGTGGTTTACATGGACAGGCCCAGCTTGACAACATGGGGTTGGGCATGAGGAAACTAGAACCTGGAAGGCTGAACAGGTTTTTGCGGGCTACAACATCAGACGAAGCCCGCGACGGCTAATGCGAGGGCACCGCCGCATTCGAAATAAAACCAATCACTGCCTGCATGGGTCGAACTGTCTTTGGTGGGAGAGGCCGACAAACGGACAAGACTCATCTTTGACAGCAACTCATTGAACTCGACGACGCAATCAACACAGTAATAATAAATCTAGCTTCTTGACGGGTAAGCTGCTAGGCTAGGCGGACATGATAACATTGGAAACCACAAGAGGACATCTGGATGATCCGCCAAGCCCACGGCGCCTTCCTCCCTTCTTTGCGAAGCGAATTGATGCACTTCTCCAATACCCACGTACTCTACTTAGAGTAGGTACCTCTTGAGTTACAATACGCCGCCACTCGGCCATTTTCTAGCTTCACATGTCTCCTCCATGTTATTTGCTATTTCCAGTCTTGTCTTCGCCATTCGGCGTCTCCTCTCCTCAACTCCTAGTAGAACACAAGAAACCTACCAATTGCCCTCCCCTGAAATCGGTTGATGGCTTGCACGCCCCTCCACAGTGTCATCTGCACCGCCGTATTCCCAAAGCAAAGAGCTGAGAGAGGCATGCATTGTTTGGCCGCCCCTCCACGGCGTGAAGAAAAAAATGAGAAATACGAACGTATGGACCAATCGACGTTGTGATTTTGCCATGGATATACTGACGCAAGCTATTACTAATTTCAAAATATCTTACATACGGAGGACTCTCTTCGCACTTCTATTATTAGTCGGCTGAGCCTTCACGCCTCGACCACGACAGCGGCCGTCCCCGTCCTAGGCGCGCACCGTCGGCTTCAACCTGAGCCAAGTTCTGCCACATCACATTCAAGCCTTCAATGTTGCGCACACAGCAAGCGGGCAGATGACCCAGCCCGTGTTCTGTGTGCTCTCACATTCTCACTCATTCGCCAGAGCACCGTGCTTGTGCAGACCTGGGGATTGCCGAGGAGCCCGACTTGTGCCGTGCAGCGTGCAGCGTGCGGCGTACAGCGTACAGCGTACAGCAGCATACAGCGTGCAGCAGCCCAAAATGATGCCCGTGTTCCCTCTTCTGTGTTGACTCTGTTTCTCCGCGTCGCCGGACCCCCGTCGTGGGATGCGTCGAAATCTTCGTTGCATCAGCTTCCCTCCGTCCGTCCATCGTTGACGCTATGCGCTGCCTCTGTTCCGTGAGCTCTCTGATGCTTCACATGCAAGACTAGTTGCACGACCGCACTAGCCTCATGGGCCTGTCTCATGGACTTGTTCAGACTGCGTGTGACGGTGACAATTCAGCAAGTCACAAATTAGTCCGCCAGAGTCCATCAAGCCGACGTTGCTTCGAACATGCAGACTGCCGTGGAGCCATAGTCATCAAAACTCGCCGCCGCCTGGGGGAACATGTACGGTGATGTGTAATCCTGTTTTTCTTCGCCATCATCACCGGTCAACGCTACACAGCAATCAGACATTTGACATTAATAAGAATGTCAAATCTTAGACTCAGGGCTCGGTCCGCCTTCAGGCGTCACCAGTGTGAGAGCGATTCGGCCCGCCTCGAAGCCTCAGGCACCTTGAAACATCAAGCATGCAGAAATCGGTTACCAGGTACAATCAACCCTGGACATTGCTCTTGCAGGTGTTTCTTTTGACCCGGGTCTTGTGATGGCATGGAGGCTTTTGTGTCGGCATCTTATGTGCGGACGGCATGCGGGGCCTCGGCTTGTGCAGTGCCCCATGGCAACATCAAGACTCACAACCAGAGCTAATGCCACGTGCTGAAATCACAACCAGGCTCAAGGAATAAGTTACGACTTGGCATATCTGCTATTGCTTCGTATCCTTCTGCCGTAGCGGAAGAAGATGTACGGGAACGGCACCATGGCTACCATCAAGAACGCCAGCAGTGATGACGCCCATTGGAAGCCAAGTTTCTCGTACATTTGAACGCCAAACAAAGGAAATGCCGCTGTGATGAAAACAAATGGTCAGTCCATCGTCTACGTTTTGCCACGGGAACAAAACTCTCCGCGTGAATCTAGGTTTATACTGCAGGACTCTCTTAGCAACTTGTCAAACGTACCAGCAAATATACATCGCACAAAGGCGTTGGCGGCCAGTGCACTTGCGGCGTACAGCGGATACGCATCAACCTGAATCGACAGCAAAATATCCTTATTAGTCAAGGTCCAGTCGTCAGGCCGTAATTTCCATTGGCCTATAGGTTCAACTTACGAGGAAGGTAAAGATGCCAGTGAAAAGCAACACATTTCTAGACAATTGCGCAACAGTCAGCCACCTCGTACAGATCGAGAGTGCACTAGGGCAACGCCAATTGGCCTCTGCCAAAGCCCGAACACCTGACAAAGAGGTGACTAAAGCCACTGCGACATGCTCTGTCTTGGCAATATTCAGTCCATGCGGTCATGCAGTCTGTAGTGCTCGTCCAAAACGTGGCCACGACAGATCCCTGGGGTCTGACGCTCGGCCGAGTGAGCTGCGCCCATGCGTCGAGACCCTGTCAGACAGCAACGACCACATCTAGTATCAACCGTAAAGCAGGCCATGTGGCCATAGACGCACACCGCCCTCGCATCCTTCCAAAGGGCAGTAGTGCTGTGCAACAGACTTGCTGGATATGAGGAAAACAAAAGGAACAAGAACGTACCCAATCGCGAAGATACACGATCCAATAATGGGCACAATCCAGTGTACCCACGGATATGTAGACCATCCAAACATGAAGATGCCAGCTGGGACGAGGAACGCCCCCATGATGGCTGGTGGAAGCCTGAACTCCGGTTCGCTGGCACCTGGGATGCCAGTCTCTGTCTCGAGTTTCTGAACTAGTCTGGTACGGACACGATGCCACACAGGATCGGTCAAGACACCAAGTATCATGCCTACAAAGATGCCCAAGAAAGACGTTCCGACTTGCCAAAGATTGAACCCGTAGTTTGTGCCGAATACCAGTGGAAACGCGCCAAAGAAGAGGTACAAGATGCCCAATAGAAGTGCGGAGAAGAGGCAGAGATTAAGACACATGGGCTCAAAGATGAGCAGTTCGAAGGGTCGGCGCAACGAGCGGCCAACAGCCTGTACGACCGACTTGTGCACCTTTTCCATGGGGGCCAGCCACCTATCATCGCCGGTCCCCTGACGTAGCTTCTTGGCCTTGTTTCGCAGCAAGATGGGATCTGTCAAGGTGAGAGATATGGTCAGTGCTTCGTATTCCTTGTCTGAGACAAACATAACCGCAGGGTGAAGGATGGCTGATGAACCGAACTGAGAACCTGACGCCCCACGAACAGCCCTGTGTGACGTTTTTCTTTTTCACATGTGCTCAGAGTTCAGAGATACGTATGTCCAAAACAAAGGAAACTTACGGTAGGTCTCTGGCACGAAGAAGACGACTGCTCCCCAGACAAGGCCGGACCAAATCAGGAGCACATAATATGTCCACCTCCAGTCAGCATTATAGTTGATAAATCCACCCAGCAAGGGCCCGAGACTAGGCCCTACGAACGGTGAAACAGAAAACAAGGCCATGGGAGCCTGCAACTCGTGTCTCGCGAACAAATCGCCCACGGTGCCTCCGGAAACAGCCAAGAAGGCACTGCCTGTAAAGCCATCGAAGAAACGAAAAACAAGGATGGTGGCAATGTTTTTGGCCACTGCCTGTGGAATCAGAAAGATGACGTATGTTGTCCACGAGACGAGGTAGATGGGTCGACGGCCGTAGAATTCACTCAGCGGGCTGAGAAACATGGGGCCCAAGGCGATGCCGAGGACAAAAGTCGACAGACCGAGAACAGAGACGATGCGAGAGTTGTGGAATTCGGGTTCCATTTTGGTGTAGGTCGATGTATATATGGAGGATGCACAAGTACTATCATGGCCACGACCTTGTTAGTCTCGACCTTGTGCCGCGCGCGGTAAGATTTGCCACGCTTATGAAAATATCCCAGAGCAAGCAACGTACACACACAAGCTAACGTGGGAAACAATAGAGGTAATCAACCACTTCCGGCCCTTGGAGAAGCTCCTGGGACAGAGGGGATCATTGTCGCCGCCGTCCCAGCCAACCTCATACGGATCTTTGGAGCCTCCTGGTGAAGCGGTTTCCTTGTGTGCCTCCCCGCCATCCCCAGGCGCAGGATCACTGTCATCGTCGACGCCGTACCCATTCTGCGAGCGTATCCTATCCAGCGGTCGGGTGTGTGAGGTCCGCGATAGTGTGTGGGAGAGGCTGCTTTCAGACATGGCCGGCGCGCCGTTGTCGTCTTCTCCGCCGCGTACTTTCTCCCCCGTTGTCATTGTATCCGCTTTTCCTTCTCTTGCAGCTGTGCTGGCCCAAAAAAAGAAAGACAGAAAGAAAGAAAGAATCCCAAGTGTGGCCAGTCGATTTGGTTTCCTCGGAAATACTTACACCGACTTTCACTTTTGTCAAAAAACCACACGACTATCAAAGACTGAGCGTGTGGCGGAAATTCGTCATGGGACAAGAGGGCTATTTAAAAAGAACAGGAGAGAAGCCCCCCGGAAGCACACTAATCTCGGAGCTCCGATTCCGCATGTAGTCTTCCGGGGAGCTAGAGGGAAAAAAGCGAGTTCCAAAGGGGTGTCAAACGTATTCAAAGTTGCAATTTAGCTCAATCGGGCAAGAACCGCAACGAAGGGAGAGTCGGCATGTTGGAGCAACCGGACGGGGGGGTTCCTCCCGCAATACCCGCCGCACGTCATTGAAGTACATACTCCGTACCTGTATGTTGTTGTTGCAGAGGGCTGATTGGAAATTAGGTGCTGATAAATACGGAGTTTCTGGGGCTTGGGACCCTCTTTCTGCACCAGCGCGAGGGGCATCGGATAGTCGCCATGACGGCTTCGGAGATACGGTCAAGAAGGAAGAAGGAAAATGGTTTGCTTTATTTTTTTATTTTTTAATTTTCCAAACAAGTGTGAGGTTGTCCCGCTGCTGAGACGACTCCGCTTTGCTTGCCAGACATGTCTGACATGAATATGGTATCGGCGACACACACCTCTTTGGGCAAATATTCTGCGGTGGGGGTCTTTGCATCGCTGCCATTAGGATGGTGCTCTATACATATGCATGCGCTTATAAACATATTAGTACTAAATAAATATATAGAAACTATAAATCTATAGAAACAGAAATCCCTTCCCGTCAGCGACTAGGTGGACGAGCCACTTGCTACATCATTTGTCATAGTCTATCCGTGGAACTGCTGCGCCCAACGGCATGCCTACCTAAACGTCGAGTCACGGACATAACAAGGGTATACCGCTGTTGGAGCATCGCTTGGCTCGTTGGAGGAGTTGGGAGGGGCCCCGGCCATGCAACTTGACAAGTGGGGGGAGGTCAATCTTGATTTCAGCGGGCTGGGACCCAGTTGAAAATCTACTCATGTACAAGTCCTAGCTTCAGCCGCGTTTCTGGACAAAAAAAAAAGAAAAGAAAGATGACGAAGAAGGAAAGAAATCATGGCCCGTCTCCTGTGTGGCTTGGCTCTGCGTGGCTTGGTGGCTTGGTGGCATAGCCCGTCTGCTTCACGCTTCAAAGTGTGTCTACGTGGACTCGACGTGTTAGGCTACCAGACGGCTCCAAAACAGGCAACTAACTCCAAGGATCGCTGGCAGCAGGGATCCGTCTCGGCAGCCACCGCTTCGACTCAACGCCAGACCGAACACAGACCGCCTTCCGCTGCAGCAACAACATTTACATACATACATGCATACCATGTCAAGAGTCCACACGATACATTGCATCAAAATTGATATTGATCCATATCTACACCAGAGCCATGCAAACTCCAACCGTCCGACAACAAAAACTGTCAAGATGCCCAGACCGCTCAATCCCCATGCCAAATATCCCCACCAGGATGTAAATATCAACGCTATGCCGCATGCCCATGATACTATCTATATATGTATATACATACTCCGTACAGACTCCTCATTCCCACCCGCGTACACCGTATTCCTACACACTCCTCATGCCTAAACTAATAGTTCTCCGCCAGCCCGCTCTTGGAGAAATCAGGAACATCCGTGTCGCAGTTAAAGTCGCGACTATACGCCTTGGTTGGCATGATTCCCGCCTTGAGAGCCGCCTCGTAACTCCACAGCGGCGCGCTCTCCGTCTTCCACGTCCAGTACCACCAGCCCCAGCCCTTCTCAAAGCTGTGCATCTGTGCCTCTGCAAACATCTGGAGAAACTTCTTGTACTGCCCGCTGTACTTGCTCGGGTCTGCGTTGGCCTGCGCGCACGAACAGCTGCTGTCTTTTGTCGGGCACCGCGGCGTGAGGACCGACGTTTTCGGGTCCCCCGTGTTCAGAGTACCCTCCCAGCGATTGCCCCAGCCCACGTTGGTCAAGTGCTTGGCACAGTCCGTGTCGGCCTGCGACCATTCTGCAAAAATGGTTGGCCCGTAGCCTGTCTGCGTGTTCATGCTTTGCTGCGCTTGTTGAGTCCATCCGTCGCAGGCATATTGAATCTTCTTTTGGTGCGAATAGACGATTTGTTCTTCGTTGAAAATCACATACTGGTGGACATCCAGCACCATGTCGTCGTAGCCCGCCATCAGCCCCTTCCAGTTATCGAGACCCATGAAGCCGTCGCCAAAGATGACCAGTGCCTTGACTCCGTTCTTTCGCACAGTCTTGTACGCATCTTCCGTCCACTGGATCACCTCGGCCGTCTGCAAAAATGTCATTCGCGGTTCGTTGGCCAGCCCATAGTGTGTGAGGATGTTTTTGTACCGGTCTTGTGCGAAGAACTGGCTCAGCTTGTCGTGGACGTCCAACGACCTCTTGCCGTTGAGTTGTCCATTGGTGCCGTTGAGCCACCCTATAGGACCCCATCTTCCGCTGTGATTCCAACCGTTTTGACTACCCGGCAGCCCGTGAAGATCTAGATTGATACGGAGACCGTACTTTCGTGCCCACTCGATTGCTCGCAAGAGATACCGCCATGATGTTCGAAATACAAAAGGGTCTCCGTCGTACACCTCGACTGCCCAGTACGAAAAGGGAATACGTACGTGGTCGAGCCCTGCTGCGGCGATGGCTTTGAATGTGTCCTCTGTAACAAACGAGGCATAGTGGTTTTCCAAAGTGCTTGCAGCGGACGCCCCGAGGTGCTGGCAGAGTGTCCATTCGTCAATGATTCCCATTTTGAGATCGTAGTTGAAGAGGGATGGTGTGATGAACGGCTCCAACGACAACCAACCCCCTAGGTTCACTCCACGAGCAGGTCGGCTTCCATAGGAACCCCAATCTTCATTCAAAGCCGGCACCTTGTCGTTTGCTTTCGCCGAGTCGTCCCACTCCGAAAATAAGCCCATCACGGGCAGTCCGCCAACCATTTGATCCGTAAACGTAACGTTGAAGTCTGTAGTGGTCTTCCAACTCCAAGGGTCGAGATATGTATTTTTCCATTGGGCAGGAACTTCATTCGGATCCTTTCCGTCGAGCGAAGAGGATTGTGACGATGAGCCACTGTCGCCACCGTTCTTTTTGCTGACGACGACAGCCACAACAACAATGATGATGACTACCACGACGCTGGCGATTCCAAGGATCATCCCTATCGCACTCATTAGCAGGCGTTGGTTTGGAATTGGTCGATGCTGGCGCACTCACAAAGCTTTTTTCTGGGCTTCTTCTTCTTGTGGCGGCGATACAGCTCCCCTTTTTCAAATTCATCCTCCCCCCAGCTGCCGCCGCCCCTTAAACCAGACCTTCCCGCTCGTCCTTCCTCCATGATGGCGCCGCTCACGACCCTCCGCTTCTTGCTCTTGTGGTGTTTACGCGGTTTTTGCGGCGTCGATCGCGGCGTCGTGTCCACCTCTTGGTACTCGCCTCTGTGGTGTCTCCGCCGGTCCTTCTCTGCCTTGCGCTTCCGTCGATCATTTTCTCTATTCAATTGTGCTAGGGCTCCAGACGACAGATTCTGCGATGAGGATGGTCGTCGATGTCGTCTCTCTTCTCGGCTTTCTTCGGAATTCGATGTCGCTTCGTGCCTCTTCGTAGGTGATCTTTTTTTTCTGTGTTGATGATGCCTTTTCGATGATTCGCCCGCTCCTTCCGTGTGCCGACGTCGACTAGATCGGTGCGCTCCTTCCCTTGGCGCCATTATTGCGTCGCCATGTGAAAATTTGGTCTTTCTCTTTTTTTTGTCGCTGGAATGCGGCTCGGCAGCAAAGACACGATTATTATACCATGAGGAAATATATTGGTGCCGCGTCATTCATATTTGCCAAGGTACAGATATGGATAATGCGACATCGTGGTTATTGGCGCCAAGGGGTTGGCAGGGCAACGACCCGTCCAGCCACCACGTCCCAGTTATGAATCCTATAAAGCAGGGTTCATCCTTGCAGCAAGGGCTGCGTTTTGTCGGCAGGTGAAAGACTAATAATGATGTCGTGCATACTATGTATCGCAAATACCATGAGCATGTAATTGAATATTGTACAAGCTTCTAGCAGAAGCTGGCTCGCCAGGGTTGAATACCGAATTGTGTATAGTCTGCGGGCAATCAGCTTTACTGCACCCGTGCCATATAGTTACACTTAACCCTGATGCAACAGAGTCCCAATGGCGCATCATTTCCCGGGCTACACCTCGACGATAATGGATAACCTGAGTGCTGTTTGGGTTGATATAATTAGATGCCGACCAACGATTTGTTTAGACCTTGGGGATCTCATATTTTTTACTGTTCTCATTTAATCAGGGGCTCCGAAGGAGGCTCCTTTCCTGCGGTATCCCTTCAGGGTAGCTAATATCCATCGTAACCATGACAGTCGCCATCATTGCTTCAACAACCACTGTATGAAGTGTTCAATACTTGCGGCCATGCGCTTCACCTGATTCTGTCAGGCGTGCGATGATATCAATACATCAATCCATTTCACAAAACTTGTAACAGTCATCGGAGTTTCCCCAGAGCGATCTGGTCAATGCCTCCGAAATGTGGAGGTGGACCTCGTACCAAGGCTCTCCCAGTCCTACGTCATCAATGCCCTGGAAGCCGACTCTCCAATGTTGACATTTGGCTTCAAAATCGCCTACAAAACATCCTTACCAGTGATGATTTTCATTATTTCAATCTATGCCACCTCGTCTTCAATGCCCGACCTTCCAATACACAACACAGCTTATTCATCTTGAATGGCGGCACAAGAGAAGGTACACTGTGGGGCATCCAAAGGCCGTGGCAAGCCGAGTTCGTCAAAGCCGAGTCTACCAGAAGTCTGGGGAACTCTTAGTCTCAGAACAGCCGCATTTGTTCTTCCCCTTCCCCAATCCTTGATCAACCTTTTGCGCTTTTCTGAACCGCCTTCTATTTACGTTGCGGTAGGATTGGTATGCACATCATGAAGCGCCAGGCTGTTTGTCAGTTGCAAAGGGTTGCGGCCTCGTCCAGACCTATCCGGCTCCCCCTCCAGATCGCTCGAGCATATTCGACCCATCCGCCACAAGCACGTCTGAACAAGCCGATAGACTACTCGGAAACGCAATTATTAGCTCACAGCAGCAAGGGACCGGCGCTTGGTAATCACAATGAGATTCCTCCAGAAGTACGGAACGGCGCCACCAGAAAGATGAACCTGTTCCAGGCCATCAACGATGCTCTGGGGATTGCCCTAGCCGAGGACGATTCGGTTGTGGTATTTGGCGAGGATGTTGCGTTTGGAGGAGTGTTTCGTTGCACAATGAAGCTCGCAGAGACGTATGGTGCTGAACGCATCTTCAACACTCCATTGACGGAGCAAGGCATCATGGGCTTCGGTATAGGTCTGGCGGCACAGGGAATGCGACCGGTTGCTGAAATCCAGTTTGCCGACTACGTCTTTCCTGCTTTCGATCAGATTGTCAACGAGGGAGCGAAACTGCGATATCGCGAAGGGGCCACAGGAGTCCACGCCGGCTCATTGACAGTTCGCATGCCCTGTGGTGGCGTTGGTCATGGTGGTCTGTACCACTCCCAGTCACCCGAGAGTCTCTTCACCCATGTCCCCGGATTCCGGGTTGTTATGCCTAGATCACCAATCCAAGCAAAGGGCCTTTTATTATCAGCTATTCGAAGCAATGACCCTGTGCTCTTTATGGAGCCCAAGATTCTCTACAGAGCTGCCGTTGAGCAAGTGCCCGAAGCTGCCTACGAGCTGCCCCTGTCCAAAGCGGAAGTCGTCAAGGGGGGCGAGGACATTACCGTTATTTCCTATGGTCAGCCCATGTATACCTGCCTATCAGCCATCCAGAAGGCCGAAGAAGACTTGGGCATCTCTTGTGAGCTCATTGATTTGAGGACCGTGTATCCCTGGGACAAGGAAACCGTCTTGGCCAGTGTTCGAAAAACTGGGCGCGTTCTCGTCGTTCACGAGGCAATGGTCAACGCCGGAATCGGTGCCGAAGTGGCTGCAGCTATTCAGGAAGATCCCGAGACCTTTGTCCGGCTGGAAGCTCCTGTGGCACGGGTGGCAGGCTGGAGCATTCACAGCGCCTTGATGTTTGAGAAGTTTAACATTCCAGATGTTGCACGTAAGTTTCTCGTCTTTCTTTATGATGACCTGTGTAAGAATTGTACTAACTATGTACAGGTGTGTACGAAAATATCAAGAAGAGTCTCAATTACTAGACTGTCAAAGCAAAAGAGAACCACCAAAAAAAAAAAGAAAAAAAAAAGAGAAATCATGACGATTATAATTGTACATAGGGCATAGCCGGTGCGGTGTTTTCCGCTTAGGTAGACAATAAATGTTTAAACAGGCGTTCAGTAGTTACGTTGACGCGTAATGCTGTGAGGCAATGTTCATGTTCACCTCGAGGCTTGGAGGCTACGGAGCACTTCAGAGTGGAATTGATAGTACATGGCTGTGGTAGCATTTTGTATGTGGCCAAAAGTACCCGCCCGTCCTCTGGTTCGTGCCTGAGCAGCTCTGTTGCCCCTCGTTCGAGATCCGCCCCGCCTCAGCTGAACCTCCACTCAGACCGCATGCTTCGGCCGAGTCTCCTGCGCAATCCGTTCCCTCTCAACGTACGCCCTTGCATTCCTCCTTGTCAACGGATACGCAGCTGTGGTGCAACCTGTTCGCATCATGTCGCAAGTCGAGACGGTATCCGCCTTCGTGGAGGGAGCTCCTCCCGGCGAGGCAAGTCTCCTCTCCTCACGACAGCTCCTCCAGCGTCGCGTCATCATTATGCTAACTCACTATTGCAGCTCGCCGATGTCATTGCCGGTTCGACCACTCCGAGGCCGCCATATTCGCATAGTTGCTGATTTCAATTCGCTGCAGACATCAAAGCCTTGACGGTTTCTTCTCCAGACATTGTATCCGAGCTCACTCCCGCCTTTGAGAAATACAACGAAGAACAACTGGTCACCGTTAAGCTGCCTGGCAGCAGCCAACCGGTATGAAATTGGTGGATCCTGCGGCCGAGGAACATGATCCGATACTAAGGCGGAAGTAGGTCGTCATCAGTTCACACAACGCCCTTGGCGACGGACGATATTACGACGTAGAAAGCTCATCGAGCTTTGCTGTCGACCACGCAACACAGGCACGTTGACTCGAGGAGGCTTGGGTATTTTTTAATGCTGACCGGGCAGCACAGAAAGCTAGCGCTGTGAAAACCCATGCGATTGAAGGGCCTCAAGTCGACCTAGTGTATGTCATCACTGAGCTGTGTTGGAGTGGAAAGCCCCAGAACTGATAGCGCGCAGTACATCGACACTGAAAGGTCTTTCAGCATATGTCAAGGAGCACTTTCCAAACGCGTCATACGGAGCGTATCCCGTTGAATCCGACTCCAAAGTAGCTATTATTATCGTGGCCAACAAGTACAGCCCAAACAACTTCTGGTACGAGCTCAATGCCATTGATGATGTCCCCATATCTCCGTTCTGTCTTCCGGCAACAAGATCACGGAGGAGTAATCAATTTGCAAAAGCGGTTTCCCGTGACTAATATTTTCTAGGAATGGACGATGGCGATCCCAGTACATATTTGATCCAGCTTCCGGAAGCCTGGAAGGCTCCATCAAGGTCGACGTCCATTATTACGAAGATGGCAACGTCCGCCTGCTTACCAACAAGCCCGTCACGGCTTCAATTACTTCTAGGACTGGGGCCGGAATCGCCAAAGAAATCTCAGCAACGGAGAGGAAGTACCAGGAGGAGCTGAACAAGGGCTTTGTCAACTTGAGTGAAAACGCGTTCAAGTCGCTACGCAGACAGTTGCCAGTAACAAGACAAAAGATTGCATGGGATAAAGTGATGAGCTACAGGCTGGGACAAGATATCGGCGGGGGCAACTCTAAGGGATCCTCCGTCGGATCGATGGGATAGCGCAGCGACTGGAGTGGGTGATGCATTGCATAAACATGTCACGGCAAGACTAAGCTAGTATATCTGCTGAATACATTTTACACTTTCAGAGAAAAAAAAGTACCATCGTATCGGTCATTGTGAGCTCCGTGCCCGGTGCAGAGTTCACATGTCAAGCGCGCAGATGCTAGTGGCCGGAGGGGGTAGGGATCGGACGCGTTAATTGTACCGTGCGTGGAACTGATGTTGACAGACGGCGGTGGCAGAGACGGGAGCAGAGACGGTGACAGAAAAGGCCGAAGATGCAATACACCCACTCACGCACCGAAAACAGCGCTTTACGTGCTCTCCTCTACCAGAGCCGATTGCATGTATGTGTTCGTTCGGTGTTCGGAAGTTGCCTCGGGATGTGTCGCCCGCCACCTTGGCCTCTCACTCCACACATCCGTCGAGTCGTGGCAGCTTTCCCCAGATGTGACAAGAGGAAATCCGGGGGTGAATGGGGATACCAGTCGTAATTCAAAGTGATGGAAAAAGATGGGCCAACACATTGCTGCCACATGTTACGGAGTAGTAATATATGAATCGAAATTGGCGCACGCCATGACCACGGCCCGAGTCTCTGTGTCCTCCATCGTTGGCGGGGCCGCGTACCGTGATTCCCGACTGGAATCTGCATCCATCTGTTCCTCTGTAGATGAGTGCTCCGAAGGACGGCATGGCAGCGTGTTCGACTCCATCGCTTGGCATCACGTAATGTCTGGTGCAGCGGGGTGCATGGCAGAGGCAATCAGCTTGTCGGAGTCGGCCATGGCTTTCCGTGGTCAGAAACCGAACAGAGCCGCCAGCATTTCGGAACTGGGTTAGGTGGGGCAGGGCGACACGGAAAGCAGAGGCGGCCCGTGAAAATCCAAGCAGACTCGACTCGATTCGACTTGGCTGGGGGGGCTGCAGGCAGATGGAAGCTGACTTGGACCAGACGGCCTGTGGCCCGGGATAGTAATGCTGACGAGACCGCAATGGGACATGGTGTATTTGGAACGGGCCTTTGGACGGACAAGACGACATGTGAGTGTCGCGGGACTTGGCCAGACGAAGCGAGTGTTGTCTGGTCTGGTGTATTTTAACAGGACCTCCGGAGGAACCAGCGGCGCCTATCGACAGCCTCGCGGTACATGTCGACGGTAGTCAGGACACTCCTGAGTCCGTAGCGGAGCACTGCCTCTGCCTGGTACTTACTAAGTAGGTGACATCTGGAAGCTGCGTAAGTACTTACCAGGCCAGACACCGGAAATTTTAGCACCGGCCTCTGTCCATCTCTTTCCCAGGGCGCCGAGTATTTTTTTTTTTTGTTGCTGGGGTCTGCGCGAGTGACGCACGAATCAAAAACGTTGAGCAGTAATTTTGAAGCAGGCTATTGGCCAACGCCGCGGGTTCCATGGATCCTCCGACTGGGACGGAAGTTGGAGGACCGGGTGGTGCCAGCATCCAGACAGGCCAGGCTGGCTGTCCGTCAACCTACAGGCCGCCCTCCCACTGACATCTGGACGTCTGGACATCTGGGCCGCGCTGAGGCCACCATAGAAGATTGAACCCAGTGCCATCACTGTGTGTGCCTGGTGCATTCTGGAGACGCCGACCCTGTTGCCGATAGTCAATTGGACCGGGACCCTATTACCATCAAGACGCTCGCTTTCGGGGGTCGCCATTGCCTGCTCCTGGACCTTCTCTCGTCTTCCTCTCCACACCATCTTGATTCCATCCTCGATTTCCCTCCGCCTCTCACGGGTTTCTTTGTACGAGCGCGTTGACGGCGTTTGATCCCCTGGTTTTGCCATTTCCTGTCGATTCCCTTGTTTGCAGACCGAGCCACCTCCCGTTGCGCTTCCGCCGCAAACCACCCGCCGCCCACCATGTCGTCTACCGTCGAGCTTACCTACCAAGATGTTGCTGAGCACAACACCAAGAAGGACATCTATGTCGTGATCCATGACAAGATCTACGACTGCACTCAATTTGTTGATGAGCACCCGTACGTCATTGCTGCCCTTGGGAGCAACCCCTTTTTTGTCGGACCACAGTCCTACCTACCAAAAACAAGTGCTGCGCTGTTTGGACGGACATGATTTCGCCCGCTTACCCAGTGCATATCCCCATTGACAAATGAACCACGAGCTAATAATGTCATGGTAGTGGTGGCGAAGAAGTTTTGCTCGACTGCGCCGGCCAGGATGCCACCGAGGCCTTTGAGGACGTTGGCCACAGTGACGAGGCTCGCGAGACCTTGGATAAGATTCAAGTCGGTGTCCTGAAGCGACAGGTACGCTCCCCCCAACCCCGAGGCCACATTTCGTGTCTCAACTGCAAGATATGCGTTGGACAAAGTCGCTCATGAACTATGTCTTTGCAGCCCGGTGATCCTGCCCCCAAGGCCGCCCCCCCTACCTCATCCGGTGCCAACTCAGGCAACAGCGACAGCACTGGCGTGGGCATCGGTGTCTACTTCATCATCCTCATCGGCGGTGCTCTGGGCTACCTCGGTTTCCAGTACATGGCCAAGCAGCAGCAGGCTCAGCAGGCTGGTGCCGCATAAATGCTCCTTTGCTTTTTATACATTTTCAACAATGATGAATTCCTCGTAATGCTCTTGAGGCTGGCCTTGTCCCTTGCAAGCGACGATTGGTTGGCGACGGAGAGGGGTACGAAAGATTTTTTATGAAAGGGAGTTAAAGTTGAGGAGGGGAAGTCCCGTTGAGACGTCCGGTAGCGTTTCTATGCAATGGCTCGCCCCCTAGAAGAAGACTCGTCTTCGTGGGGACGGCTGACGGCGGGCAACTTGGAAATGCGGTCCAGCACTGTCTTTTTTAGAGGCTGGGGTCTATTTGTACTCGGTTAAATGGTAGATATTGTCCACTGGGCCAGTCTTCTCTATAGAATTATAATCAAGGTTTTGTAAACAGCTCGCTTCTTTCTCTGCACAGGCGGGGCGCAGGTAGCCACCATGCAAACCTGTTTGCATGTCGCAACAGTCGGCTCTTCTTTCAATGTTCCGTTCTAAACTGAGAGAGAACCATGCAACAGGTCTGCTCATGTTCCACAACGCGCAAAACCTGGTGGTTCGATTGCACCAATCCCAACTCGCGGAAATCACATGTCACTCATTCGTCCGGGACCATCATTGCATGTACGCAGTACTCCGTACTCCGTACCTGCTTGTAAATGACATGGCCAGACGCCAAATCAAATGACGGGCCCCATCTAAAACCTGGGCTTTTTTCCCTGCCAAAATCATATGAAACAAGACTGATTTCAAATGAACAGGATTGGCCCATGGCAGCAAAGGCATGGATTGGTCCAGCTGGACCGAGTAGCAGATGTTTGTTGCACATAAATATCTGGCATTTTTCACACATTTGAGTGGCATCTAAGGGTGTTGAGATGGGCCGCTTTCTAAGTCACCCAGTCATCCATGATCTCCATGATCCTCGTCGGGAAATTTAACCCTACGCGGCGGCTATACAAGCGGGGGTTAGTCACAGCTGATTTGTTTCAAAATCGGCCAAGACGATGCGTTTATTCACAGGGACGCTGCTTACACTCCCAGGCTATGATAAGCAAGGCGTCCGACCCGGCGCACCCCCTGTTTCTTTTTTATTTCCTGCAGCCTCTTTTGTCAATTCAGTCGTGAGTTCGAGAGGCGTTCAGTGTTCGGAACAATGCCAAGGGTCGAGATGTCACGCCATTCAAGCAACGCCACATGTTCTTGCAGGAATGCACAAGGTACAAAACAAGTAGCAGAATTTCTGCTGCAACAAAGGTTGAGTTTGACTCCAAATTTTTGGCTACTCTTCTGAATGCGCCTGCGCAGAATAAGCTTTCTTGGTGAGTGAGACGGGCATGGCGGTAGTGCAGGATGTGGCCTTGAATCACGCACCAATCAGCGTGCAGAATCAACTAGCGGCCTCGAACCTCAAGACTTGACTTTCCAAGCACACATGCAGTCATCAGCGATCTCTTCCTTCTTCCCTTCACGGCCCCTTCATCTCCGTCGCCCAACCCCACGACCTCTATCGAAGCGCCGCCACTTCTCCATCTCGAGGCCCTTCCACTCATTGCCCACCATGTCCTCATACCTGGAGAAGCAGTCCTCTGCCTTCCGCGGCACGCTGGCCTCGGCGGCCGCGAAGCTCTCGAACCCTTCCAGCACGAGCGCCGGCAAGGCGACGTCGCTGGCGCCCCCGTCCCCCTCGCCATCCGCCGCATCGGACAGCACCACGCCCACGGCCAAGAGGAAGCGCGATCTGGCGCCCGAGGTGCCGTTTTCTCAGCCCCAGCTGACGGGGTACGGTGCCGAAGTCAAGACGCAGATGGCCTTTGCGGTGGAGTATCTCAAGAAGAAGGGCGAGCCCAAGAGCATCACCGAGATCATCGACCACCTCAGCCTGCGAGGCTACTCGGAGGAGCACAAGCGGGAGCTGACGGAAGGACTGAGGGGCCACCCGCGCGTGGACTGGAAGCCAGACGCCAGCCTGAGCGAGCAGACATGGAAGACTGGCATGTACTCGTACCGCCCCATCATCCTCAACGTCAAGGACGGCACATCTCTCCTGGCGTACCTGCAGCGCAAGACGGACGCCTCGGGCGTTTCGGTCAAGGACCTCAAGGACGGCTGGCCTGACTGCGAGGAGACGCTGGCGTCCCTGGAGAAGCAGCACAAGGTCCTCGTCGTCCGCACCAAGAAGGACAACTTCCCCCGCTACGTCTGGGCCGACGACCCGTCGCTGCACAACTCGGTCCAGCCCGAGTTCCAAGTCATGTGGCACCGCGTCCCCATCCCCAGCGTCGACGACATGCACCGCAAGCTGGTCAACGTTGGACAGAAGCCCACCAGCGAGGACCCGCTCAAGATTCAGCAAGCGGCGGGAAACAAGCCCAAGGTGCAGAAGAAGAGGGCGAGCAAGAGGACGGGAAAGGCGACAAATGTGCACATGGCACATTTATTGCAGGATTTCAGTCACATACGGCGATGAGTGGCCATTGTTACATCATCGGCCCTCCTGCCCCCCTTTTTTTTCGGGGAATCTTGTTTCTTCTTTTTTTGATACTGTACAATTCAAATGTACTGAGTCTTTGGATTACGGCGTTTCTAACAAGGTTCCGGTGGCGAGTCGACAAAAAATAAAGAGAGAGGGAGACTCTGGGGAATTTTTTTTCTTTTAATACAGGACATGGCTAAATTGGAAGCGCAGATAGCAGCATTTTATCGGCGTTTGGGACCACGGATTCGAAAAACTGTGGTGGAGCATATTATATCCTTTTTGCGTCTAGCACGGACTTATACACCTAATTCCATCTTGAAGGATCTTGAAGTTTGCACGGTGACTTTGTCCATTGTCGGGCGTGAAAGGCTATGGTCTCGTGTGCATCTAGCAACTGCTGTCGTCAATATGTGTGACGGATGCTGCCGTTGAGAGCCATTCTCCAGCGCCATCAGTTCTACAATTTCTGTCAGTCGCTTTATTGTCTGGGATGCCTCCTCGGGGTATTTTTCAAATCTCCTCACGACACTCGCCATGACATTAATCATTGTCCCACGGCTTGCTCAAAACACGCGCGTTCTCCGCCCATATCCGCTCAAACAGCTTTTCGAACACCTCTTGCTCCTGGTACCCACCGACCTTGTACTTTCCCAACACCGTTACGCATGGCACTGCCTCGACACCCTTCTCCTCCACGGCTGCCTCCGCCTCGTCGTCTACAAACCGTCCGTTGTCGTCATCCCGCAGGTCTGACCGAACGACATCTGCGGGCAAACCTGCCGTCTCGCTACCCAAGCTGACCAGGACGTCTTCGTCTGAGATGTCCTTCCCGTCCAGGAAGTGGCTCCGGAACAAGGCCTCTACAACTCGTGCTTGGGCTGCGGGTCCACGGCGGCGGAGAATGTTGGCGATGAGGATCTGCGAGGCGCGCGTCGGGCCGGTGTCGCCTGTGACGGAGAATTTGAGGCCGTAGTGTGCGCCGACGGCGCTGACACGGTCAAGATGCGGCTGAAATTTGCCAGGGCCGCCAGCCATTTCGTCGTATAGCGCGATCTTGCCACATTCTGACCCCCCTCTGTCAGTGGTGTTCAATAGTTTTTCATTGGCATGGAGAGACTGGCGATATGTAGAAGGATGTTTTGGGAAAGATCAGACGGGTCTGGGTGGAAGTGGATGGAGAGCATATAGTAGACGTACTGGTCTTGAACAACGGATTCAAGCAAAATGATCGCCATACGACCTCAAACTCAACCTGCGGGTGCTTGGACTCAAATTTCTTCATGGCAGCCTCAAGACTGCGCTTCTCAATCCAGCACCATGGACATAAGATGTCTGAGAACAGTTCGATGGGCACGAGCAGCCGCTCCGCCCGGTTAGGGGAGGGCATCGAGACAGGTTTCCCCAGGGCGGTGGCGGTCTGCGGTAAATCCAGTCTGTCAAGTTGAGAGACGGCCATGTGGTACACCGATGTATCTCTGGTCTGGAAGGATACACCGTAATCACTTCTCTCAACGTGGCGGCTTCAGCAAACGGGAACGGGAACGGGCCCTCGGAAGTATAACGGCTCGGCTAGTCGAAGGTGGGATAAAATCGAGTGAGGCTTTCACAGGACTCCTGGCATATACTTGAACAAAAAAGCCGCCCAGCAGCTTTTCAACACGCAAATGATGGAAATAGGGGCCGGCGTCTCGGTCTCGCCTGTCAGTGGCAAGTTCGAAGCGACTGGTGTACGGGCTGCTGGTCGTTGATAGAAAACAAGAACCGAAGGTTCCTCTCCACCCCGGCGCCAGGACTTATACACCCATCAGATTTTTTTGTCCGTCACGCTGTCCCAGTTGAAATTTGAGGAGAAGCCTCCGTCCAAGCTAAGTAATCATTATTTCCACAATGCAGTGCCGGCAGGACCCCAGCAGAAATGGCATGGCTGGCGGGTTTTAGTCTGGCGGGCGTTGGATTTGTATTTGCTGGACAAGGGACTCTGGATTAGTGATCAGTAATCATGGTGCAGCAGACCATGCAGACGACAAGAGTTGTCATGTTTTCTCGGGGCCCTCTTTTCCCGTCATGGAGGGGTAGTAGGCTAGCGGCATTCTGATGCGACAGTCTTTGGACCAGGACCATATCAAGAAAGATGGCGGAATCCAGGATGGAAATTGCAGCGTACCAGACTCGATGACAACATTGAAGTAGCTATGCGTGCGCACAGTTACAGATGGAGAGTACTTAAGTATGGTTCACTCTGAGGGGAACTTATATTGCGCAGGCGACTTCGGCGCTCGTTTGGAAGGAGCCTCCCTTGTCCACCGCCACTCCGCCCCTCTTGCCGCTTATTGTCTGTTCCGCGGCTACAGCGCAGCAGCCACGTCATTCCCCGGCCAAATACATAATCAGAACTCAATATTGTCAGAAGCTATGCCGGTTTCGAGCTGCACCGCTCTTTTAAGTTTTGAATGGTCCCATTTTCCCCAGACGCCTTCATCTCATGCCCGATAAGCCGTGTCGATGCGTCCACCTGACCATGTGTCATGGCCAGGAACGTAGATTTACATGCTCCTACAAAGTCTCCGGTATTCCCTACAAAAGCACCTTGCGGCAAGCGCTTTAGTGTCCACTTAGGTAGGCCAGCCGGAATCTATATTGTTTTTTCTTCTTTCCTTCTTTCCTTCTTCCGCACCAAGTAGACTCGAGGAGGGCCTATATTGGAAACCAAGGTCGATGCCACGCACTCCGGATAGTTGTTTAGGAAACAAGTGACAGGTAATCATAATTCATGGCTAAACGTGCGCATAAAACAAGACACCATCCATCCCTCTCTGAGTCTTTCCAACGAATCATGCAGCCAGACCATCCATTTCACTCAGAGCATGTGGCTGCATGCATGTCGATGCCGGAGCAGCTCCTATTGGGTACATAGCCCGAATGTGACGAATGCCCACATGCATGCATGTATGTAAGCACCTAACGTCAAGCCAGAGAGTGACACTGGTAATCCACGTCCTCACTCGTCTCTGGTCTACGAGTCATGTCTCGAGCTTCATACTGTTCAATTTTATCCTTCTAGCCCTTCTAATGCTCCTTGTGGGCGGCTCCTGATAAATGATCCACTCTGGCTGGCACAATAGTTTGTCAAGTGGGATTTATTAAACATAATGGCGACGAATTCATCTATGATTTGGTGTGTCCAACACCTCTTGGTACTCGGGTAAAATCCATTCCCTGTCCCAAGTCTACATACAAATAAGGAATATAACAATGATGTGCGCCCTCTTCTCGGATTCCACCAGTCCCTGATGACGCCTGCCTAGCCTCCTGCTAGAAAATTCGCCTGCATCCTAACGCACCCTCGCAAGTCTCGTATCTGTCATGCCAGATGGAAGCACATGAGTTAAAAAAAAAAGAAACTGAATCAATGGCAACGTCACTCGTCGTCCCTATGTAATCGGCCGCTGCCGCTCTACCGGGCTGAGCATAAACAAAAGGAAAAAAAAACAGATACAAACGTAAGCCGAAGAGCCAGAAATTCATCAAAACAATGATGACATAACTGTGTAATTAGTCGGAGAGGGATTGAGTCGCAGGGCACCCGTCCGCCCATTGCAAACAATTCGATATGAGCACGGCAAAACACTCCCAGTATCTTTGCTGAGTGTGTGAGAGAGAGAATAGCTTCGCCACTTGCTGCGAACCGGGACCCAAAATGCCGTCTCTCCTTGGAATAATCTATTGGTGTGTCGTGGGTGAAATAAACGATAAGGGTATCAATGGACCGTTGCCGGTCCCCGTGTATTTGACTGTTCCATTATTCAACAACCTCGAGCTATAAATAGGCCACCTAAGCCATATGTACTAGCCCGGGTTCAGCGCTTTGAGGTCGACGCATCTGGGCTGACGCGTTGTAATACATTTGTCCCATCGCCGCGTTTTGAGGATATGTGTCTGGTTCGGGATACACATAACTTCCTGCTCCCTGAGATGGCGACGGAACATGCGATGGTGACTGCCAACCAACGCTGCTCATGTGAGGGCTGCCTCCGGAACTACCGGGCTGGTGCTGCTCAACACTCGGTTCCAAAGTGGGCGGCGGTCCATAACTCGTTGGATGCGACGTGGGCCTCATTCCTCCGCTGGTATACCCGTTGGACGCTGCTGAATTTGGGCTTCCTACCCGTAGATGTGGTGGAAGTCCATTTTGCTGCAGATATTGAAATTCACCGGGATGTCGGTTCACGTTGGTCGCTGTAGTCATATCCATGCTGGGAGACATGGACATCGTGCGGTGGCCTGGAGAAGGCGTAGTTAGGGGCGACCCATGACTTGACAAATGGTCTCCCTCGGAACGTGCTCTTGTTGCCTTTTGTGCTTTGGATGCTGCCAAGGCGGCTGCCGTGGCTGCCGCCGCTTCCTCAATTGTTCCGCTGTGGTGATTTTGATGTCGAGTCAAGGTGGTTCGGCGCGTGAAAGTTTTTTGACAATCGGCGTAGGGGCATTTATAGGGTCTGTTGCCCGTGTGGGTGCGTCTGTGACGGGCAAGAGAGCTGCTATCGCTGAAACGCTGTTTGATAGTTTAGCAAAATGGTCAAAAGAAGAAGAAAACCGCACGCAAGTTCCAAATCCCACTTACCTTGGCACAGATTTCGCAATGATGGGGCTTCTCTCCTGTGTGGACGCGTTTGTGAACTGTGAGGGCAGATCTTTGAATAAACTGCTTGCCACATTCAGGATAATCGCAAACATGTGGTCTCAAGCCGGTATGGATTCGTTCTGTCATCTGCATTAACTCGGCGATTCCTCAATTATGATTCAATATCTCCGCTTACCGTGTCGTGCAAGATCGCTTCGACGAGCAAAACTTTTGCTGCAAGTGGCGCATAGGAATGCCTTTGCCGGCTGAGGAGAAGGCTGATTGTGCTGGGGCATCTGGTGCATGGTCATGCCATGGACCGCGCCCATAGCTCCTGGCATATCTGGAAAGTTGGGTAGAGACATTTGAGCTGGCATCGTATTGGGCATGTGCATAGATGCTTGCATTGTCCCTGGAGAGGCATATGACCTTGCGATGCTATGGGCTGTGGAATACGAGGAATGCTCAGACATATGAGGAGAAACTGAGCGCTCCATACCGTGTTCTGGTTTGACAAGTGAGAGGTGAGGATGGTGGTAATCGGCGTGAGCTCCGACAAAATGTTGCTGCTGGTAATGGTGCGCAAGTGAGCCTACTTTATTATTCAGCATGTTCGTCACATCCATTGCCTTGCGGCACGCCTCGAGATTGCTTCACGGCTCAGTCTGCCGCGTATGTTGGTTAGTCACTGATTCCACTGAAGTCAACACTATGAAGCAGAATGATTCACTCACGCGAAGACAGCCAAAATGATGTCCCACAGCACAGAGCCAATGATTGAAGGCAAAAACAATGAGCAACTATCAATGTCAGAATTGGCTTGGAAACAAGGCGCAAGAAACTTCAGCACCAGTGACAGCAAGTTGAGCACCACAGATTTAAAGCTCCTGGTTAAACTTGTACAAAGTATGTCTGTATCAAAGGACAAGAGCAATGACGCCAAAAGCATGAAAATCACCTATGTCGTTGGGCACTCTGCAGTCTGACCGTCGCCCTTGCATAAGTCAAGAATGGTGCTGGAGTCCTTGTAACGCAGATAGGAAATAATGGCAACGCTTACCGGCTAGCACAACGATACCCTTCTACTTTTGATCAAATAGTACGGCACGGTAGTTGGAAGATCGGGAGGCCGTCAAAAAATAAGCTGGCCTCGTCGTCTTTCTGAAATGAGCCAAGAACGCAACCGTGATATATCTTCCGCTCGTAATTCGTGCTGAAGACCCTACCGGTCACTCAAGGACGGCAGAAATCGTACCGTACCTGCTTTGCCGAGAAAGCGGCCGAAAGAGCAGCTCACAGGTCTGGCAATCTCTCGAGGCGAAATATCAAATCCCTTTCGCAATGTACGCGGTGCGGCAGCGGCGAATTCTCCAAGTCTGGCCGGCGAGGGGGGCTCAGCAGCTTATTCTCGCTGGTTTTCACCAAAACGGGTAGTGCGAGAGTGTCGATGGACGACGATATCGTGGCTAGGAGAGACAACAACTATGTGCTGCACGCGGATGCACAATGTTTCTTCGGAGTACCGTGAGACGCAAGGCCGGCTCGAAATTTTTTGCCCTCTACTTTTCGGGAGCGAGAAGATCAAAGTACCGTACGACTCTTGGGCGGAAATTCTTGGGAATATGAAGTCGATGCGCGACGCTAGGGTCACAGAGCGGTCGACGGAGGATGATCTGCGATTTTACACGCCAGACGATTAGTTTGGTCGCAATATAGGAGTCGAAAGCGGGAGCACGCGGTAACAAGAGAAAGAGAAAAGAAGAGAGAAAAGAAGAGAGAAAAAAAAGGCCCTGTGGCAGAGAAAAATTGCAAAAGATTGCGAGAATCGCAAGGCG